TTTAAAAGGTGTTTTTTCTCAAAGGGAACATTGACTACCTCTGTCTTGTCTGCATGCCAAATGTTTGCAAAGTGTGTGGATGATCCAGAAGTATTGGAACTCTTACAAAACTCTTACAGCAAAACAAATAACAGCAATCAGTCACAAAAACAGAGCAAAAAACTGAAGAAAAAAAAAACAGCAACAATAATCATGAAAAAAGAAATATCAATTAGGTGCTGAATTTGTTTTTCTAAGTCATGAAATTTCTATTGAATTATGTCAACAAAAAGTCTCTGACAGTGTTTGAGGCAACTGAGCTTGACTGTTCCAAGGTTTTCTAACAAAGGCAACCAGTAATGTAGGTTAGGAAAGTAACTTATTTTCATAACTAACAAAGTTCTTTAAGTGTAGATAACAATGTAATTATTGTTACACATGTGGAAGTTGTGTACCAAGGAACAGCTAATGAATGTTTGATGATTCTGGCACATCTGTGAACATGAGACATTTTGTATCACAATAAAAATATTTTATGATCATGGAATCCAAGAGTTCTTTGAGGTTAGAAAGCAAATCTGTGATATGAGTACATTGGATAAATTTGCATTTTGCATTTACATAATTGACTGCTGCTTCACGAGAAAATCCATATTAATTTAGAGATTTACTAAAACTTAGTTTCAATAATAAATTTCATGATCTTTAAGTTATAAACATATACATGTATATATATCTCTTGGTAAATTTTGTTTAGCATACCTTTTGTGGAGCCAAAGTTTTAAGCCTTTAAGATTACTCCTTTTCTTAAAACCTTCACATTCCAGGTATTGAGAATTTCATAGAATTTATGTAGACCTCAGGGTATTTAAATTGCCTCAAATTCAATTCCCAGAAATTCCCAAGAATTCCACCCTTCTTAAATTACGGCTAGTTTGTATAGCTGAGAATTCCTAGGAATTGCTAGGAATTCCAAGTCCTTACAAAACTGGAGTCTTCCTTTCCCAGAAATTCTCAGTAATTCCAAGCTTTTCAAATCAGAGCATATTTGCATAGTTGAGAATTTTTAAGAATTCCTAGGAATTCCCAGAAAACTGGGAATTCAGTTTGCAAGGGTTATTTGCACAGTTGGGAATGTTTGAGAATTCCCAGGAATTCCTGGGAATTCCCAGAAAACTGGGAATTAAGTTCGCAAGGGTACACTAGCAGAGACATACATCTACTGTAGGAGAAAAGAAGGAATATAATCAAATGCAAGAACAAACACGAACATCATCAAATTTTAGTCTGTGACTGAATAGTGCAAAGTACTTACTGCATATAATATCCAGAGTACACAGAGTAATGTATGGCATTATGTTGAAAGTTCCTGTCTTCACCTTTTTCTACACAGTTTTATGAGAAAGAAACAAAAAACCTCATTAAGTCATTTTGTCTTTTTTACTTCTCTTGCATCTTCTGAGAGGATACTTTTGTCTCATAACATGAAGCACTATGATTAGTATGTTTTATTCCCATTTAATTAGCATGAACTGCATTGTGCACGCTTGCATGTTCAACTATCTATGGTATGCAGTGTAATGTAGATTTATTAAACTGTTACCTCAAGGTTTGAAACCAGAATTTTTGATTGTTCTTCAAAAACTTGTAGGAAGGTATTCAAAGTGCTGAAGTGAAATGTTGGAGTGATCAACCTTCGCCTTGTCTTCCATTTTAATCCATCACTAAAAGATAATAACAGGTTCAAGCACATGCAGAATATTTCATTTATTTAAATGAAAGGAATTAATGACAATGTTTTTCCCTTTCTTCTTTTATCGGTGAAGTGACAAGAGGGGGACTTGTCCATTCAATTTTCAAAAGGTAGCAAGCCATTACACATGGTTTAATTAAAACTTTTTGTTGTTTTTGTTTCTTTTTAAAGCAGAAAACATGTTTTAGGAATTACAGAAAATCTATGGAACAGAGAAAACTGTCTTTCAAGCTTATAATCATATTAAACCAAATTTCTTCATGGAACATGCAATACATGTACATTTATACATATTTACATATGTGTTTTAATGAACATCATGAAGCTTAGTAAAACAACCCAGCCCAGGCTTCTGCATATGGCTATCATCTAAACTCTTCTACCATTTCATAGTAAGTTGGTATGTAAAATGTACCCCACCTGGTCAGCAGGCCTTGGTTAATACAACATCAATGATCCATAATAAATCACAACATTTATGTAATAGAAAAGAAAATAAAATGAGATGACACTGATAAACATCTGCCTAGACAAGGACAAAGACAAAGATCGCAGCACTTCCTGTTTATCTTATGTCTAGACTTTCAGAGTATAAAATGCAAGAACTAGAAAGTGGCTCTGGACTGTGACATGATCATGGTCAAGTAGATGTGTATCTGAGAGTGCTATGGTCATCAGAAAATTTTCACACTAAAAAAAAGTATTTCCACATGCTTCTAAATTAGTTCATGAAACCTACATGCAAATTGAGAACAAGCCTTTGAGGCAATTTGAGACCAAACTGACCAAGACGAGGTTTAAAGTGAGGCCAGCTTGGACAGAGTACCCAACTGAGAATTATACAATGTTCAACCAAATCAGTGATGTAAAATGTAATCTGAAATTTAAATTGTTTGAACTGACCTGTTCCTAACCAAGGATGTAAAAAGTCATAATCTGCAGACTTGCTGATATGTTTGGAGCTATGCAAAACAACCTAAAAAGCAAAGCAGTACTTTAGATATAAAAGCAAAACCAATTAAATTAAAAAAGCAATTAAGATCAAGTAAGATCAGAATGAAAGGGATTTTGCAAAACATTAATCAATCACATACAAACATGGCCTATTTGTCTGTCAGATCAACCTCCTTGGTTGCATGGCAGAAATCACTAAGAAAACTATGTTTTTGGTGGTCATACGGCTACACCCGTCCTGTAATTCTCATTTTATCTTAAAGACAGTATTCCTGTTATGGTCGTTGGTGAGAGTGAGAAAAAGGTGTGCATAGCATCAATCATTTACACTCTTGTTTCCTTCTCATAAAAATTTGCCTCTTTCTATTTAGTTTTTTTTTTTTAATAAAAAGTCTTGTAACCCTTCCAAAAAAAGTTGCCATAATACTACATTTACATAAATACTGCATAAACATTGTTTTCTGCATTTTTATTTTGTGTGGTTTAAATAATTTCCTTTCTGTTACATGAGTATGTGACAAGAAATAAATTATAAAAAACTCACTAACCTCCACCAGTTCAGGTTTGTACAAGAAGATAAAAGGGTATGTTGGCCCAAGCCACACACAAAACATCCCATTGGGATACTCGTACACCCACTGGAACATCTGCGTTACAAGATCTATCAATTAAAACAAAAACTGATAAATTAAGGAGTTACAGTAAGAAAACACATCTACGGTCAAATCACACTTTCTGCATGTGATGTGCACTCTTCATTTGCTTGTGCATATTAAACATGAAAAGCTTTCCAAAATTTTTCTCATAGATATCATTCAATAAGGTAATAATGACATTATTCATGAAATTAAGAATTAATATGCACATACAATTTGATAATATAAACTTTTTTCTGTAGTCTTATGACAAAGTCACTAGGAGTAGATCCTGATGTTTCGACTGCTTACTGCAAGTCTTCTTCAGGCGATGGGGTCGACTGGTTCCAGCACAGCATTATGCATCATGGTGGTCCGCTGTGATTGGTGCATTTTGATCCGGCTATTGTCTCTGTGTAACATGGTTTCCTCAGGCATTCGCCGATTTGCCGTACATCCCTGGCTTTAATGTTTTCTAACTGTCAGCATCCACGCTTCCGGTATTTCGGCTCCGTTGTCCCTGTTTATATTGTTTGGGTTGCAAGCAAGATGAAGGGTAGCCATTGGTAACAAGAACTGTGGATAGATGTTTCTTCTCCTGGGCTGTTCCTGATGGCTTGGTGATGATGCGTTCAGCCTGGTCATGTAAACATTTGACAATACCGCGTTTTGATTGTGGTGGATGGTGTGTATCATACATGAGGTACTGGTCAGTGTGTGTGGGCTTTCTATATACACTTGTGTGTAGTTTACCATCTGGTTCCCTTGTTACGAGGGTGTCGAGAGAGGTGATCTTGTTGTCATTCTCAGTTTCCATGGTGAAGCGGATAGACAGGTGTTGTTGGTGGAGGTGGCTCAGGAAATTATCCACATGTTTCTGTTTCATGATGGTAAACATATCATCTACATAGCGCTTCCATATCCTCGGTGGTTCTGGGGCGGTTGCTAAGGTTTGTTATTCAAAAGCTTCCATGTACAGGTCAGCAATTACAGCGGAAACCGGGCTCCCCATTGGTGTTCTTGTTTCTTAAATATTACAAGTTGCATTTGCCCAAAGGGCTGAGCAATTATGTTGCTTTAAGAAAAAAATTATTCGTGTTTGTTTATTCCATATTTCAAGCAACTCAAGGGATGACTTGTACAAACAGATCACGCCTGGTGTGCATAAGTTAAATGTCTTTGCTAAGGTCCATGTCGCACTACAGCCCAAACTAAAAATTACGCGGCCAAAAAATTTTCAAAAAGTTGAAACCAAAAGCAGAAGTGCTGAAAAATGTGACACAATTTTCGGGTTGCACTGCTGAAATACGTAGATAGGTCAAAATAAACACAGTTGATCAGATTTCATTTCTGGCGGGTATTGGGCATCGATAAACATGAACCCAAATCAGGCTTTTTGTTTCGCTTTTGCCATTCTATTTCTACAAATTATCAACATGCAACAACAACAAATGTTTGTCTTTTTCACCCTGTATTAGAGATGGATAAATGAATACATGTAAATCCTGAATGTTGCTTTTCTTAGAAGACGGTGGCATTTACATAGAATTTGTGTTGTGCCGACTAGGTGGACCATACCTTGCCCAGCCCAATCATGGTTTGATGTTCATTACAACGAACCGACCCATAGGCTTACTAGAACCCTTCATTCTTCTTGCTGCCATTTTTCATATTGTTTTTTTTTCTGCTTTTCAGCTTGGCTATCATCTTTTTCTTTCCAACCTTCAGCTGACCTGGAGTTGGTCAGGCTATTAGTGTCACAAACCACACTTGCTGAACTATTAAATATTGTCGAATAATAACTACTGTATCTATTAGACAAAATTCCCATGGGTCCCGCTTGATCAGATCTCAGCCAGTGTAGAGTGAAAATGAGGAAAATTTTGCATTGGGAATGATCCCGGCGCATGGTTAAAAGGAAAATGGCAGATAGTAAAAAGGGAAACATCAATAACTTAACAGCAGGTCACATATGGGTCAAGTGACTGGCGTTGACAGCTCCGGAATCAGTGTCTTGTTTTTTTTCCCAAAATCTGCCTGCCCCACCATACACTTCGGTGTCTTTGAAGCTTCCTCAGAATTTCCAAAATTTTAGAAATTTGTAGAACATTGTCCGCATAAGGAAACGTGTTGTGATGACAGATAATAATCCTCTTTTAACAGATAATTGACCAAAACTTCCCTGGTGCGACCCAGGCCTGAGTTTAACAATTAATTGACGCATTCATTTGCAAATAATTTCAAATTTTTTATTTACAGACTCAGCATCAAGCTTTAAAAACTGTAATCAGAAGTAAGATTTATAAAAATAGTTCAATATAAATGGGCTTTTTAAAGGAAAAAATGGTATTTTCTAGTCAACTGAGAATGTAACTATTAGTAAATGAAAGTAACTTGACTTGTGTCGAGCGCTGCAAGGGCAGCTTAGAGTTTGTCTTTATTTTACCTTCCTACTTAGTAAATTCAAACCTTACAAACAGATTCCATCTTATTGTTTGCTTGTGGGCAATAAGACACAGATGATGGCAAATTATGGCGAAAAAATAATTGGCTTTGCTTCGTGAGTCGTAAGCTTGTCTCACTCACCATTCGGTAGTCTTGGCAGCTGCAGAACATTGCCAAACAAAAGGTTTGTCTTTGGGCCAGGCATCTTCCTCACTGGATCTGCAGAATGATGTCTTCCAAGCAGTTCAAAGGAGATCAACGCAACAGCAGCCAGCAGCAAAGAAACTGCCACCACTAAAAACATGATCACTTGAAACCAAATAAATTACTGACCGTGTTTGTTCTCTCGATTTGTGATCTCTTTTGATCCGAAGATAAATCTGAATTCTTCCAGTATACTGAGTAGTTTTCTGATTGTAACAGCAACAACGAGTTCTGTAAATTACCGAGAAACCAAAAAAATTAGACCACTATTCATAGGCCCAGGAGGTAGCGTGACCTTTAATGTCCGTGGAAAGTAAACAGGAAGAAAATCAGTCCGCCATTTTGTTTTCATTTGTCTGCAAAGCACGCTTGGAACGACGACGTCCCAAATTTTACTGACCTTGGATGACCAACTGATTATGTTCGTCACAAACTTAATATATAGATTTAATCAAGCCTAAAAGCGGAGCTCTTGTTAGTTTATTTTCTAGCCCTTCATTATTATAAAAACTGTAATAAAACTCTTCAGCACTGGCTGTGGAAGAGTTTCTTTAAGGGTATTTAGGAATCAGTCCGGGGAGCGGAGAGGGAAGGGAAGAATTGACGAGGTCTGGAACCTAGGGACAACGTTCTCACAACTTACAAAGCGATCAACACATATGCTAGTCAGCAGTATCTTCAAGTAGCTGAGGACCTTCGTTGTGGTTTCTTATGTTTTCAACAAATTTTCGAAGATAGGGAATCTTTTCTTCTTCGGATAAGGTGTTCGATGTCAGCATCAGTTGAAATTATAATATCTTGAGGGTGACTGATAATTTTGGTTTAGGAAAATAGGCCAAAATTGAAGGAAGCGACGGTAAAGTACTTCGCATTGAGACGTCACCGGTCGATTGAAAAGTATGCACGCGAGAACAGTGAATTAGTTAATCAAGACGCCAGAATCGTATAGGCTTCTCTTATATCTTCTCTTGAAGTTTTCAGGTATGACTGCTTGCCTCACCGTTTTCCTCAAACGTTTCAACCTGCTCTGTTTGGCGTCAAAAATTAAAACGAAAAAAGATTTTCAACTCGTGTTTGAACCTGTAAAATTATTCGAGACTTTTCTCGTTCGGGTATTATTGTTTCATGGTTGTCCTCTGGCTGGAAACACACGGCGTCTTTTTGAGAGTTTTTCTGTTATTTGATTGGGTAACCTCTACTGTAGTTACTTAAAATGTAGGTGTCTCTAAGCCAACTGTCCATGATCTTAGCAACTCTGGCTTATGAAATAAGAAATTTGTCTAACATGCTTCTTGTGTTGCGAAAGTTTGCTTTAAAGGAAGACAAGCTAGAACTTGAAGAGACTTAGGATTCGATCATGAAGACATTTGTAGAAAACTGGAGATAATACCTGGATTTCATTTATACATCACAACAATCAATTCCAAACATCAATCAAGTATTCCCTTTACTTTTAAAGTTGAGTTGATGTTGTTATTGGCTATATTACATGAATTGAAAAGTTTTAGGTGGTATTTTGTCATGTTTGCAAATAATTGAATATACTGGAATGTAGAGTTGCTGCAACATGTTCACATGAAACACAACAATAAGTTTTATTGACATGGAAAAAGTGTTCATTTAACTTTCTACTGGCAAGTCTTTGTACTATAAATCGACCCAACCATTCTCCACATCTTGTAAACACCATTACAAAAAAATTAGTCAGGAAAATGGAAAATTTGTGGCATATACACCTTGTTAGAAATGCCATGTCCATAATAGGCTAACAGGATTATGGAGGGTGTATGTGGGAATGCTCAAACAAACTATCTGTGGTAAGAGGGCAGGCTTTCTTTTCTTCATTTAAAAAATACTCAGCTCAGTGGAAAGTGAGAGTGAACGAGACTGATAGTGACTATGTTATTTGAGTAAATATCCAGAAAAGGATAAAAAGGTAAGATATGGTCTGCACAACTCTCATTATTTTAATTTTATAACCCACTAAGCAAACGCATTTTTTTTATATTCTTGCTCTGTGCATTATGTGGATACCTATTAATTTAACTTTCATGCGTCAAAATACAAAACATATTCTCCTCATCGACGTGTCCTAAAAGTTAAAGAGGAGGAGGCTGGTCAAAGTAAAAACATGAATCAAAATAGGATGACCCACATTAATTTCAGTCCCAATTAAAGGAGGATCCTTGCTTTTCCAGTTTCCCACACTTTAAAACTCCCACACTTTAAAATTCGCATATCTTGCGCCCAATTCCATATAACAATGTTTAGTTTGGGTATGAGCATTGGTAAGAAACACCATGCATTAAATGAAAGCTTGAGCAAGAGTATTTGATGCAATCCAAATAATAATATTACACGTTACAGTGTGGCAACTTACACAGCAAAATTATATAATCACACAGTTCCAAACAAAGGAACTCAGGTTATTGACTCACCTGCTTCAACTTTTAAGGGCTTAGGGTACAAAGAAACAGCTATGGTAAACAGTTACAATTAATATAAAGTTGAATATTTGAAAGCTAAGAGATATACATTACAATCATCAAATCCTATGCATCCTAGCAAAAAAGGGTCAATTACCACCACAACTTCTCCCAAACATTCATACCAATAACAGGAAATCATTAACTTAAGTCACTAGGTGGTACTATATTTACAATAGTTCTACAGACACAAATGCATTTTTTTCAAGTCATCTCATAGCTTATGACTGTGCAGGTCAAGTGGAAGATTCTTGCTAGGGGACTGACATTTCAATTACCTCAGCAAACTGTAATCATCAGAATTGCAACCAAGGTGTATTTACCAAGTGCTCAAGTTTCCAAAGTAATCACGTAATTGTTACAGTCAAGTTCACTCCTTTCAAGATTTCATACGACCACGACTTTTAACATTCAAGATGGCAGGCGGTCGTGGTCTATGGGCTCCTCGTTCCGTCTGCATTGTATTGTATTTCTACCTCTGTTTTACTTTTTACAGCTCTCAGAAATCTAAGCAACATCAAAACAAAACATTTTACGCTTCCAGCATTTCCTCTAGACTAAGAATAGAGACTTATGGCTATCAAACACGAAACTCCAGAGCGACGAGATCAAATGGACTCGTTTTAAACTCTACGCGAGCTCTCCTCGGTTGCCGGCTGATGCTCAATGCCTCTATCTGGCTACTACTCATTCAGTTGGCTAATGATGCAGAGTTGCAGCCTAGTCCCGGTCAAGCTCAGAGCCTAAACGATCCGCGAATTTGTCAATACCTAATCTCTATTTTTTCAAGAACGGAACCCTTTTCTTTGCTTTTTTCTTTACATATTTAACTAAACTTCTCGATTTCTTCTTTGATACCGAGTACAAAATTGTAGCAAGTATATCCGACATATGCTATTCTGATGTGGTACTCTTTTACATTTACACTTCCGCACGCTTGTACTGCCTCAACAAGGCCTACTTTTCTCCTTTTTACTCCAAAAAAATCAATATGATGATTTATTTCTACTTCTGCGTCTTTGACAACAACGAGAGAATTCCATCGTTCCATGAAGAACAGCTTCTCGTCATTGCAGCATGCAACGGCTTTGGTTAGATGTTTTCTCACGCATCGACAGGCAGTTTACAAGTGAAAAATTTCACGTGAAAAAAAATGAAAAAAAAACAACAATAATAACAGTAAAATCAATTTTAATTTATCGTTGTTAACGCTCTGTTTCCGGCCCGATCGATCCCTTCTTTAAACCACACTTCCTGTGTGGAGTCTATAGTTTTCCTATCAACCTATCAGAAAAATTGAATTAATCAATTCTCCCAGAAGTCATTATTTGGCGGCCATACCGCTGACAAGGAGCTAAAATGACCCTGGGCTCGAGGTTGTAGCTCGAGCAAAGTACAGCGCTTGGTAACCATCCTATTTCCGAAATATGATTGCGGGGGCTCAACGGCATCCGAAAACCGTGCGCCAAATCCGTTAACATGGACTGGATAGCCTTGTTTCGATCTCAAATAATGAGGGAGATTTCAGTGCGCAGTACTGCCCTCAGTACTAATTAAGTCTCATTATTATTATTTTCCTATGATAACTTTTGAAAACGTTGACTTCTTTTCAGTAGCCATCCTTTTCCATGCAAATGCAACATACTTTCAAAGCATTGCACTATTTAGAGTGCACTCTTGGGATCCGGAAACTTGGATGAGAAGTGGGAGGGTAGGGAGATAAACTTGCTTCAGTTGTCAACTATTAAAAGATGACTTAACTTGCGGAAGTTGCACCTACTTCTCTGCCTGTCCACCCCATTCCGTGAAAGTATCAATACACACGGAAGGTATTCAGCTCTGAATCATAGAAAAAGCAATGCGCAATGAGTCATAAGACAGCTAGCAAGAAGAAGCAACCTCATACTAAGGGTGTAACAGAAAACCGATGAGAGTAAAGAGGTAAATGTCAATGTCGAAAAAATTCTACTTCATTATAACAATATCGATTGCTATGCCACGCCCACTATTTAAAACTTCAGTCCTTTGGTCAACACATGTGTAATATTGGTTCGACTACGAAGAGGGAAAGTTGGTTTCGAGCGCTTTGAATACAACTTTAGCCTTTAGGTGTTTCGGAAAACAGTTTCTAGCCACTTTAATTACCTCAAGAACCCATTACTTCTATTACCTTTAATAAAATTTTAGACTTCAGATAAATTCATAAACCTAGAGATGATAATGAATTTATTGATAGCAAACATATTAAGAGTTAGTGTCCGCATGCATCAGACAAACAGCTACAAGTCATCCAAAATTCGATTTCACTCCAACTTTCATATTTTGCGGCCCAATATGTCCTAATAATTGTGGTGTAGTTTCATTGTGAAAATATGTTCTAGTTTTCGGGAAATGAGTTTTTTTGTTCAATCGCTCAAATATGCAAATTTTCATCATGTATATTACCCGAGTTGTGTACCTCATGTAACGAATATAATTGACCTCCGGTATTTCTGTCAACATAATCCTTTGTCTTATCTTCTAAACTTAATTCCCTGTCATTATCAAAGCTGGCAAAAGTAATATTTATTTTTTGGTGAATATTTTTGTCCGATATACTTTTCCGATGTCGAATAGTAGCATCAAAACAAAGACAGTTTTAACAATGACCGATATGACAGAATCTACTGAGCTTCAAGCTTTTAAAAGACAAAAGGATGGTTAAAAAGTTACTGTGAAAATTTCCCTGTGTATTTGTGTTGTTGTATCTTGAGACGAACTCAAAGTCCGGCAAAGTTTACTTGCTAGCGACTATGAAATATACATGGTGTGCCTACTTGTCACCACCGTTTACTAGCATAAATCACTGCGATTTGTTAAAAAATCTAACATAACACCCTTACCTTGATTACTTATTATTTTATTAGCTGTTTCGATTATTATATTACGCCTGGCTATTCCTTTTTGACAGGAGCCCAGATTTTGCGTTAAGTTTTGTATCATAAGCTAGACGCGCAATAATTGATACCGACACAAATGAATATTTACCTTGTACTAAGATTTTTGTTTACGTTGAATTGAAAATATTAGAATATTAATTAATAAGCGGGTTGTTGCTTCAACGCTATTGAAATTTATAGTACTCAGACAGGAGAGCAAAGCGTGATGCGTCTGGGAATAAAAACTTTTAGGGGCCTTTTACATGATATCGGAATGAGTCTTGTTCAAGAACGAGTTCATATCGGTTGCCATATGATACAAGAGTAAAATTTATCCAGAACGAGTCATCTCTGAATGAGTTTATTAGGGTTTTCATTCCAAAACGAAACGCTCATTCTAGACTACCTTTTGTACCTGGATAATGCAAACGTGATACGACACTTATATCTGTATGAATCCTCTTTAGGAGCGCAGGAAGCATAGGAAAAGACAGAAAAGGACCTAAATACTTATTTTTTTACTGGAGGGCGAATCTTTGTTTTTAGGTGCTGACCGGGGGAGAGAAGGCGATCGGAAATGGGTGAGGATGTTTCTCGTACCTTTTAGGGGTCAAAATCAACGATCTGGTACCTTTTAAGGTGTCTCAAACTTTGGCGGACCACCAGACACCTAGCTGGTACCTTTTAGGGTATTTTTCGCTCCATAAAATACCTGAAATAAGCACTACTAGGACGATTTTAATGATCTGACTTGAGCCTCTAAGCACTCTAGGAGTTTTTTTTTGTTGTTGACATTTTTCAATTTTTTGCTTTTGAATTGGTACTTTTTAGGGTTAGACATCAATTGTTGCCACTCCCACACAGATAAGACTCAGGTACCTTTCATAATTTCATAATTTTCATAATTACCCGATACAAATTACATGTGAAGATGCTTCCTGGCTCAGTCAAGTACAGACTTTTTTCATGGCAACACCTCCTGTAGTTTGTAAATAGAATAAAAGAAATGGTAAGTTTTTAAGCTCGGTAAAGAAATAGAGAAATATATTTTCTCGTCTCGTCACGAGCGTGGGACAAAGAAAAACTTCTGAGACCCCACGTGAAATCGAACCTCAGACCCTCGGATTCCGCCCTGGAGACTCTATGGTGAGCGAGGTCTATTACGAAGTTCTGCATACTGTTAAGATCAGCAATGTTGATAACGTCATGTTTGTAAGTAGAATAAGAGAGATGATAAGTTTTTGAGCTCGGTAAAGAAAAAGAGAAAGATGTTTTTCGTCTTGTCACAAGCGTGGGACAAAGAAAAACTTCTGGGTCCCCATGAGGAATAGAACCTCAAACCCTTCTGTAATTGTATCACATGTCTGAGCATTTTCGACAATGATCGAATTATTACGGACTTCTACTTACTTGTCCTCCATTTGCTTGAGTATTACTTTAGTGTACGCAAATGAGCCAATCTGCCAGAAAATAAGCAAACAAACAAACACATTGTTACATTGATAACACAATACACATGTGTTCTCAAAGTCAGTACTGACCAGGAGTTTGGTCCAAGCATGTCTCACTCACCTGTTCTAAACAATCTACAAAACACTTCTTAACGTCTACGTCAGTTGTCCTCTGTCTCAAAATATCTAAGCAATGGGGAATTAAGGTTTTGAATAGCTCGGTAAGCAACAATTTTAACGAGATCTGTTGATCATTAATTACGCTACTGTAGTTTAAAAAAGGGTCGCATATAATCGGTCTTGGTCTCAAGGAAAACAGCGGCATTGTCGCCAGCAGCCACAGTCTGCAGTCACGGGCTTAATTTTTTGTTCGTTTTCAAGAACGCAAGGCAAGCGCAAAAAGTGCGCCAAAGCATGTGGTCGATAAAATGCTCCTCCTCTGGCGACTGACTCGCACATGGCGCTCGCCTCACGCATGCCTCCTCTAACCCGAAACACAAACAAACGAATTATCAAACAAAAAAAAGACAAAACAAACAAACAAAAAAACCAATCAACGAAACAAACAAAATAACTCATATTCTTAAGGCTACTTAGCCGTGACTAATTAGTAACAAAGATAACACAGCAAAACCTTATTACGAATCCCTAAATCTTCTCTTACTTCGCTTCGTTTATGACTTCCCACGTAGCAGAACGCCGTAGTCGTCGATGCGTCGTCTATGTGAGGATTTTCCTGACTCGAGCGCAATACACGACTACAATGTGCGAGGCATTCCTGAAAATAACCCTCTTCCTTTACATGAAGCCCCGTCTTCCCCCCCTCTCCCCAACCCTTCCCCTCTGCTCTTAAAACCATACTCACCTCCCCAGAGACCCGACCCAGCGAACTTTAATGAACTTAAGAGGGGCTACTGAAAGACAAATTCTCAAAAAGGATACTCAAAATTCTGGTGCTTTCAGAGTCACTGCGGATGGCATGAATGATCGGAAATGAAAACTTTCCTTCCGTTAGGTCTTCACAAAAACTTTTGTTTTCCTTGTACTGTTGTGAAAAGTGCAAAAGTGAAAAATGGGTTAAATTTCATTCACTTACATATTTGAAATACGCAAAGAAATGTAACCAAAAGATTATTTACGATTAATCAATTCACTTCCTACCTCTTCCGAGAGTAAGTTGGCATAGTCATCTCTGATTTGGAAAAACAAGGCGAGTGTATCCAGTAATGGAACGAAGTTACTGAAATTATACAAGAAAATACTTGGATAAATGTGGTTAAGACAAGCGAAGAGATTAGTGAGTGAAAATTTATTTGAAAATTATGTGGATTTGTGACAAGAAAAGGTAACAATCAGCTGTCTACAATGTGTTTGTTACCACGTTTGGAAATTTGCCTTCTATCCTGTTTTTTCTCTCTCTCTTTTTTTTTTTTTTTTTTTTACGTTATGTTGCTTGGTTTAATTAGTTTAATTTGTTTAATTTCTTAAGCTGAAAATAGGGTAACTGCGTAAGATTGTTAAATATATCGAATTGTTATCATTTTTAACCTATTTTATGAATGTAAAATTGTAACTGTGTAAATGAAAGGTCAGAATTAAAAAAAAAAGGAAAAAAACAAAACAAAAAACAAAAAACAAAAACAAAAAAAACAGCCAGTTCCACTACCGTAAATGCATTGATTGTGATGAGACAATACGTGGAATCCCTCTTCGTAACTTTGAGTTATCTTCTATACCATCAATTCTGTGAAAAAAGAACATTACAATCATGCTAGTGTTACAATCATGAATCACAATAGACCATGAGATGTGTAGCTTAAAATAGACTGGCATTCAAACTATACACAAATGATTAATTTCTAGAAGTGGCCCCTTTTCTTCAGTCTATTAATGATTACTCTTAAGCATGGTATACTCAACCTAATTAAGTAAAAATGGTATTGCTATATCAGAAAGCCATCACATGCTTGAGTATCAGTTGTAGATCATTCAATGGGGGTGCCTGCTTACTGTTCTGTATTTATTTAAACCCTCCAAAGAATGTATGTAGCAAAATTTGAATATTCCCTGAGCTATTTGTACATCAAGCAATCTGCTTATCAGCTTTGCTTTTAACATCTGCCTTGGGCTTTAAATAGAAAAACATTCCTAGAAAGGGCAACTTAAACGTGGGAATAAAATTGTAAAATTATGAAATTAATTAAAAAGAAAAAATATTCACAAATAAAAAAATAGTCAAAAATTTTATTTTGTATGAAAGAAAAATGATTAAACTTTCTTCAATTTTCCATGCAAAGCCAAACTTAAACAGTGTTTGGCCAAAATCTTTTTCGGTCAAGTGAACCAATTCTTAACTGTATGTTTCAATTCATACACCAGCAATTTGTTATCTATCAAATTATACTTCTGAGTATGCATAATGAATTGGGTCATATATTTTTGAAAAACTTAACACTTACAATAAACTAGAATTGTGTAACATCTTTACCATGTCTGTTATCACACTAAGTTTATCTCCTGGGATCTTTCACCAAAAGTTAAAAGCCTGTTAAAAAAATGCAATAATTTTGAGATATTTATACATTGAGAAAATTCCATAGTAAGTTTCAAATAACATAAATTCTGATTCTGACTTTCAGATAGAGATTTACTGTGAAAAATAAGGAGAATAGTCTGCAAATATACACAGGAATATTCTCCAGGTCAGAATACAAAATAGCTCAAGCCATACTGAAATCAGCTTTGAGGCAAAGAAGAAAGAACATGTCACTTGAACCACTTCCTTGAAAGGATGGAACCATCTGCTATTACTTAAGTCACAAAACAGATGAAGAGTGGAAGAGACCTGGAAAGGCCTCATATAGTAATTAGAACAAGATGCTAGTGCGGGGAGGAAGCTGGTCAGAGTTTCACTTTAGTTAACCCTTTCACCCCTTAGTGTGACGATCACATAATTTCTCCTCACAATATCATCCCTCAGTCACACATTGAGGTCATGAGAATAAAGAAAATGATCACCAACTAAAGATTCTCTTGAATGTTAGACAAATTCTCTTTTTCAGCACCCTAGGAAATATATAGGGAGCAGTAAGGAGAATATTCATACTGATCTTAGGGTGAAAAGGGTTAAAGAAAAAGCAATGAGATAAGCAGCAGAAGTGGACTCTGGTCATTGGCCTTTTTGATCAAACAGCACACAGAGGCTTCAAGTCCAAATAATCTTGTACAGCCAACTGATTCCAAATCACAACATTTCCATTAATCAATTTTACTCCCAAAAAAATTCTGTAAATGGAATAAAAGCCGTACCATAACCTACCAGGAAATTACACTTGAAAATCACCCGATATTTTAAATTCACACTCTGAGAGAACGCTCTAGCCAGATTCTCACCTGAATAAGCTTCTCCCTGACTTGTTTTCCTGGAACTTTTCGAACGTAACGGTAAGGCTCTAAGGAATCTAAGAACACAAAGGGAAACATCTGTAAAGCTGTGTTCAAATAGCGGGAACGAAGCAATCCCCAAAATATAATTTGTTTTTTATCTAATATGAAATTCGCTATTTTCACAACACTTAGAAGTTCTGGCAAGACTTCCGTTCTACCCCATGCTAAATTTTGGCCCAGCCTCGTCCTCCGTAAAGTTGATCGAATTTTCGGTATATATAGAAAACCTCTTGCAAACTTAACGAAAATATTCGATGTGAATCTTGCTATATATTAATACATATGCCAGGAGATTCGAAAAGGGTCATTTGTATTTTAGTAGCTACCTTTTCCTGCACGGAGCAAGAGTCTGTTGAAGGTGAAGACATCCTAAAATACACAAGATGACTGAATAAAAATAGAAATATGCAGCTACTTTACAATCAAACCCTATATCTTAGATACTTGTAGCTCAAGATCTTGGCTTATCCGCCATTTTGTTCCTTGCTGGTTTCCAGGTTCGCGCTTAATTGAAACCACAGACTGCAGCCCGGTGGAACCTGGGGAGTTGTCACGCAAGGCCACACGTGACTGCCTTAGTCTCGGAGTTGGCACTGAGAGATTTTTGTTACTGTAACAAAAGGGAAGTAACATGGAAGAAAGCAGAGCCGAAAGTATGATTTTAAGTAACATCAACTGTAAAATGGGAAAAAATAACAACATCTCGAGAATCGGTCAGGCAGACAAATAAGAGAAACAAAAACAACAAACAGACAGGAGTCACTTCTCCACTCCTGAGCTAAGTGTCGTCCAATTCTGTCCGTAATCATACTCGTGATAACCAATTTAGACTCCCGATTAGCGATCGTCCGATTTTGCTCATCACTTTCACGATTACAGACCGAATTGAACCCCACCCAGTCCTGTTACCATTATTTGTCAAAACTATGGCAACATTCTCGAACGCGATTGGCTATCACCAGCCCGATTTGAGCACTAATAGGACAGTGTACGCATCATGCTTGTAATTAGACAGTGTAATAGGGCAGTTGAAGGGACAGCTAACACCTCAAGCCCGTGCAAGTGGAGAGGACGCTTCATGTGAGAGCCGTTGTCTCGCATTTCGCCGAGTTACCTGTTGTTGTTGTTGCTGTTTTTTATGTAAACGTATTACCGATGTCTAATTTCTTTCTCAGCTCTCAGGTGTTCATCACTCGTATGATTACAGACCGAACTGGAGTCCACTTAGTCCATTACCAGTTTAGCGTATAGTCTTATAGCTTATTATAAGAGTTGTCTTATTTCTCATTTAGATTTGCATCTACCCTTCTTTACTATTCTTAACGAAAAGTGAAGGTTAAGGTATTAAAAACACTGTCTAGGCAAATGGCTGACACAATTGCTGAAGCTGTTTAGAATCTGCTCGTCAGCCATCCAGCAATTGTAGATGTAAATGTTTCCTGCCAGCATGTCCCCCTTCCCACAAACCAACCTTCCCCAATCCCACCTAAGATCCATGTACATTCCTAAAACCTATTTCTTTTAATCTTGAAAGACATTATACTAATGTTTAGAGGACAAGCGACCGCGCCGTAATAACTTGTTAAAATGTCAGTGCTGTAAATCCTCTACACCCAAAAATCAGTATGCATATTCTCCATACTGTTTTCAATGTATTTCCTAAGATGTGGACAACGAGACTAAGTATGACAATCAAGAACTGCTTTAGTTGGTGATCATTTCCTTTATTCCCGTTACTTGACTGTGTGATTCAGTGGCGTTACATAATTAGATGCGAGTCACTTTTAAGATTCAATGGGTTAACGCCTTCAATGCCTTTTCGCTTTAAAAAATTTCATCATCTTCGAGGGAAGCCGAAACTATCAAATTTGTCTTCATTAAAATTATATTAAACTTCATTTTTTTGCTTTCTCTATATATATGAAAGAAAGCACTGCATACATTGGGTGGGGGAAATAAATCGAGACTGAGAGCAGCCTGCGTTGCTGGCGGTCTGCGGTTTTCGAGGCGGAGAGAAAAATGAAAAACATTTTTCTCTACGTCCCCAAAACCGCAGACCGCCAGCAACGCAGGCTAAACTGAGAGCGTTAGGAGAAATTAAAGTATGTAAAATCGCTCCTTGAAAATATTAAAGTAAAATGATTTAGTATTTCATTTGTGTTTAAATGATAAATAGAATATTACATGGCCGCTTGGAGATACTAAATTTCTCTTCTCGTGTTAACAAAACATTTGGTTTCGCTTTCTCGTGAAATATTTTTCAACAATCGAAGAGAACTTTCGTATCTCCGCGCGGCCATGTAACATCCTCTATATCTTATCATCGTTTGGCTAAAGAGACGAATATTCCATTCTTTGGTCTGGTTATAATTTCTCCGCATGTCTGGAGTTCATCAAAGGTCTGAGTGGAGTCGAGGGTAAAATTACGCAACACGTGAGCCAAGACAAGTTTCTCCTCGTGAAGAGCGAACCGCTGACCTATAGGGGAAGGACAAAAGACAGGTTAACGGACAAAGTAAGATAAGGCAGTGAAAAAAAAGAAAAACAAAACAAAATAAAAAAAGACTGAACAAACTATATTTCTTTTTTCTTTGAGCTTCTGCTGTATAAATTCAAGTATCAGAAACGGGTCTCACATGTTCAGATTCTCAATACCAACGGTTTCAATACCAAGAAAAGAGTAATCTAAAAAGTCACTTTAGAATCATAAAACACCGTAACGCTTTAAGGAATAAGTAGATGATCATTTTTCCCTCTTCTCAAAACATGAGCTGGGAATACCTGTGCTACAACACGCCCCTTCAACAATAAAAACAAGAACAAAAAGTCAAGGAGACAAATTGCGGAGTCAACTCGCTGCAAGGAATCAGAGAACATTTTTGTCTCTGCGACAGAATTGTGTCATTGTGATTGGTCGCGCTTTTTTCAGCTTCCATGGTGTAACAGAGGCTTTCCCTCTTTCGTTTCTGCCTGCGTTGCTATCTAAATTTAGGCCCAGCTTAAAACTTCGCATGCATAAAACCTAGCAAAACCTACCGATGCAGTTCCGTGGCCCAGCAGAGAAAGGAACAAATGAATATGGATGGCGTCCTTGGCTGTTCTCAGGAAGAAAACGATCCGGGTTAAACTCGAGCGGCGCTTCCCACACCTTTGGGTTTCTGTGGAGTCCGATTGTACAAACTCCAAGAGCAGTACCTTTTGGAGCCAAGTAACCATCTGCAAGGCAAGTGGGCGTGTTTTACTTGACGTTTTTCAAACAGATTAAACCCTTCCCTAGAACTTTACAAAATAAGGATAGCACAAACACCTTTGTCACGTCATCATTAAGAACACATCTATGATAATGGATTCATCGGTGTTCCCAACAATAACGTAAAAAAAAATAAAGCCAAATTATCTTGTTACACTCCCCTACCGATGCAGCACCACAGTTTCTTTTGAAACTTACCCACGTTATTCTCCAAATATAACAACCGACCATCAACAAACAAACAAATAAACAATAACAACACAAATATCTAAATATCGAAACGCTGAAGGAAAAACAACCTACACGAATAAAACAAACGAACAAAAAAAACAAACAAACAAACACATACCAAAATCAAACGAAAGCAAGACAGGGCACAAAAACAACAACAAAGTGAAACGAACAAGAAAACGAACAAATAGACGTTGACAGCTTATTATCTCAGGACTGCGCTGTTAACTCATAACCAACCCTCCCATGAACGTAAATACATACCCAGGTGACAGTCTTCAGTCGTCGTCCTTGCAATGAAGGGCACAGATGGGAACATGCGCTGGGCCTCCTAAACCAAAGAGTGCAGTATTTAAATGCACTCAGTTTGTAAATCACCATATTGAGAAGAGTAGATCAACATGTAGCAGTTAGGCAGCGAACGCTATCTACTTATATAGTTAAAGTATAAAATGAAAACTCCTCATAGATGGCGGGTGTAGTTGCTATTCTATCACATTCATGTAAAAAAAATAGGCCTCTCTAGCCTTGAAAACTTGTTTAAACCAAACTGAGCCGAACCTCAAATAACCACTTCACCACTTCACTAAGATACGTCCCCCGTCCCTACCCCTATACGTATGGTGTTAAAATCCGAGCCACAGAAATGTAACGTTGTGGTTACCATACCTTAACAACACATTCCAAGTAACGCAAATCCTTCAGATCCTCTATCGTGAGGGTTTCTGGCCGCTGCTCTAAAATGTTTAAATATTATAGTGGTCATTATCTAATCGTGAAGTTTGAATCACTCATGAATAAGTAAACAAAACAAGACAGGAACATAATCTGGTAATGACACACAATTTAAAAGAAAAATCAATCGAGACACAATAATACGGAACGAGCAAAGGTTTACAAACACTTTTGCGAAGCTCTTCGAGACTCTACATTAACAAAGATCGTAGCCGCGCGAACATATTGCCCCATGAAGGACTGGTAATGGGTTTGCTAATCCCAGCGTTCATTCGGACGCCAGTATTGACAAAGTCGCGTATGGTCACGGTGCATTTGAAAGAAAAATCAAGATGGAGCATGAACAAAATTTTCTCCATTGCATGGATATCATAAGTTAATTTGCACTTTGTTGTTCTAATGTAAACAAAACGAAAACGAATCGGCTGAAAGGACTACGTGCAAAGTGCCCTTGAACATCGTAGACGAGACACTCACCGAAAAATTTATCTACTTCTTCGTGCACTTGCTGCTGTACATGAGGATGGCGGGCGAGCAGATAGAGAGCCCAAGTTAGTCCGGCGGCTGTGGTATCGTGGCCCTGAAAATAACAAAGATAATCCCATGTAGCTCCAGGATTGGGTTACCAGAGTATCACTCTAACCTGCTTCCCAGAATCGCCCGAATTGTTATGAAATTCCCTGACTTAGAGTTTGCCACAAAAAATAGCTCTTGTCACTAAATAAGCCTGATAAGACTCAGATTAGGAACTTGATATTTGAATTACCACCAGCTGACTGATATACAACCGCGTTATTCAACTTGAAAAAGCAAAAGCGCCCTTTATTCAAGTCTCAGAACGATCGCAGTTGGAGACAGGACAAGGGATGGATAATGACCTTAAACTACACCATCACTGACATTAACCCTCATTCGCTAAGAGTATAAATGGGTAAAGGAAAAATGAAAAGACAAACTGACAAACTGCAAGGGGCAGCAGATGGGTACATAGCCTACGTGTAGCCGTATACTCCCCCCACCACGGTGAAACGGAGGCGAGGCACCATCGGGGGATGGTACGGTTACACCTAGGCTAATGGGTACAGTGTTACTTGATGGTTCCTTAATATTGCACTGTGCATTTTGGACTGCGCAAAACATCACATAATTAGGCGTGATTGGTAACATTGCCGGACATGGCGTCTTTTCTTGCCGGCAAGCTCACTGGACGTAAAAAGGCGCGTAGGTCGATCATCCTTGCCGAAACTAGACGTTCACAGAATACTTGAGAGAAGTTGTGAATGAATCATAACTCCTTGCGAACCTGTACCCAATCAATGTACGAAGGAAACACTTAAGCAATTGAGCAAAGTGATCTGTCTTTGTTACTGAAGTTTTCGAAACAGACATAAGTAGAGAACATTCAAAGAAAGTTTCAAAAACATCGTTCCAAAACCTTTAAAAGCGACACTAACCTCAAACATGAACGTATCCACTTCTTCTCTGATGCCCTCTCGTGATATCTCTCCTTTATCGTAGGCCTCCAGTAACAAATCAAGGAAAGCTAAACGCCTCTTCCTTTTAAATTCACCTTCCTCTCCCTGCTCGGTGTCATTTTCTTCGGTTTGAAGATCATTTTTTTTGGCTGCTCTATCAGCGATTCGCTCATCGATGACCTGGTGGTTTTGTGTCGTTACCACAGAGACAACACCGTTATAAACGGTAGAATTGAAGACGCCTTAAAGAGCTTCACTAACTTTCACTGTCTTTTTGTTGCGAAAACTTTCTTAGCCTAGTCGTGAAATTGCTTTGTTTTCTTTCAATTGTTGTTTCACTTTGTTTTCAACTTTTCATTCACTGTTGTCGTTGTTTATGTTTTGTTTTGTTTGTTGTTTCCCTTACGAATCAGATAAGTAGCAGTTAGAGGATTATGTCCATCTCGAAGAACAAAACTACGTTAACATAATTAACTAAAGCTTTCAGCTTAGGAGAAAATTTTTACGCATTGGAATTCGCACCTTGTTGGTAAAACCATGAAGAATCTTAAGACAATGATTGTGTTCCCTCCCTGATGGCGTCAAAAAGTATACAATGTCAGGCCAGAGCCATGGAGACCTCTGTCGCTTCTGAATCAACTCAGTTATCCTAGAATTAATTCATAGGTTTAATATCAAACATCAACGTTAACCTTCTTTTTATCTTCATTCATTTTGGAGGCTAAGAGGTTAGATCTCTCATGCTTCACTCTAACATGGGAAAAAAAGGCAAATAGCGATTCTAGATCAAAAGCAAAGGCAACATGAAACAAAGTTTTCATGCTTCACTCTAACATAGTGAAAAAAAGACAGATAACGATTTAAGATCAAAAGGAAAGGCAACATGAAATAATGTTTACAGTGCAAAGAAATCCTCCAAAAGTTTGACTATAACAGAGCATCTACGAAAAAAGAAATTGAGCATCCTTTCTTGGACTGCCAGGGTTTGAACATGAAATCTAATGAAATAAATATTTCTCAAAGGCAAAATTTGGCAATGTAGATAATTTGAGGACGACATTCTTCGGGACACCAGTATTTCATGCGGGGATATTTTTGTGGGAAAAGTTTTCACTGAAAATGATGGTTGAAAAGATTGCTTTGCTAAGTTATTACAGTATAACAATCTTCCATAACAATTCCCCCTTGTCAATTACTACTCAATGGACTAAATTCGTCTTCATTTGAGTTAGAAACATGCAGTTACCTTCCAACTGCCTTGACATATGGAGAATTGGTATCTCCCTGTGCATTTGGTGAGGAGTCCATGGAGGTAACTGTTAAAAGCGAAGTAAGAGAGGATTTCAAATCATCATGTGAGTGCTTGAAAACAAATCTTGACCAGAGTCGGGTTGAAAGCAATGGACAAATTACAGGTCCACAGAGATACATACATGTGCATGTACTACATGTATGTATACATCATAAATTATAAACTGAGACTATTGACTTTTCCCTTATTGCAACTTGTGACTTATTGTGATTTGTGATTCATTGTGGCTTGTGTCATAATATTATGAAAATTGTGACACATTAACTTGGCTACAAGATGGCCCATGTTCAGATTCTCTCACCCTTTAACCCTTAAAAGTGAAAAGAATCTTGTTTCTTGTAACAATATCACTGCTGACTCAAACATCAAAGCCATGGAAATATAGTTATGAATGTCATCAGAGTGAACTCTGATTGTCAACCAAATTCTCCTTGTCAGTGACATGGGAGCTGTTTAGAGAACAGTATGGAGAATATGCATACTGATACTTATGTGTAGAGGGTTAAGTTTATCAATAGATAAATTTGTCAATGAAACTGGTGCAATTTACAGTGAATTTGTCACAAAATTGATTTGGTAGAAACATTTTTAGTACATATTTCAATTGAGTTTAAAAAAAACGGATTGCATTGGTTTTGCTTTTCTATAGTCTGTAATTGGTCCAGGAAACTTGCCCCATCCTGTCTCTGCACAAATCAGATGCAAAACTTAACCCAGTCACAATTTGGTCACCCATGTTTTCCAGTGCTTAGGGCTCTTTATCTTTTGACTTTAAGTTGGCTCTATGAAGTGTTATGATGGTTTTGCTTTATTATGATACTTAATCAAAAAGAGCTCTATTGAGATTGAGTTTCCTTGATATACATTTGTACAGATGTAAAACAGTAGCAACAAGTATCTGAATAGGACTAGGGGTTACACTGAGATGTGCTAGCAGAGACATACATCTGCTGTTGGAGAAAAGAAGGAATATAATCAAATGCAAGAAAAATCATGAACATCATCACATTGTGACTGAATAGTGCAGAGTACTTACTGCATATAATATCCAGAGCACACAGAGTAATGTATGGCATTATGTTGAAAGTTCCTGTCTTGACATTTTTCTACACAGTTTTATAAGAAAGAAACAACATATCTCAATCAATCATTTTGTCTTTTTTACTTCCCTCGCATCTTCTGAGAGGATATTTTTATGTGTCATTATATAAAGCACTATGATTATTGTGTTTTATTCTCATTTAATTAGCATTAACTGCATTGTGTATGCTTGCATGTTTGAAAACTTGTCAACTATCTACAGTATGCAGTGTAATATGGACTTTTTCAAACTGTTACCTCAAGGTTTGAGACCAGTATTTTTGATTGTTCTTCAAAAACTTGTAAGAAGGTATTCAAAATGCTGAAGTGAAATGTTGGAGTGATCAACCTTCGTCTTGTCTTCCATTTTGATCCATCACTGAAAGATAATAACAGGTGCAAGCACATGCAGGATATTTCATTTATTAAATGAAAGGAATTAAATAAATGTAAAATATTCTTTCCCTTTCTCCTTTTCATCAATGGAATGACAAGAGGGGACTTATCCATTCAATTTTCAAAGGGTAGCAAGCAATTACGCTGGGTTTTATTGAAACTTTTTGCTGTTGTTTTGTTTTTAAGCGGAAAACATGTTTTGGGGTTTATAGAAATTTAATGGTACAGAGGATAACTGTCTTTGAAGCTTAAAATCAAATTAAATCAAAATTCCTCAAGGACCATGCATGACATGTACATTTACATAGATGTTGTAATTAACTCTTTAACTCCCAAGATATGATTAGTACTTCTCCTTACTATCTGCTGTACGATTCTGATTTCAATTTGGAGAATTTGGTATTGGATCGACTAATAATCCCCTAATTGATATTTTACTTTATTCTCATCTCTTCTATGCTTGATATTGTATTGATATTGTAAGGAGAAATTCTCTCTAAGTCATTTATGGGAGGTAAAGGGCTAACATCATGTAGTTTAAAGTAAAACAACCCTGCCCAGGCTTCTGAATATGGCTATCATTTAAACTCTTCTACCACTTCATAGTAAGTTGGTGTGTAAAATGTACCCTACCTGGTCAGCAGGCCTTGGTAAATACAACATCAATGATCCATAATAAATCACAACATTTATGTAAAAGAAAAGAAGAGAAAATGAGATAACACTGATAAACATCTGCCAAGACAAGGACAAAGACAAAGATCGCAGCACTTCCTGTTTATTTTATGTCTAGACTTTCAGAGTATAAAATGCAAGAACTAGAAAGTGGCTCTGGACTGTAACATGACCATGGTCAAGAAGATGTGTATCTAGGAGTGCTCCTGCACTTTTAATCATCATCATGGTAGAATCTTGGTGTAGTCATCAGAAACTTTTCACACTTGTCTCACTGATGAATTTCCGATATGCATGTGAAAGTCAAGTGAAAAGCTAAGTATTAGGAAAACATATGAAAAAATATACAATCCCTTTCATGAAGTATTTCCACATGCTTCTAAATTAGTTCATGAAGCCTATATGCAAAGAATGAGCCTTTGAGGCAATTTGTGACCAAACTGACCAAGACAAGAGGTTTAAAGTGAGGCCAGCTTTGACAGAGTACCCAACTGAGAAATATATTATGTTCAACCAAATCAGTGATGTAAAATGTAATCTGAAATTTAAATTGTTTAAACTGACCTGTTCCTAACCAAGGATGTAAAAAGTCATAATCTGCAGACTTGCTGATATGTTTGGAACTATGCAAAACAACCTAGAAAGTAAGGCAGTACTGTAAATATAAAAACAAAACCAAATAAATTAAAAAAAGCAATTAAGATCAAGTAACTTGGTTTTATCAACTGAGTTGAGTTTCAAAGGCTGATGTTTCGAGCGCTAGCTTATTATCAGCGCAAAAGAGATTTTGCAGAACATTAATCAATCACACACAGTAAATCCTGGGGAGCCACCACTATTTGACCACCCTTTATTTCTGAGACAAATTTTTTCAAGCTGCAGTTGGGATACGACATGTACAAGGATAATATCACCTGAATTATTAAAAACTACTCAGATCACAAAGTATGGCATGTTTCTCGTGTCTTTCTGAACCCAAAACATTTTCCTCTAAGAATCAACAGATAAACAAGAAAAAAGTACCTGGTGAAAAATTTTTGGCACAAAAACATGGCCTAATTATCCTTCAGATCAATGGTGTTAAGGCTGCAACCTCCTTGGTTGCATGGCAGAAATCACTAACTAGTCAATCTGTGTTTTTGGTGATCATAGAGCTACACCTGTCCTGTAGCTCTACCATTTTATCTTAAAGGCAGTATTCCAGTTATGGGCTTTAGCGAGAGTGAGAAAAATGTGTGCATAGCATTAATCATTTACACTCTGTTATTTCCTTCTCAAAAAAACTTGCCTCTTTCTCTTCAGTTTTTTTTTTTTGCAAAAAAAGTCACATAACCCTTTCAAAAAAAAACAAAAAAAAAAGCCATAATTCTACATGTACATAATATTGCATAAACATTGTTTTCTGCATTTTTGTTTTGTGTGGTTTTAATTATTTCCTTTCTTTTACATGAGTATGTAACAAGAAATAAAACATATCAAAACTCACTAACCTCCACCAGTTCAGGTTTGTACAAGAAGATAAAAGGGTATGTTGGCCCAAGCCACAGACAAAACATCCCATTATGATACTCGTACACCCACTGTAATATCTGCGTCACAAGATCTATCAATTAAAACAAAAATTGATAAATTAAGGAGTTACAGTAAGAAAACACATCTATAGTCAAATCACACTTTCTGCAGGTGATCTGCACACTTCATTTTCTTGTGCATCAATATGAAAAGCTGTCCAAAATTTTTTCTCATAGATATCATTCAATAAGGTAATCATCACTTTATTCATGAAATTAAGAATTAATAAGCACTTGCAATTCGTTTCTTAAATAGTAATTTCCTTAGCCCAAAGGGCTTGAGTAATTTTATTACTTCAAGAAAAAGATTATTTGTATTACTTTATTTATTCCATATTGTAAGCAACTCAAGTGATGACCTGTACTAACAGATCACGCCTGATGTGCATAAGTTGAATGTCTTTGCTAAGGCCCATGTTGCACTACAGCCCAAACTAAAAATTATGCAGCCAAAAAATTTTCGAAAAGTTGAAACCAAAAGCGGAAGTGCTGAAAAATGTGACACCATTTTTGGGTTGCACTGCTGAAATACATAGATAGGTCAAAATAAACACAGTTGATCAGATTTCATTTTTGGTAGGTATTGGGCATTGATAAACATGAACCCAGATCAGGCCTTTTACTTTGCTTTTGCCATTCTGCTTCAGTCTATAAATTATCAACATGCAACAGTAACAAATGTTTGCCTTTTTCACCCTGTATTAGAGATGGGTAAATGAATACATGTAAATCCTGGATGTTGCTTTTCTAAGAAGATGGTGGCATTTACATAGAATCTGTGTGGATCATTCCTTGCCCAGCCCAATCATGGTTTGATATTCATTACAACAACCCGACCCATAGGCTTACTACAGCCCTTCATTCTTCTTGTGGCCATTTATTATGTTGTGTTTTCTGCTCTTCAGCTCAGCTATTGATCATCTTTTTCTCGCCAACCTTCAGCTGACCTAGAGTTGGTCAGGCTATTGCTGTCGCAAACCACACTTGCTGAACTATTGGATCAATTAAACAAAATTCCCCTGGGTCCTGCTTGATCGGTTCAGCCAGTGTAGGGTGAAAATAAGGAACATTTTGCATTGGGAATGATCCTGGTGCATGGTAAAGAGGAAAACGGTACATAGAAAAAGGAAAACATCAACAATTTAACTGCAGGTCATATCTAGTTCAAATGAATGGCCTTGACAGCTCCGGAAGTTGTGTCTTTTGTTTTTATTTTTATTTTTTCAAAATCTGTCTGCTCCACCATACACTTCAGTATCTCTGAAGTTTCTGCAGAACTTCCAAAATTTTAGAAATTTGTGGAACACCACTCGCATAAGGAAACGTGTTGTGATGACAGATAATGATCCTTCTTTAACGGATAATTGACAAAATCTCCCCTAGTGCGACCCGGGCCTGAGTCTAACAATTACTTGAGGCATTAATTTCCAAAAATTTCAAAATTTTTATATACAGACTCCGCATTACGCTTTAAAAACAGTAATCAAAAGTAAGATTGATGAAGAAAATTATAAATGGGCTTTTCGCAAGCAAAAAATGGTAATTTCTAGTCCACTGAGAAAGTAACTATTAGCAAATGAAAGTAACTTGACTTGTGTCGAGCGCTGCAAGGCGAGCTTGAAGTCTGTCTTTATTTTACCTTTCTATTTAGAAAATTCAAACCTTACAAATAGACTTCATCTTTTCGTATGTCTGTGGCCGCTAGGTCACAGAGGATGGAAAAATATGGCAAGAAAATAATTGGCTTTGCTTCATGAGTCATTAGCTCGTCTCACTCACCATTCGGTAGTCTTGGCAGCTGCAAAACATTGCCAAACAAAAGGTTTGTCTTTGGGCCAGGCATCTTCCTCACTGGATCTGCAGAATGATGTCTTCCAAGCAGTACCAAGGAGATCAACACAACAGCAGCCAGCAGCAAAGAAACTGCCACCACTAAAAACATGATCACTCGAAACCAAATAAATTACTAACAGCTTTGTTCTATCGATTTGTGATCTCTTTTGATCCGAAGATATATCTGAACTCCTCTCGTACACTGAGGAGTTTCCTGATTGCAACAGCAACAACGAGTTCTGTAGATTACTGTGAAAACAAAAACTTAGACTGCTATTTATAGGCCCAGGAGGTAGCGTGACCTTGAATGTCCGTAGAAGGCAAACAGGAAGAAAAATTAGTCCACCATTTTTTTTTTCATTTTTCTGCAAAGCACCCTGGGAACGACGCCGTCACAAATTTCACTCACCTTGGATGACCTACTGATTACGTTTGTCACAAACTTATTATGGTAACATTAGATTCACTCCCTTTTTAACTATTTTATAGGAGTTTAGCTCAAGAATGGGTTGCCGTACATAATCCTTCTAAAATATCTTCAATGTTTATGAAGTATTGGTCAGAAGCCTCCAGTTTAAAATGTATTTGATTTAATTGACCTTGAATGGCCCCTATCAATACTCAGATGGCGAAACACGCAATGTACTACTTTTATATTCTGCTCTGTCTAAGCAAACAAAACCAAAATCAAAACAAAAAACAAAGCAGAAAAAACAAAGGAAGTCTGACATACATCTATTGCCTTTGGGGTGTCTAAATTTTCCCATTTAGAACCATTACGTCACGCTAGAAAAAAGACACTGCACCCCTCAATACACCGAGTTTTTTTTTCAAGCCACTATTTCAATTGTCGTATGAAATAAAATGCCATGACTCGTGTCCTCGGGAAAATTCCCTAGTGCATCATTGATTTCCTGTTTTTCTGAGAATGTCACGTAATGGAAAAATGCTTTGACATCCATGATATCGCTAGCCTCCTATAGTATTCCAACGGCGCTTTAATATTTTAAAATGCTTCCATTAAATAATTCCATCAAATGATTTCGTCAAATTATATCCATAATATGGAAAGTAGTATTGAAAGTTGGTGCGAGATCACTTTTTCAAAGTGGTCTCGTACAGCCATCTACTATACTACTGAAATCCTTTCGGATGCGTTGAGCGGAAAGCCACATCAGTGTTAGTTACTTAGTTTTACGGCGCTGTTATTTCGAGCAATCTTCATGTTCCTGTGTGCATCGATTGCGATTGCATCCTCTTGGAAAACAGTTTACTCACAGTGGCCTTGAAATCAAGAAAGTCAAGAGCTTAACCTTTTCTTTTCTTTACGCTGCTTCAACTACAATCTTCATGGGAAGATTTGGTACTATTCCTTGTTACATGTACGACATAGGGGCCAGCAGTTCCACGTTTCTGTACACATATGCTTCTGTACTGTTCATGGATCTCCTCCAGAAACTGAAATTTGGTATATGCTTTTACACTACATGTAGGTAGCAACATAATAGGTTTTGCTCTTGCAGCTGGAATGTTCGTCTGCGATGCAACCCATAGCTTAATTACTTCCTGCTTTTTCAATTCATTACTTGCATGTTCTGTCAACTAAAAATGGAGCAGAACGTTATTCTCATAATATTGGTAAATATTTTCACTTTGAAGGAATTAACTCTGTTGAATGTTTCCGATTGTGGTAAACTGGACAAAAATATCTTGACATGGAATTTTGAATGACACATTTATAATGTGAGAAATAATGTTTATCACAAATCAGCTGTAAATGAAGCAATGTATAAATCCTCCATACTTAAAGACCTCAGGATTTCTACGGCCAGCCTTCTCGAGCATTCAAATCCCTGTTTATTGATTTGTTGTCTCTTCAGAAATTTGAAACTGCAGATTATCTGGGTCAGGAGAATGTGGCTATAAGAAGAAACATGATTGATGTATTTTCAGTCCCCACGTGTGATCGATCCCTCGTAACTCGTAACAATGTTGCGTTTTTGTGTCAACGGTAATATTAATTGTACTTTTAGGAACACAGAGAAGATATTCTTTCAAATTATAAAACAATACCTTAACAAGACCAGACGACGGTGCCTCGGTAGAAATCTTAAAGTTCTCCGCAAATTAGAGTTGAGTATAGGCAATTGAAAAGGAGGATTTAATGTGTTGCAAGATTCATGGAGAAATATGAAAGGATTGCCTCTGTGTTTCCGTCATAGGTGTCTTCTTAGAGTGCCCGAGACATTGGTATAATGGATCTTTTGATTGGTTAACTTGCAGCAAAGCAGATATCGAAAATGTGGCCTGTAGCTCGATTTTTTTCCTATAATTTTTTATTTCACTGCGAGTCTTAAGTAGAACACGTGATCCAGACATAGTTCCTAATACGACTGGGTTGAGTGTAACTCCACCTGCTATTGTGCCTGATACATCAAGACATGCTGACGTCATTGCTTATTACTTTTATATTTAAGGTAGTTGCAGAAGATTTCAACCTCCCTTGAAAGGAGCACTCTTGCTTGAAAGATTAAACCACGCGGTCCAATCGCACTCTTGCGTTCAAACTACTCATTGTTTAACACTAATCGTGAAAAGTGGATCATGTGAAATTCATAAAGTCCGTGCTATACATTAATGCACATGTGTCAATAAATCGATTTGTGAATCCTTTCACTGTGCAGAATTACTTGCTTATAGCATTCAATCTGTGCCACAGTAGCGCAGATCACAAGCAGGTGGCTTTCGTAGTTTGTATATAAAATAAGATCCGCAGTCTTTCACATTTATGTCAATTGATTTCTTGCAACAATCTACACCTCTGGTAAAGCAGACCTTGGAGGAAACTTCACCATCCATCAATATGGGGTGACCACCTTTTAGCCAGCCTGATAAGACCGTACCACATCTGAAACCCGGTACGCATTGGGTTGGCATTTTTGTGCCTGCATCTCCCACGAAACGATACCACTTCCCGAATATTATGGACGAGGATTCGTCGTCACATTTTTCCCCACCGTGGGGTGTGTTGTAAGTGCTCTTTCTGTCAGCATCGCTCAGGTTTCTGTAATTATGGCACGGATCGGCTAAAAAGTTGAATTTCGGTCAGTACGATGTTTTATACATTTCTCTGTAAGTGGGCTTAAGGAAAAAAATTATTATATAACGGCGGTGTTTTAAAGGATTACATTGCGATAATTTTTCTACATGTGTTTGATATCGCCAATCTGCTGTGACAGACAATGTTGTTCAAAATTTCTTAGAAGCGAAAATAAAGCAAAATACGAAAAACCGAAAGTTACGTACTTGACCTGGCTTAAATAGAAGTGATAAAAAAAATGACGCAGCCCCAAGAATCCCTCAGATCGAAAGTTTATTCCCGGTTTCTTGGGTTCTCCGGTGAGTAACATGTTTGATTTATTTAAAAACTTTTCCACCCCCTGATGAAAAGGCTATTCCGTGTAACTGCCCTCTCTAATAGCATCACTCAGATTTTTGTATTTTTAACACGGATCGCCCACCAAATTAAATTACATTAGCAAAGAGAAATTTTCATCGCTCTTTCAATAATGATGAGCTTTAAGTTTGGAGACTTTCATAGTTTCGTCTGTTTTACGGACAATAAATTTTTTTATTACGCATATAATTTAGTCCAAAACTTTGCCAGTCAAAAAAAGAACAAATTCCCCAGCCACCTCCTCCCCCTCACCCCCAAAATAGGTTAAATTTGATTAAAGTTCGCATAGAATCAAGAGTGACAGTAATTTCTTGCGTATTAGGCGACATGGATTTATGCTTCCTTTTATCAAATATTTGTATTACCAACTCTGCGCGCTCCTTTGTAACATTAAAGACGTTCATAGTCAGGTTACGAAGCCTGAACATAACAAACTTACCTTTACATATAACACCATTCCCAATATAGGTAGGATTGCAAGAGCAGTTGTATGAGCCCTGGCTATTAACGCAAGAGGCATTAGGATGACAGTCGTTCATTTTGACGACATGAACCTCACTGCACTCGTCAATATCTAAAAGAGAAAGTCCTCAGTTGAGAGATGTGGCAGAGATTTGTAACGAGCAAAGAACAAGTTAAAACTGATTTATATCTAGCATCCTTCATACTTTAAGTACCAGCAATGTGATAAGCGTCCAGTGTAGAGGGTATCCAGTCACCTCGCCACCAAGCAGACTCGCCACCAGCGAACTCGCCACCAAGGAACGATCTCGCCACCAACGTACTCGCCACCAAGCGAAGTCTTCTCGCCACCAACCACCAATAAAGAGATTAGTCGAGGACAGTAGGATGTTCGGCTGATAAGTCTGTACTCAAACTTTATAAACGTATGTTGTCGAAAGCACGTTCGAAACCGATAAGTTTGTTCGCTTGTCTGTATTCAAACTTTATAAACGTATGTTGTCGAAAGCACGTTCGAAACCGATAAGTTTAGTTTTAATACAACTGCTATCGAGTTTCATTTCATCACTTATTTCTTCCCATGAAGTTTCATTTTCTCTCAAGTAAGTTTTTATTCCTCGCATCGAGTTTTGCAATTTCTCCTCGCTTACGTGCAAAAGACAAACACGATACGTTTCGATGTCAATGAGTTAGGAACGGAACACATCTAACACGTCGCCGAAGGTCATAATTTAAATACAGACAAGCGCACAAACGTATCGGCCGATTTGAATTGTGCTCGTTCGAACATCCTACTCTCCTCGACTACTTTATTCTAGTTTATCTCTTTATTGGTGGTTGGTGGCGAGAAGACTTCGCTTGGTGGCGAGTACGTTGGTGGCGAGATCGTTCGTTGGTGGCGAGATCGTTCCTTGGTGGCGAGTTCGCTGGTGGCGAGTCTGCTTGGTGGCGAGGTGACCGGTAACCGTGTAGAGACAGTGCGAGAAAGATGGAAACTTTTTAACTCTGTACTTTATAAAGGAATATATGTGTCAAACATTTGGCACAGCATGAACCGAAATTCTTGCAACTTTTATTCGAGAACCAAGCTTAACATCAGTTTTTCTTTTCAACATAAATGCATTACAGCCACCAAACTTAGTTTACTTATATAGGTGCAGTTTCTAGCCTGTAAACACAGCCGCTTCTCGTATCTCATTTCAATACTGATCGACACAATGCACGATATGGAGGTCAATCCATACATAGCCACTAGATGGATCGCATTTGCAGGACTGGATTTGACCATGGGAATACCGATTCTCCGAGTAAATGTTGTTCATTTTTGGATTTCATTCTCTACTTGCCACGTCTGAAGTTGTAAATCACATTGCATCTTTTCATGTACCAAAATTTTAGGCAGGCCCTAGATATTTTTAAAAGTAGCTTTCTATGATGCTAAGTCTAATCTAATATACCGTGGCATGACTGTCCGTCCCCAGTGTATCCTCCCTTACAGGTGCAGTTGTGGGAGCCGTCAGTGTTGGTACAATTCGCAGTCACGTCACAAGCATGGCTTCTATTGAGGCACTCATCGATATCTAGTAGTACAAATGATATAGACATAGAATACTTTATGGAAAGTCTGTCTGTATGGTATTTACGCACGAGCTCGTAATATCGGATATTGAGGGAGTGAACGCGGAAAACGACTAAGATTTTTGATATAAAGAACCGATTGTTTAAATACCGTACGGACACTTACGTAGGCACGTACGAACAAGGCAATTATTTGTGATGGGCAGTTATTCTGAATAATCTAATTTTACCTTGGCATGACTCTCCTTTTCCAGTGTATCCTTCCTTACAGGTACAGCTATGGGAACCATTAGTGTTTGTACAATTCGCATTTACGTCGCAATCATGGCTTCCATTGCTGCATTCGTCGATATCTAGAAGCATAAGTGATATACAAAAAGTATGGTCATAGAAATACGACAGTGGTGCGTGACAACAGGTCTCTAAAATGAGGGCTAATTTTCATGGGCAATTGTTTATATGTAAAGCTGCTTGTTTTAAATAGTGTAGGCTACTCTTGTTCACCTTGACATGACTTTCCATCACCAGTGTATCCTTCCTTACAAGTACAAATATGAGAACCATCTGTGTTGTTACAGTTTGAATTAACATGGCAAACATGGTTACCATCGCTACACTCATTGACATCTGAGAACAAAAATGAATTGCCAAAACGTTACTCGACAGAAACAAACATCAGATTTCTCTTTTTTTTTATTTTCTAAGTCTAATGCAGTGATCATACCGTGGCATGACTGTCCGTCCCCAGTATATCCTTCCTTACAGGTGCAGTTGTGAGAGCCGTCAGTGTTGGTACAGTTTGCAGTCACGTCACAAGTATGGCTGCTACTGAGGCACTCATCGATATCTAGTAGTACAAATGATATAGATATAGAATACTTCATAGAAAGTCTGTCTGTATGGGATTTACACACGAGCTCGTAGTATCCGAAATCGAAAGTGTCATAATATTGACTGGCCTCCGTTTCCGGCCAGCGGTCATCATATTAGTACCTAGGTCACCGCATATAAAATATAGGCATTGATCGTTATTCACGTGTGATTTAGTTTAGTGTTCTTCTTGCTTCGGAATAAAACGTGCGTGTGTCTTACAATCTACGCCTCCTGTTTTTTTAAAAAAAGAACCACAACAGAGGGAGTGAACGCAGCAAACGAGAAAGACTTTTGATATAAAGCAACGATTCTTTACATATCTTACGGACAGACTTTACGTAATGTATTAGGTTTATTATATAGTTTACATGTACATAAGAAGAGTAAATTCCTCTTTAATAACAACTAATTGTCAAACGGACAATGGTTTATAAATCATCATGAAAGATAAAAACCATATAAACTTATTTGTAGGATGGGTGCTTTGGCGAATTAGTCGAAAGGGTCGCTTCTTAAGGCGGGGTTTCACCTGAATTTGGTCGAAAAAAGTGAATTTTTGTTTTCTTTGAAATCAGCATCTTCAATCAATGAAGTTCGCTTTACGAAGTGTTTTTCGTGACTATTTACAATATTTACCTGGAAACGGGGTATTTTTTGACCACAGGTACAAGGCCTTTACGGCATTGTCATGGCAATGAAAGTTGTTATTTCTAATTTTCCTTCTGTTTACGCGTTCGTTACCCTTCCCAAAACGTCCCTAACGACACATAAGTTACGCCGGACATCTCGGTGACTGCGACATGAGTAGGACGACAAAAATTTTATTATGGGATAGATTTGAGTATTGAACAAGAATGACTGGAATAAAAAAAGCGAAGCCTTTACAGAAAGGAAAGAAAAGTTAAAGGATTTTCTGGATCGCGTTGACAAGAGAAATCGTCAGAATAAGCGAAGGCAAAAGCGAGAGAACCAGTGATCGATCGATCGATCAAAACCTGGCCCTTCACTTGAGCAATGTGATGCACTCTCAGATGATTTTAGTGAGGAAAGTGATCAACCGCTTAGTTTTTCTCGAAAGAAAATGAAACTTCACGTTTCTACTGATGAGTCCCCTGGTAATTCAGATGAGAAAACCGAAGCAGGAGATGATGTGAGTGTATACAGGCTGATGGATTTAAATAATTTTATCATCAGTGTTCTCCACGGTACACAAATGTGATGGAGGTGAGTCCGTGCGAGCTCATTGATATAACCATCGACAGAATGAAGAAGAGCGACATCTCCTTCATTGTATTTGATATTTCGCCCGGCTGAGGTACATGTCAGTCAGCTCCAAAAGAATTAAACTGTATTGTGTGGTTGCTTGGTTTTGTAATGAAGTTTAACTCTCAAATAAAATTAGAATTGTTCAGTTGTAATTACTATTATTTTTCCTCTGATGTATTTTTCATTGTGTTTGAACATAAGCAAACCCAACTCCTAAAGAAAACACCTCTAAGTTCCTTGAGAGGTATGTTAATGTCATGACCCAGAACCCAAATGAGTAAATGAACTTGATGGTCTGGGTACGATGCCCAAACCACAAGCATCATGGGGCTACGGTAATCCATTTTTCTGCAGTATCTACCGTTTTTCACTTTCACTAAGAAGCTAAATGCAGAAAGAGGATAATAGAAAAACTCTATTCCTGCTGGCTCGTATACCAGCCATGCCTTTGGTCTGAAAGACAGTAAGTGCTTGCAAGAAGTTGACACAATCCTTCATTCATCCCAGTAAGCAGTTTACTTGAGAAAAATAATAAAAATACATGTTTCATGTGAAACTATATGTAAAAATCTTTTCTCAAGTAGGTCCAGGTCAGCCACGGCATGTGCTATTCAAAGGGCTTGGTATCAGGTTACAAAAATATATACCGCATTTAAATACACATTTTCATAATTTTCAGGCCAATAGCTTTTCAGTGATGTATAGTTTGCTATGGTTCTGATGAAAACCATAGCTGTTACAAGTGATGCAAAAATGTCACTTTTTCAGGTGAAACCCCGCCTTAAGTTACCTTAGCAATAGGACATCAAAATCAAAGTAAAAGATAATACATAAAGGAACTATGCAAGCACATGAAGATTCATTAAAATCTGAAATTGAAAGTAAATTATTGTGCTGTACTGATCTGCTGTTGTTGAAGGTTGAAAAGTTATAAAAAAAGTGTGTTTGTACAAACAGATTTTCCTTGTATCTATACTATTTAAAAAAGTGAGGGAGAGAAGGGTGGGGTGGAGGGGTTATCCAAGCGTGGCCGCATATTCGAGAAAAATATTCCAGGTAATGATTAAATGATAAATCCCATATTCGATGGTTTATCATATAATACGAGAAGAAATCTTGCTCATTGCTCATATTTATTCTCGTTCCTTTCGCGCTCGGAAAAATACCAAGCAACTCGTAAAATATCCGCGCATATTATATTTTAAATCTTCGAAAAATGTGAATGTATGCATATAATGAAACCCGTAACTAAATAGAAATACGAGGTCGGGGCGTGAAAATCATTGAGTTGCTTCTTGATCATAACCTCAGTTACGAAGACAATATTTACTATGAAAAGCTGCTTTACTGGACATTAAGTATCGCTTTCCTAATCTACGTTGGCAAGACTGTCCATTTCTAATGTATCCTTCCTTACAGATGCAATTATATAAACCATTTGTGTTGGTACAGTTAACATTAGCATCACAAACATGACTTTCATCGTTGCATTCATCAATATCTGTGAACACGATAGATTTGCAAAGGGTAACTGAATAAAGCAAAAGACAATCTTAGCCAGTTTGTTAGATAACAAGACAATAATTTGTGATGAACAGTTATTATGCTTTTTTTCTAAGTCTAATCTAATTTTACCTTGGCATGACTCTCCTTTTCCAGTGTATCCTTCCTTACAGGTGCAGCTATGGGAGCCATTAGTGTTGGTACAATTCGCATTCACGTCACAATCATGGCTTCCATTGCTGCATTCATCGATATCTAGAAGCATAATTGGCGTATAAAAAGTAATCTAATAGAAATACGAGAGTGGTGCGTAAAAACAGGCCTCTAAAATGTGAACTTATTTCCCTGAGCGATTGTTTATGTGCAAAGCTGCTTGTTTCAGTAATGTTCTCACTCACCTTGACATGACTGTCCATCTCCAGTGTATCCTTCCTTGCAAGTACAAATATGAGAACCATCTGTGTAGTTACAGTTCGAATTAACATGGCAAACATGGCTGCCATTGCTACACTCATTGACATCTGTGAACAAAAATGAATTGCCAAAAGGTTACTTGACACGGAGACAAACATCAAATTTCTTTCTAACTGGAACAATAGTTATCTACTCATTATTGACCATTTTGTAACTTTTGGTTTTATTCAGGGGCTTACTTCACTGCTTGCAAAACTCCTTTCAAAGCTATTTAACCACGGAGATAATAACCTCTGGTCTCATTGACCACTTTGCAACTTTTGGATGTATTTATTGGAGTAACTTCATTTGTTGTAAGAGCCACATACTTGCATTAAGCATTAAGGATGAAGACTTAGTTTTCTTAGTTTCTTCACTTTTATGGACAGTAAATTATTTTTGCTACGTCAAAACAAGAACAAATTCCTTAGCCAGCTCCTCCCTCTAACCCCCAAAATAGGTTAAATGTGGTTAAAGTTCGCGTAGAATCAAGAGTGACAGTAATTTATTAGCGTATTAGGTGACAAGGATTTATGCCTCCTCTTATCAAATATTTGTACAAACTTACCTTCACATGTAGAACCATTCACAAAATAGATAGGATTGCAAGAGCAGTTGTATGAGCCCTGGGTATTAACGCAAGAAGCATTGAGGTGACAGTTATTCATTTTGACGCCATAAACCTCACTGCACTCGTCAATGTCTGGAAGAGAACGTCCTCGGTTGAGAGACAGTAAAGATTTGTAACGAGCAAAGAACAAGTTAAAACAGGGTTATATCTTGCACCCTTTATACTTTTAGAATCAGCAATTTATTCTTATAAAGGAATATATATGTCAAACATTTCGCACAGTGCGAACCAAAAATCTTGCAACTTTTATACGAGAACCAAGTTTGGCATTGGTTTTTCTTTCTACATGAATGCATTTCAGCTACCAAACTTAGTTTACTTACATTTGCTAAGTACAGTTTCTAGCGTGGGAACAAAGCCTCTTGTCATGTCTCAGTTTAATACTAATCGACACAATACACAATTTGGAGGCAGCCACTAGGAGGATCGCATTCGCAGGACTGGATTTGGCCGTGAGAATAACGATTCTCCGTGTAAACGATGTTCATTTTTGGATTTCACTCCACTTTCCTTGTCTGAAATTGTAAATCACATTGCGTCTTTCCATGTATGGAAATTTTTTAGCAGGCCCTGGATATTGTTAAAAGTAGCTTTGTATGATCTAACATACCCTGGCATGACTGTCCGTCCCCAGTGTATCCTTGCTTACAGGCGCAGTTGTAGGAGCCGTCAGTGTTTGTACAACTCGCAGTCACGTCACAAGCATGGCTTCTATCGAGGCACTCATCGATATCTAGTAGTACAAATAATATAGATATAGAATACTTTCTGCAAAGTCTGTCTGTATAGTATTTACGCACGAGCTCGTATTATCGGAAATTGAGTGAGTGAACGCGGCAAACGAGTAAGATTTTTGATATAAAGCAACGATTGTTTACATACCGTATGGACAGACTTTAAATGATGTATTAGGTTTGTTATCTAGTTTTTTCACTGCAGCCGAGTTTTACGGCGCCGTCATTCCAAGCGATCTTCATGTCCTGGTGAATACCTCTCAATACTTGAAGCAAGGCATGTCAGCCTGAGGGTTCATAATCTTCTCTGTCTTTAAGTCGAAAAGAGCGAATAAACTCCGCAAGATACATGTTTAGTTCCTTGGGCGATATTTTGTGTACTTCAATAATTGAAATAATAGACATTTTCCAGGAGCGATGGTTTATCGCATAATACGAGAAAAAATTTTGCTCATTGCTCTTAATTATCCCCTTTCCTTCCGTGCTCGGAAGAATACCAAGAAACTCGTAAAGTATCCACGTGTATAATGTGTTAAACCTTCGAAAAATGTGAATGTACGCGTACGATGAAACCCGTAACTTAATAGAAATACGAGGTCGGGGCGTGAAAATCATCACGTTACTTCTTGATCATAACTTCAGTTACAAAGACAATACTTATTATGAAATGCTGCCTTGCTCGACATGAAGTATCGCTGTTCTAATCTACGTTGGCAAGACTGTCCATTTATAATGTATCCTTCTTTACAGATGCAATTATGAGAACCATTTGTGTTGGTACAGTTAACATTAGAATCACACCCATGACTATCATCGTGGCATTTATCAATATCTGTGAACACAATAAATTTGTTAAGGGTAACTGAATAGCGAAAAAAAAATTTTAAACAGTTTGTCGGATAACAAGGCAATTATTTCTGATGAACAGTTATTCTGCTTTCTTCAAAGTCTAATCTAATTTTACCTTGGCATGACTCTCCTTTTCCAGTGTATCCTTCCTTACAGATGCAGCTATGGGAGCCATTAGTGTTTGTACAATTTGCATTTACGTCACAGTCATGGCTTCCATTGCTGCATTCATCGATATCTAGAAGCATAAGTGATGTATAAGAGGTAACGCAATAGCAATATGTTAGTGGTGCGTCAAAACAGGCCTCTAAAACGTGGGCTAATTTCCATGAGCGATAGTTGTGCAAAGCTGCTTGTTTTAAATAGCGTAGGCTGCTTTCATTCACCTTAACATGACTGTCCATCACCAGTGTATCCTTCCTTGCAAGTACAAATATGAGAACCATCTGTGTTGTTACAGTTGGAATTAACATGGCAAACATGGTTGCCATCGCTACACTAATTGACATCCGTGAACAAGTTTTTAGGTAAAGAGGTTTTTTTAATTGCGCGAAACTTTGTTCTGATATTTGCTCAGTTTAATGCAAAAATTATACCTTGGCAAGATTGTCCGTCTCCAGTGTATCCTTCCTTACAGGTACAGTTTTGGGAGCCATTAGAGATGGTACAATTTGCCTTCGTGCCACAACCACGGTCGCCATCGTTGCACTCATTGACATCTGTGACCACAAATGATTTGCAAAAGATAACTGAACCTTTGTAACGGAATTTTTTACGTGGGTACTAAATAATGCACACCATGGATGAGCTGCTATTTCTGCCTTCTATATCCAAATGGCATGGACTCAAGAACTGAAATGAGTGTGCTAAATGTATCAGAACTCAACTCGTAGTTTAGTTCTTAATCTGTGGCCACCATACACAACATCTACTCGTACATGTAACGTCTCAAAAATGTCGCGCATCTACAGCACTTTTGTCACACCTCATAGATACCTTTCCGCTTGCTTCACACTTTGCGTAGAGGTCGAAAATAGACATTGTATTTACCATGCATAGCTAAGGAAGCTTATTTGCCCACTTGTATAAACGCCTGCTGCCGTCATATGAGGCGCGTAGGAGAATGAAGCAAGTTTTTAGTATTTCAGTTCGTGCAGTGCTGTTAACTATTTTAAGAAGAAGTTAAAAAAGTTTTAGCAAAAAGTTAATCCGGATCGCAAATGATCCCAAAATTGAACTGTGCATGATCCCTTTCAAAATGCATGGATTAAGGTTTTTTTTACCAGGCTCCCTAAAGGGACTTATTTATTACTAATCTCAAGCTGAGTTATTGACCATTTTTTAACTTTTGGTTGTATTCAGGAGCCTATCTCACCGTTGTAAGAAACGCCCGCTTGCAAAACCCCTCTCAAAGCTAGTTAACCACACAGATAATTACATCTGTACTCTATTGACTTATTTGCAACTTTTGTATGTATTTTTTGGAGTAATTTCATATGTTGAAAGAGCCATATACTTTCAACCTCCCCCCACTGGGTAATTCAAACAGGTGGATAACATTATACAATTGACATTTTCCACTGGAAAGCTATTTAAGTCTTTTAAAGAGGCTAAGGTCACGGCCTCGCAGTTACTTGTCTGTGCGTGCATGTCCTGTCAACGAATTGCTTGCCTCTGATTTTCAAAGCATATTTATAAGTTATCGTTCTTACTCTAATATCGATCAGAGGACAAACGACGCCAGCTTTACGCTATTTTGTAGAAATTGGATGAAGGTGCTCCTACATGTTTCCTTCTCTAATGGCTTACCTTACACATGATCAAACTGAATACCTAAGTTATCGTCTTGTCCATATATCGATTGATTTATATGTGCGCTAGCTTTTAGCGTTATATGAAAATGAGATTACTTTCTACTACAGGGGACATCGACAATGACACATCGATGTGCTGAAATTTCGACTTACTTCTATCTTTTGTTCTAATATGTTGCTTTTATGGTTGAATTCTTAATAACTAGCAAAAACTGGGGCATATCAGTACTTACCTTTCCTATTATCACTAAGGTATTTCGAAACTTGTTTTCCAATGAACACTGCCGCGACGATTGCCACTGCAATAGCAACAAGAATGACAATAACTCTTCGGCGGGATCTAGGCGGACGAATGGCAGCTGTCAATAGATCTCTGCTTCCCGTAATGGAGAGTTGTTCTCCAGGATTTGCAGGTTCTCGATGGATATGATCCAAAGAGATAGTTTCGTTTTTTGACGACGCCATCGCAGATGAGATCTCTAGGCATGGATGCAGGATTTACTTCACTCTTAAGATGCTGAGAAAAAAGTTACTAGCGTGAAAAAATCACCAGGCAGATAGTTCCCTTCATTCGAAGCGTTAGCTTATGATCATGAAAGGCAAACACAGCAACTTTCGCAATTCTTAAAGTCTGTTCTTCGAGTTGACTTGAGTTTCAGTTTCGTAACTGTTGATGATTTAGTCATGCGTGACATTTTATGCATAAACGTGTTCGAGCCACATGTTGCTTCTTAGGTATTTTCCAATACGATAGGAACCCGTTTCTTTTCCTTTTCAAAAGAAAATTGCTGGTTAGCAGTTTTTCTTGTCTTTCCTTTCCCAAGAAGGAGGAGGACCACAGAAGAATCTATTAGCAACAACTGTCAATGATTAAGTTCAGTTGAATTATGAATAGTTGATAAACAAATCTATATGTGTTGCCATGCATCTGTTCCCTGATAGACGACATTGTGCCACAGGCAAAACACACCATTGTTTGTGTGCAATTTATTTCTGTCAATTATTTACACTTAACAAATGAAGCAATAAATCGCCTATCTTGCTTTTGATTAGAGTTAAGATCAAGAAAGTCCTTCTCTACCACTGTAAATGACACTGTTAGATCCACGATGATCGATGATGGGTTATGATTTTGAGGGTGCATGACGATGGGTAACAGTTGCAAGCCTTACTTAGAGTTGCTTATGCATTAGGGTCGCCAAAAGGGATCACTATCTTCCTTTGGAAACATTTCCGAATTGCCGTTGACATCGTTCTAGTAGCTACCCTTTTTCATGCAAATGCGACAATCTTTTAAACTACTGCACTATCTAAAGTGCGCTCTTGGGATCCGGAAACTGGGATGAGAAGTGAGAGGGGGGGGAACGAAAAACTTGCTTCCGTTGTCAAATATTGAAAGATGACTTAACTTGTGGAAGTTGCACCCACTTCCCTGCCTGTCCTCCCCATTCCGTAATAGTATCCAGTCACACGGAATTCAGCTCTAAATCATAGAAAAAGCAATGGCGCAATAAGAGTCATAAGTTGGTTAGCAAGAAGAGGCAACCTCATACCAAGGGTTTAACAGAAAATTGAGTGGAGTAAAGGGGTAAATGTCAATGTCGAAAAAAGAACTAATTCATTCAAAGTCACTAATCAGCGAGGCTTTTTCTCAGAAAGAAAAATTCTGAAGTTGTGTAAAATATATCGAGCAATTTCCTAGACCGACTCTAAAAACTGTTTGACAAGATTTCTCTATAACATTCGTCTAACAATATCTGTCAAGGGCACTTAACAGATACTATCTATAACAGATACTACTCCCCTACTCCCCCTCGGGGAGTAGGGGAGTAGGTTGTCACATAACTCTGCACCGATTGGTGTTGAGTAACTGTTTTTCCAGCGACATCACTCAGGTTCTGATACTTATAACACGGATCGGCTGCAAATTAAAGTTCAATAATAATGATAATAATAACAAGAGAAATTTTCACTGTTCTTATCACAATGATGGAAATAATACAGAAATGAAGTGAAATGTCACGTAAAAAGACAATAGATACTCAAGAAACTAAAAAAACATTCATTAAAAAGGAGAAAAGGTCTTGAGTTTCTAAGTGTACGAAAAATATTGTAGAAATTAAAGTTGAATAATGATAACTATAACAATAATGATAACGAAAGAAATTTCACTGTTCTTATTACAATGACGTAGCCTCAAGAATCCCTCAGAATTAAAGACTAATCCAAGTTTCGTGAGTTCTTCGGTGATTAACATATATGATTTAGTTCAAAACTTTGCCAGTCAAAGACAAATGCCCTGACCACCCCCACCACCCCTAATAAAAGGCTAGTCCGTGTACCAGTGTTGAGTAGCTGCTCTTTTTAATACCTTACTACTCACTTAGGTTTTTGCAATTTTTACACGGATCGCCTACAAAGTTAAATTACATTAGTGAGGAGAAATTTTCATCGATCTTTTCATAATGACGAAGCATTAAGGTTGCAGACTTTTAATAATATCGTGAGTTTTACGGACAATAAATTATTTTATTACGCATATAATTTAGTCCGAAATTTTGCCTGGTAAGACAAGAACAAACTCTCCAGCCACCCCCTTCCCCTCACCCCCAAAATAGGTTAAATGTGATTAAAGTTCGAATAGAATTAAAAGTGACAGTAATTTCTTAGCGTATTAGGCGACAAGGATTTATGCTTCCACTTATCAAACATTTGTATTACAAACTCTGCGTGCTCCTTGATAACATTAAAAAAGACGTACATTATCAAGTCACGAGGCCTGAATATAACAAACTTACCTTCACATATAGAACCATTCCCAAAATAGGTAAGATTGCAAGAGAAGTAGTGTGAGCCCTGGGTATTTACGCAAGAGGCATTAGGATGGCAGTCGTTCATTTTGACGACATAATCCTCACTGTACTCTTCAATGTTTACAGGAAAACATCCTCGGTTGAGAGATATGGTAAAGATTTGTAACGAGTAAAGAACATGCTTCTAGTATCAGCAATGTAGTAAGCGTCCTGTGTGGAGACAGTGCAAGAAAGACGGAAATTTTTGGTGGGGGGGGGGGGGTGTTATCCGAGCATGGCCGCATTTTTGAGAAAAATATCCCAGGTAATGGTGAAATGATAAATCGCTTACTCGACGGTTTATCATATAATACAAGAAGAAAATCTTGCTCATTGCTCCTAGTCAGTTTGTTGGATAACAAGACAATTATTTGTGATAAACAGTTAATCTGCTTTTTTCAAAGTCTAATCTAATTTTACCTTGGCATGACTCCTTTTCCAGTGTATCCTTCCTCACAGGTGCAGCTATATGAGCCATTAGTGTTGGTGCAATTCGCATTTACGTCACAATCGTGGCTTCCATTGCTGCATTCATCGATATCTAGAAACATAAGTAATGTATAAAAGGTAATTTAATAAAAATACGATAGTGGTGCGTGAAAACAGGTCTCTAAAACGTGGGCCAATTTCTTTGAGCGATAGCTTATGTTTAAAGCTGCTTGTTTTAAATAGTGTAGGCTACTCTTATTTACCTTGACATGACTGTCCATCTCCAGTGTATCCTTCTTTGCAGGTACAAATATGAGAACCATTTGTGTTGTTACAGTTGGAATTAACATGGCAAACATGGTTGCCATCGCTACACTCAATGACATCTGTGGACAAAAATGAATTGCCCAAAGGTTACTTGACAGAGAAACAAGCACGAGGCTTTATTCGCGCGAGGCTTTATTCTGATATTTGCTCAGTCTAATGCAAAAATTATACCTTGGCATGATTGTCCGTCTCCAGTGTATCTCTCCCTACAGGTGCAGTTGTGGGAGCCGTCAGTTTTTGTACAGTTCGCATTTATGTCACATACATAGCTTCCAGTGCTGACAAGCGAGGAATAGAAAGACTGACGAAATATTACGATGGATACTAAATGATAAAGAGCTCCCATATTTCTGCCTTCAACATCAAAATAACATGGACTCAAGAACGGAAATTCGTGTGAAAAACTTATTAGAACTCAGCTCGTAGATTTAGTTCTTAATCTGTGACCACCATACACAACACATACTCTTACATGTAACGTCTCAAAAATGTCACCCATGTACAAAACTTTTGTCACACCTCGTAGATACCTTTCCGCTCTCTTCACATTTTGCGTACAGGTCGAAAATAGACATTGTATCTACCATGCATATCTAAGCAAGCTTATTTGCCTACTTGTATAAACTCCTGCTGCTGTCATATGAAGCGCGTAGGAGAGTGCAGCAAATTTTTAGTATTTCATTTCGTGCCGTGCTGTTTATTATTAAAAAAAAGAAAAGTTTTAAAAACGTTGTAGTAAAAAGTTAGTCCGGATCGCAAATGATCCCAAAATTAAACTGTACTCGATTCCTTTCAAAAGGCGTGGAATGATGTAGATATTTTCCCAGGCTCCATAAAAGAACTAATTTATTACTACTCTAAAGCTAACTGATGAATTAGGACAATAACTGGAACAATAGTTATCAGCTCATTATTGACCACTTTGTAACTTTTGGTTGTATTTAGGAGCCGTTTTAAGAAACGCACGCTTGGTTACCCACTGGGTAATTCAAACAGGTAGATAACACTACACAATTGAAATTTTGCGCTGCAATGCTTTTAAGTCTCCTAAAGAGGCTACGGTCACGGCAGCCACTTATGTGCTCATACATGTTCTGTCAACGCATCGCTTGCCTCTTTGTTTTTCAAAGCATATTTTAAACTTAACGCTCTTACTCTTACATCGGTGAGAGGAAAAAAACGCCAGCTTAGAATTTTTACTTTGTAGAAATTGGTTTCTTTTTTGAATTTACGAAGCTTTTGATGTCGAATTTGAAAAATCAATCTGGCAGGGTTTGGACAGCGCGGACGAAAGTGCTCCTACGTGTTTCCTTCTTTAATGGCTTACCATTAACATGATCAAACTGAATACTTACTTTATCGTCTTGTCCATACATCGATTGATTAATATATGCGCTAGCTCTAAGCTTTATGTGAAAATGAGATGATTAATTTCTACTACTAGGACATCGACAATGACACATCGATGTGCTGGAATTTCGACCCACTTCTATCTTTTGTTCAAATATGTTGGTTTTTTTTTAAGGTTGACGTCTAAATAAATAACAAAAATTGAGGGACATCAATACTTACCTTTCCTGTTATAAGGTATTCCGAAACGTATTTTCCAATGTACACTGCCGCGATGATTGCGGAATTGCCACTGTAATAGCAACCAAAATGACCATAACTCTTCGGTGGGATCTAGGAGACGATTGGCAGCTGTCAATAGATCTTTGCTTCCCGTAGTGGAGAGGTGTTCCCCAAGATTTGCAGGTTTTGGATGGATATGATCCAAAGAGTCTCGTTTTCTCACGACGCCATCTCAGATGAGATCTCTAGGCGTGGATGCCGGATTTACGTCACTCTTAAGATGCTGAAAAACGAAGTTACTGGCGTGAAAAAATCATCAGACGATACCTTTCATTCGAAGTTTTAGCTTATGATCATAAATGGTAAACACAGAATCGTAATTCTAGAAGTCTGTTTGTCGGCGTGGCTTTCAGTTTCGAGTTTCAGTTTCGCAACTATTAATGATGTAGGTAACCACATCTTGCTTTTAGGTATTTTCTAGTTCGTTAAGAGCTTAGTTTTTTTTCCCTAGTCCAAAGAAAATAACTGGGTAGCAGTTTTCCTTGCCTATCCCTTTTTTTTTCTCGCTTTCTTTCATTTTCCTCTTTCCTCTTTCTTTCTTCCTTTCTTTCTTTTAGTGCCCCTATCTTAAATCTTCAAAACCTCGAAACGTTGACAAAACTCTACACTTTGTTGCGGGCTTATCACTCCCTGTTACGCATATCCAAGTAGCGACTAACTGCAGGACTCTAGAAGCCGCCCTCGTTAAAAGAAAGTGAAAATAAAGAAAACGATAACAGGAATAACTTTCGCGTCAACCCAGCGCGAGTTATCAACTGGCTAGGGGCATGGGAAATGGAGAGAGTCTCAAGAAGGAGGAGGTTACAAAACAATGCCATATAAGTCGGCCTGTGGCAAATATTTCAGTTGTCGAAATACCATTACCAAAGCTACTGAATACGTAACTTTCGGGTTTTTCTTTCAGTATTTTGGTTTTCTTTTCCTTCCAGGTAAGTTTGAACGTCACTGCCCGTAAGCGATACGGATTTTTCTAATGTTTTAGCAGCCATAATCCGAAAAAATTCCGACAAACGACCTTGGATTGAGATTGGTGAAGGCTTCGCCGTTCATTCATCAACCTGAAACCAAACCAAAAAAAAACCAACATTTTGCAAGTGTTGGTACCAAACTAGCGAGTAAACTACCCACCAAAAGCAATCATATGGATTATCTCAAGAAATTAAAATCGCCTGATTCTTCCTTTTTTTCCAAACCGATTTCCCAAGATGACGTTAAACAAGAAATTCTATCACTACCAAACAACAAATCGTATGGTTTATACTCTTGTCCTACGCAATTTCTTAAACGTTCGTGTAATATTTTATCTCCTGTCCTTTCGCCTTAAACAAAAGAAAATCCGTTATCTTCCTCAAATAAGTATATTTGCTTGTGAAAAAAATAGAAGAGTCAGCTTGGAACATAAGAGTTATATCAAGTATTTAGGTGTTTTGATCGATGAAAATCTTTCTTGGAAAAACCATTTGGACTGTGTTATCACTAAAATAAGCAAGACCATAGGAATGATTGCTAAGCTGAGACACTTTGTTCCATCATCTGTACTCACAAATATTAATAAATCCTTAGTTTTACCTTATTTAACTTATGGACTCGTTGCTTGAGGTAATGCGTCAAAAAACTATCTAAACAAAATTGTTGTTCTCCAAAAGCGAGTAATAATTCTAATCTCCTTTGTTGATAGAAATGAATATGCAATCCCCTTATTTGTTAATGCGAAAATTCTGCCTATTACCTTCTTATATTATGAAGCGGTATGTAAATTAATGTTTGATGTTCATAACGACGGTGCACCTTCTAACATCACGAAACTTTTTACGAGAACTTCAAACATCCATACATATAATACTCGCTCATCAACGTCACAATTCTTTAGCGTTAAGTACTCTAGGCTTAAAATGCAAAAAAAAAAGCCTTTTCGCGTGTTGGTGTCAAAGTCTGGAATGAGATGCCAAATGAATACAAAAATTTGTCAAAGAAATCCTTTAAAAAAGAAACAAAAAGAGCTCTTCTCAATATTCTAGAAACTGAAGATTCTTATATGGAGCCTTATGAGATAATACTAAAATTCAAACACACCAAAATTGAATCAAATTAAACCAGTTTTACAATATTTTTCGTACACTTAGAAACGCGAGGATCTTTTTCTCCTTTACAACGAACATCTGCCATTTTCCTTTTTTTCTATTTTTCTTTTCTTTTTTTTTTTTTGCGTATCTTTTTGTCCTGTTTTGTTATATTTCTTCATTTTCGTTTTATTTCCAGTGTAATTAGATTAAGTCAGTAAAAAATGAATGAATAAATAAACAAATTTGACCCCCCTCGATTAGCGGAATATTAAAGGAATATCTTGTAATATGTAAGAAAATGAAAAATAAAAGTGTGAAAAAGTGAAAAAAAAAAAAAAAACCTGACCGAGTGGCGCGAACGGCACTAATTGGCGATGTCAAACACACGTGAAAAAATATTTTTTCCCTTGTGTTGTTACGCTTTTTTTCAGTGCTGAAATCCTTGTATAACACCATAGTTTATATGATAAAAAATCCATTAACTCTCCCCAGGAGGGCTTTTCGGTATTCGTCGTCTAAAATTAAAATATGTAGGATAAAATTACGATGCAATTGCTATAAAAATTACAACAAAATACGATAAAAATTACAATATGTTAAGAAGTTAAAAAAATCCACATAGGAGTTTATTTCTTCATTTTCTTTTACAAACAAAAACAGACTCGCGTAACTTAAAAGTATGGTCTGAATAATTCTCTAACGAAAATGTTCGATATAAAAGGTCTTCTGTCCTGCAGCGCTATTAAAACAAGGAATGTTGAGGAGGTGGGAATTTCGGATGACGCGACCACATACCTCTCCTCGCTTTAAGAAACGCAAGGCAAGATAAGGGCGCGTTAGACCAGACATACATTTGAATACAAGTACAACATCGCAATAGCATAGCTGCGATTTGACTGGAAGCCGCCGGCGTAAATCCTTCAAGATTGGAGTTATGTTATCGAACTTCCTGGTGTCGCTGATTATCCGGGCGGCGAAGTTCTGTTCAGCTTGAAGCTTAAGTAGATGTGTGGTTGCTGTATTCGACCAAACGGATGAACGATAAAACAGGTTACTGAATACGAGGGCATTAATTATTGCCATCAAAGTATTTTTATCAAACATATGCTTAACACGACTGATTTGAGTAAGGCTGGCCTGGCATACAGGACGAAACAGTTTTAAGGATGTGATCGTAAAAAGTGAGGTTCGGATCAAATGTAACGCTAAGATCTTTAATGGCTTTTGCGGGTATAAGATCATTCCCCAACGAAGAAAGACGGACGTCAGGGAGGTTGGAGAGTATTCGGCAATTTCACTATAGCATGAGCTCCGTCTTATCCGGGTTGAGAAGAAGACGATTATCGAAGCACCAATTAAGAATTCTGAGATCATCATCAATATCAGATACAGATTTTGCTCAGTCTTGCATTCGAAAGGAGATATAGATGATAGACGTTCACGTAGATACTAAGTAGGATAAGCCCTTGGACACTGCTTTGTGGGACGCCACTTTCCACGGGTAGTGGCTCTGACAGTTCATTGTTTAAATGGACGACTTGATGTCTTTCAGATAAATAACTGTTAAACCAAGTGATGCCGAAGGGTAAAATGCCAGTGTCCTGCAATTTATTTACCAGACTTCATAGTTTATGCTGTCAAATGCCTTACCCATATCTAATAAGACAACCGCAGTTACTTTCTTTTTGTCTATGCCGCTTAGGATGGTTTCAGCAGTGCGCATTAGTGAAGTCTCTGTTGAGCGGTGTTTCCTGTTACCACTGTGCGGCGTAGCCGGATTATTTTTTATTCAACTGTAGCACGAGTTGACTGAGACCAATTCTCTTACATATCTTAAACAGAATGGGCTGGAGAGAGATGGGACTGTTATTGTTTGGTTCCTCGTGGTCGCCATCTTTTAAGATCGGTCAAACCTCAGCCATCTTCTAGGCACGCGGAAAAATGCCACTAGTAGGTGAGGCGGGGAGGCTGTCTTTAATCACACTAGTAGTGATTTTATCAATCCCAAGTGACTTGTTTCATGACATTGACAGAACAACTTCTGCAACTTGTGAGCATTCCACTGTCTTAAAATTGAATTGATTGGCCTTTAGGTGTTTCGATGGAACAAAAGTTAGCTTTGAGAAGTTGTAATTACATTGACAAAACGAGTGAATTAATTTTGTCAGCATGTCCAACCGAGGTAAAGAAACGATTAAACTCGTCAGCTACCGTCTTATCATCCCTGCTAAACGATCTCTGGCTGGTAGACTTCTTAGGAATACATGATATCTTGACTTGATCCGCTATGGACTCGCGTTCTGTCTGTCTAATTTCCCTCTTAACTTTGCGTTTAAGACTCCTGTATTTCATCCAAGCGTCTAGATCGCCGGTTCTTCTCGCTAACTTCCGCCAATACTCCCTTATTTTAATAAGTTCTCTTACCTTGTCCGTAATATACAGGTTTGGTCGGCTCAGTAATTTCATCTTTTTTTTTTGTTTTTTTTTTTGGTGTGTGTTCATCCAGGACTTCTTTGAATAAAAGATTGAACGCATTATAGCTAAATTCGATGTTGTCAAAACAGTCGACAGCAGACCAAGGGACTTGAGAAATATCTTGGAGAAAAGACTTATGTTGATAATTCTTGAAATTCTTAGTCGTAATGTATACCTACCTAGGACGTTGTCGCCGAAGTTTAAGAACAGCATAAACTAATTAGTGGTCGCTAATAGAAACAGATATGACCTTTGTATGTCTTACTAGGTTTTTATTTGACGCGAGGATGACATTCATCAAAGTTGCAGATGACTCAGTGATCCTTGTGGGCTGATTTATCAATTGAGTTGAATTAAGTGAAATACAGAAGTTGATGATCGCTTGAAAAGCAGGATCAGATGACTTTAGAAGAATGTAGTTCAGGTCGCCTAAGATATGAATGGCAGAAATAACACCAAAGTAACCTTTAGTCGTGGAAAGAGGCTTATAAGCCATGCATATCAGGAATGACTTGTAGTTTCCTGCCTGGACTTTGAGCCACAATAATAACAAAATGCGGTTGATGGCAAAGGACGAGGTGGGATTTGAATAATAAGGGACTTTGACTTTGGAGAACAGCGGACATAGGCTTCGGGTGCTTCTGGAACCGGACAATCTTACTTTCAGTGCTGTACAGATGAACCATTTCAAAGTCACATCGAAAGGGCAATAGAGCAAGTATCAAGTTAATAAGTTGAAGTGATGTTACCGATGAGAGAACGAACCTGTGGGCTCGTCCCGCCGCCGCCGCCATCCTGAGTCAATTCTATTGTTTGTGTGCGATTTATTTGTGCCAATTATTTACACTTAATGAATAAAGTAATAAATCGTCCATCTTGCGCAGGGTTAGGGTTTAGATCAAGTCCTGCTTTGCCACTGTAGATGACACTTTTAAATCCGCAGCAGATTCATGCAACGATGATCGATGATGTTAGGGGTGCATGACGATGAGTATTAGTTGTAAGCCTTAAACGTGTAAGAATTGCTTATGCATTTAGGTTGCCAAAAGGAATCATTATCTTTCTTTGAAAACATTTCCGAATTGCCATTGACATCGTTCCAGTCGTTCCTTTTTCATGCAAATGCAAAAAACTTTTAACACTAGAGATGAAATATCCAGGATTGAAAATTTAATAACACGGATATTTCCGTTCGAGTTGTTTGGTTCCGTCATGCGTTCAACTCAATGGCCTGTTGGCGGATTTAGAAATCTAGCCGGTGGCTCTTTGACGATATCACACCCTCATAAGCATGTCAACGCGATTAATCAACAATTTTTCCTCTAAGTTTAGTTTTCGTAACTGTCCATCCAAAATTTTCGAAAGAGCAAGAAAAACTATAACAAAGGAAAGGGGTGGGTAAAGGGGTAGTTAGTCAGCTTAAACGCCTAAATGTTTGCTTTTGGTTAATTTTTCTTTTTCGTTTATTCCTTTGTTCTTTTTTTTCTTTTTTCTTTTGAGATTCAAGTTCCTGGTGGCTCGATCGTAAGGAGTGCTTTATTGTCCTTTAAAAAAAAAAGTAAGGAATGCGAAGAAGGGGCGGGTTATCAACCCTCACTTGTACCGCGATGAGGTAGTTAGACTACTTGCATCCTTTAATGATCGCTTCCGCTTCATTTCTGTGTCATTGTTTGAAGGTCAAGTCGCTGGTGGCTCAGTAACCTTTAAGAAAACATGGTAAAAATTAGCTCATAACTAGAATACGTATTCCAAATTCGATATCTACCATGAAACTGTTATTTGCCTTATGTATCTACCGTCTTCTTGCACTTTAATAAAGATTTAACCCCCACCTATTTTCGTATGCTCTTCTAAGCTCTTCTAATGTCAAAAGTATAGATAAATATACATTTGGCATTAATTCTTTGCACCCTAACATCAGTATACATATTTTCCATACCATTAGATATATATTACCTACAGAGTTGACTTGGAGAATTCGCTTAACAGTCAAGAGTTTCTTTTGTAGGAGATCATTTTCTTTCAGACATTCATGTTTGATTCAGGGGTGATATTGAAAAGAGAAATTATGGGTCAAAGTGTTGTAAAAAAACTTTATTTGTTTGGACTTTAAGCGATTAAACTGACTAAGTACGAAAGGATATAGGTGTTACGTTTCTAAAGAAACTCAGGTGCTGCGTCGATTGGGAGTATAACAGGGTAATCAAGTATTATCAACTAAGTTGATATCGTAAATTGGCCACAGCAAAGAATTTAAAAGCTGACGTTTCGAGAGTCAGCCCTTCGTCAGAGCGATTGGACGAAGGGCTAACGCTCGAAACGCTTTTAAACTCTTCATGGGAACCAATTTACGTTACCAACTCAGTAGATAATAATAAATTATCCTGAGTGCGAAAGGTCCGAGCTGGTACGAATCGACTGGTAAGCTAAAAATCGACTACAATTTTGCATAACAAAAGAAAAAAAAACAGAACTTACGAAAAAAAAAATTCCTTTTTTCATGATCAACCAATTCAAGAACACACGGCTGACTGGCTGACTCTCTTGAAATTTTTCATCAGGTTCAGGATTCGGAAGGGGTTCTAGGCTACGAAATTTGATCTTTTTTTCCTGCTGTTGCACCCAAATAGCTGACAGGATTTGCACCAGCCCGTTAGTAAACTCCACCGGGTGTAAACCAGTCTAAGACTTTTTTCGATCCAAGTTAAATCTGAGCATTAAAAAAGCGCCCATGGTACTAAGATGTTTCAGAAATCGCTGTTTGAACTGACAAGTATTGCGCCATAGCAGTAGTAGGATGTTACTTCAACGAGGAACGAAGAACGGGCAACGATGATCGAGGAACGAGGAACAGGGAACGGTAAACTTAGAGCGGGGAACGGAGAACGAGGAACGGAGAACGGGGAACGGGGAACGGAGAACGGAGAACGGAGAACGGAGAACGGAGAACGGAGAACGGAGAACGGAGAACGAGGAACGGAGAACGGGGAACGAAGAAAGGAGAACGGAGAAGGGAGAACGGAGAAGGGAGAACGAGGAACGGGGAACGGAGAATGAGGAACGGAGAACGAGAACGGTGAGCGAGGAACGGAGAACGAGGAAAGGAGAACGGGAAACGGGAGTCTGGGACCGAAATTACGGTGTAATCCGCTGATGACCATGGGTTTAAAAGGATCTGAGCACCAGATTTGTGCAAACCGAAGTTATTTTCAATGGTTTTAACTTAAACTTTTGCTTCAAATTCATAGCAGTCACAGTTTAATGGTGATTACATAGCAAATTGACTACGGATGGCAGGCCACCTTTGACACATGGCTTTTATCACGGAATATTTTGTTATAAAGCCGAAACATTTTTGAACCCCATAAATACAGAAGGTGCTGTGAATGATAAATGGAATATACTTCTCAGCTTTTTATCATGTGTCCTTAAATCTCAATTTTTTCGAGATGACACAGAGTCACAGACTTCAATCAATATTTTTTTCAAGAAAATATAAGTACTTGGCGATAACTAAAGGCATTCTGGATTTCCTTGTTCAGCTTTTATCTCTAAAGCTACTGGACTGAGGCATTCGAAATGAATATTCTACATGCATGTCTGTCTCTATCTTTTTTTTTAATACTTAATTTGTTAGCAAGAGGTCCACGTAACTAATGTTATAACACTAAGGCGAATTATTAAGTCAGTTTATTTCGAGGCACAGAAACGCAAATTACATGCGTATGACTTAGCAAGTTTGTAGATATCGAAAGATCCAATTTGTCTACAAACTAACTGTTATTTTTTTTATGCTTGATTTTTTTTTCGGGCAAGTGTTCTTTGTTTATCCTATCACTGCAATAGGAAAATTCATCCAATGGTGATAAAGCTCTTGATGAAATAATAGAGAAACTTGTCAAAAATGTTAAACGTTATTAAATGATGTACAAAGTTGTAGTTAAGTGGATTTGACAGTTTTCGCTTATCATTTTTTCAGGCAAGAAGTCTTCTTAAATGATGTAAATGATATTTAATGCCCACCATCATTAGAACTCTTAATATTTATAACAGTTAATAGTTCGCCACCGACATAAAAATTTGCCAGTATGCACCAGGTTATAACGATGGTATTAACGATTACGATAGGGAGGGGACTGTAAGTCGTAAAGGAACTTTTTATGACTTGTCTCGTTTTGTGAAGTTATTAGACTCAGATTTAGTCCGTGCTGCAGTAACGCGAAGAACAATAGGGGGGCTGAGCAAGTTTGTAGATATAAAATGATCCACAATTTGTAACTGAAATTTCGATTGAGTATTTGCAACCTGTAGGACGATCGCTAAAGCAGACCCTCCTGAAAACTTCACCATCTTCTACTATAGGATGAACACCATCCAACCAGCCTGACCAGTCTGTACCACATTTGTATGCTGGTACACGTGTTGTTGGCATTTTAGTTCCCGCAGCTCCCACAAAACGGTACCATCTCTCGGTGAGTGGGTAGTCACAAAACACTGGACCAGAGAGCGGTGTAATGTAACTGCTTTTCCTTGTGGCATCACTTAGGTTGTGGTAATTATAACATGGATCGGCTAAAAAGTTGAATAATAATTGTGAAAGGGAAATTTTATTGTTGTTTTAATCACGACATAAGAGTGATGTAATCACAAAACAGGCTCTTCGTCTCTTTGTTTTTCCCCTAACTCAATTTATATATGTATTATATATATATATTTAATATATATATAATACATATATGTAATACATATATATATATATATATATATATATATATATTTAATGATGACATCATCTATACGTCTGTCCTCCAATAGATCATAAGTGAGAACCAATCAGAATGCGTGCATAACTAAGCTTATTATATAGATATATAACACCCCCTGATGAATGAGTGGTCTCGAAACAGGTTTGTAGGAATGCAAGTATATTCTCTTTGTTTCTTTCCCTATCTCAATACGTATCGCGCTCTACTTCTACGTTCACAGTTCTTTTCACAATGACGTAGCCTCAAGAATTTCTCAGAATTAAAGACTAATGCAAGTTTTAGGAGTTCTCCGGTGAGTAATATGTATGATTAATTCCAAAACTTTGCCAGTCAAAGAAAAATGCCTTAACCACCCCCACCACCCCTGATAGAAAGGCTAGTCCGCTTACCGGTGTTGAGTAATTGCTCTTTCTAATGGTATTACTCAGGTTTTGGTAATTTTAACACGGATTGCCTACAAAGTTAAATTACATTAGCCGAGATTAGTCGAGAGGGGCGCTTCTTAAGATACTTCAGCAATAGGGCAAAAGTCAAAAGAATAGATAATACATAAAGGAACTCTGCAAGCACGTGAAAGTAGAAAAAAATCTGGTGTGGAAAATAAAATTACTCTGCTGTACTGATCGCGCTGTTGTTGAGGGTTGAAAAGTTTTTAAAATGCGTGGCAGTAGAAACATATTTTCCTTGTATCTGTACTATTAAAAAAATAAGGGAGGGGAGGTTGGGGGGGGGGGTTGGCTATCCGAGTGTCCGAGCGTGGCGTCATATTCGAGAAAAATATTCCAGGTAATGTTGGAATGATGAATCCCTCATTCGATGGTTTATTATACAATACGAGAAGAGATCTTGTTCATTGCTCTTATTTATCGTCGTTCCTTCTGGACTCGAAAAAATACTTAGCAACTCGTAAAATATCTACGCGTATTGTCGAAAAAATGTGTATGTATATTTATGATGAAACCCGTAACTTTATAGAAATACGTGGTCGGGGCCTGAAAATCATTACGTTTCCGGCTCGTGATAATGACCTCAGTTACGAAGAAAATACTTATTATGGAAAGCTGCTTTGCTCGGCATGAAGTATCGCTGTTCTAATCTACATTGACAAGACTGTCCATCTTCAATGTATCCTTCCTTTCAGATGCAATTATGAGAACCATTAGTGCTGGTACAGTTAGTATTAGCATCACAAACATCATCGTTACAATCATCAATATTTGTGAACACAATAGATTTGTAACTGAATTAAGAGAAAAAAATCTTAGCCAGTTTGTTGGATAACGAGGTAGTTATTTGTGGTGAACAGTTATCTCCCTTTTTTGTAAGTCTAATCTAATTTTACCTTGGCATGACTCTCCTTTTCCAGTGTATCCTTCCCTACAGGTGCAGCTGTGGGAGCCGTCAGTGTTGGTGCAATTCGCATTAACGTCACAATCATGGCTTCCTTTGCTGCATTCGTCGATATCTAGAAGCATAAGTGATGTATTAAAGGTGATGCAATAGAGTGTACGAGAGTGGTGCGTGCAAATAGGCCTCAAAAATGAAGACTAATCTCCGTTGGCGAAAGCTTATGTGCAAAGCTGCTTGTTTTAAATAGCGTAGGCTACTTTTATTCACCTTGATATGACTGTCCATCTCCAGTGTATCCTTCTTTGCAAGTACAAATATGAGAACCATCTGTGTTCTTACAGTTGGAATTAACATGGCAATCATGGTTGCCATCGCTACACTCTTTTTTGTATTTGCTAAGTCTAATGCAGTGATTATACCTCGGCATGACTCTCCGTCCCCAGTGTATCCTTCCTTACAGGTGCAGTTGTATGAGCCGTCAGTGTTGGTACAATTTGCAGTCACGTCACAAGCATGGCTTATAATGAGGCACTCATCGATATCTAGTAGTACAAATGATATAGATATGGGATACTTCATAGAAAGTCTGTCTGTATGGTATTTACCCACGATTTCGTAGTATCAGAAATCGAGGGTGTCATAATATTGGCTAGCCTCCGTTTCCGGCCAGCGAATTAGTATATATTATATATATTAGTATCTAGGCCGCCGCATGTAAAATATATCTATTCTATTTAAATAAGTGAGGGAGGAGAAGGGGGGAGGGGGGGGGGGGGGGTTATCCGAGCGTGGCCTTATATTCTTCTTTCCGGGCTCGTAAAAAATACCAAGATGTGCATGTATGCATCTGATGAAACCCGTAACTTGATAGAAATACGAGGTCGGGGCGTGAAAATCATCACGTTGCCTCTTGATCATGACCACAGTTGCGAAGACAATACGTATTGTGGAAAGCTGCTTTGCTTCACATCAAGTATCGCTGTTCTAATCTACGTTGACAAGACTGTCCAGTTATAATGTATCCTTCCTTGCAGATGCAATTATGAGAACCATTAGTGTTGGTACAGTTAGCATAAGTATCACAAACATCGTCGTTGCATTCATCAATATCTATGAACACAATAGATTTATAAAGGGCAAATGAAGAGAGAAAAAAATCCTAGCCATTTTGTGAGATAACAAGACCATTATTTTTAATGAACAATTATTCTGTTTTTTTTCTGAGTCTAATTCAATTTTACCTTGACATGACTCTCCTTTTCCAGTGTATCCTTCCCTACAGGTGCAGCTATGGGAGCCATTAGCGTTGGTACAAATCGAATTTACGTCACAATCATGGCTTCCATTGCTGCATTCGTCTATATCTAGAAGCATAAGTGATATAAAAGAGGTAACCCAATGGAAATATGAGAGTGGTGCGTGAAAACAGACCTCTAAAATGCGGGCTAATACCCATGGGCGATAGTTTATGTGCAAAGCTGCATGTTTTAAATAGTGTAGGCCACTCTTATTCACCTTGACATGAGTGTCCATCTCCAGTGTATCCTTCCTTACATGAGCAATGATACGAACCATTAGCGTTGGAACAATTCGCATTAGCATCACAAGCATGGCTTTTATCGTTACATTCATCGACATCTGTTGACACAAATTATTTACGAGAAAAACCTCAATATAGAGGAAAACCTGTTTAGCTTCTGAGTCACTAAGATCGTACCTAATGCCAAAACTTGATTAGAATTATCTGTTGTACCTTGACATGACTGTCCATCCCCAGTGTATCCTTCGTTACAAGTGTATTTATGAGAACCATTAGTATTGATACAGTTTGCATTAACATCTCTCAAATAGCTTTATCATTGATACTTATTTATAAGTGCATCTTAATCGAAAAAAAACTCTTTAGATTCCGCGCCGCAAAGCCATTAGCTAAAGTGGACATGACTGCATCTTTGCACTCATCGACATCTGGGAACACAAAATGTTTAAGAGAGGAATCTTAACAGAGACAAAAACCTGTTTAGATTCTGAGCCATCAAGGTATTAGCTAATGTGAAAATGGACTCATACGGCAAAGTATTAAAATAATAACGCAAACATATCTATCATTGGCTTCTTTTTTTTCTAACTTTCTACCTATGGGGTCCCCAAAGGTAACTATAATTCCTAGTGAGAAGCGTTTTATGTTGCTATGTGACGTCACGCTGGCAATGATGAGCTGACGTCAACAAAAACCAAATTTAATGCGTTCACCCCCTCCCACCTTCTTGATCGAAACTTGCCCCTTTCGCAAAATTCTCCAGTAAAGCCAGCGGAACACAGACAGCGGAAAGTTTTGGCTGTAAAACCATATTGACATTTGCCATTGTTTAAACAAGGATTTGACCGGCAGGAGACCTAGATCGGTAAAATAAGAAAACAAGATGAACTAAAGACAGATCAGTCTAATAATGAAATAGGTTGAGAATGGTCTAACTGATTACTAATTAAAGAATATGAAAATGAAGGAATAAAAATAAATTAACAGAAATCTTAGAGCAAAACAGAATGGGAATAACAACCTACCTTTGTTTCGCTGTATACGTACATCGCTTTAGGTTTCAATCTTTTATTATCCGTTGAGTTATTTAGTTCACATACATATGTGTCATCGTTGTCTTCACTTGGTCCAAAGTTGTAAGAGACACAATCATGGTTAAGGAAACACTGCGTCTCACAAAAGTCGACTTTGTTCGAATTAATCGTTGTAATCGTGTGACCTTCAAGAGCCTTTTCGTTTATTTTACGTACGAACTGAATGATGCGACATGTTTCTGCAAAGACCATGAAAAGTCATGAGGTAAAATAGTATTGGCTTGAAATAGCCAGTGTCAAAGCGACAACGATGACATACTTCTCTCTAGCCAGAATTAGAAATCGTTACTATTCAAGTGTTAGGAAACACGACGGAATGCTTGGGGCTATTTACGTCATTCATGTGGTACCGCAAGTAACAGTGTGTCAGTTGTAAGGTTTAATTTTTCACGGAAACCAGGTGTAATTTCTGCACAATCACATCATGTCTAGACCTTCAAAATTACTGATAACGAAAACCGATGAGAGTGCCTCACCTTCTGGCTTAGCAGAAGCCAAAGCGACCGCAGTGCAAATGACATGGAGCAATGGAATTAGAATCATTTTTAGAATGTCTTGTAAAATAGTACGCTCGTGGAAATGATAAGGGGTTATTCAAACAACCTCTGCTTTAAATGTCTTGATTGGAAACAGATATTCGCGACTTCACTGAATAAGAAACCTTGTGCTTGCAGTGTCCAGTCATCAATCATTTCAACTGATTCACTACATCGAAGTTATCCTGCACAGTCATGAATAATTTATGTTGAAAGTTTGCTCTCTTTGGTTTTTGAGAGTTACGGTTTATTAAGTTTATTAAACACCAAAAAGTTGTTAAAGCTGGAATTTTAATTGATTTTGATTCATTACCATATTGGTGTTCATAATTTTAAGCAGAAGATTTTCAAGAAACGAAGTATTAAAATAAGTTATGTAAAGTTTTAGAGTAATATAGCCTTGGAAGTTATCAAAGTTCGTTGATATTTTATTTTTAATAAAGTTAATATCGCAACCAATCGTCATGGTAAAAGATTAACGAATCGGTAAGTAACCATGCTAAGATTTCCTATACAAGGAACTGAATAGAAGAGATCACTATGCGGGATCTCTCCAAGAGACAGAGGTAGTTATTTTCGCAATACGCTTCACATGAGTATGATCAATCCCTATTTCTGTTATATTTCAATGTTGATCATCTATTCATTTTTGACCTGTTTCGTTTTTTCTCCTTTGGTGGTTAATTTTTGTCTTTGTTTTTTTTTCTTTGTACCCAAATATTATAATTATTTTAGAATCAAAAAATGTTTGCAAATAAAGTTTTAAAATGATCCTTTGTGGTCTTTTCATCACCACTTCCTCGTTATACCCTATCGATGGCAGCGATGTTGGGTACATTGCGTTTATGAGCACGTTTCTGCGTGAGAGATTCCAGCTGCCTATTACAAAACAAAGGCTTATTCCTCAGTCTCCACGGTTTCTAAGTGTTACACCTAACAAAGCAATCCTTTAGAAATAGAAAGCTTTATCTCCATTGTTATGCAATTCTGAGTACAAAAGTCAGTGATAAACATTTCTTTAAGCTTTATCGAGGCGTCCTGTTTTTCCTGATCAGCCATCCTAAGTTTATTCTTTCCTTTTCCCTGTTGTCAACATGTTCCTTTAAACTTCTCTCATGTAATTTTTCCAAGATAAAATTTGTTCCATGATACTCCTGCAGAATCTACTGATTACACAGGAGCTTACAAAACTCAGTGAAAAATACTTATAAATTCCACAGAAGTGTCTCTTTAAAAAACGTAGACTGTATTCCTTTTTAAAGGCAATGGTATTCGTAAAAAGATGTAAAATTGTAGTTTAAGAATTTGTTGGGTGCGCGACGGTGGTCAAAAATAATTACCAACAAAGAGTGTAAACCTTTCCCTTTAGGCCTGTGCGTAATTGTTGTCGAAAAAAAGCCAAAGTCTGAATCATTTCAACTGAGAACATGACTACCATTTATGCTACTCATCAATAATTCAGCACTGAAATTGTTTTTTTCTATTTGAGACTGAGTTTGTAATCATCGGCAGGAAAAAGTGGGTACATTTATTTCATTTCATATCTACATACTTTGTAAGAATGTAGTCAATTTAAAACCGCACAGGTTCAGAGTAGGAGGTTTGATAATACATGCCGTGCATTTCTAGAAGAAATGGAAATTATCTGATTTCATTCATATTTTACACCCAATTCAATTATTCATAGACAAGCGTTCTCACAAAAGAGAAGTTAATCGATATGTGATTGGAAGAGCTTTCCTGCCTTGGGTAAATAAATTTTATCACGGTAAATGATCTGAAATAAAAATAAGTTAATATTTTCACAATAGGCTACAAAGAAGAGATTATGGTTTATCTTTAAAAATGTTTTCAGATCATATTTTTCTCCTTTTTTTTAAATTTATTTCCTTTTCTCATTTTCATCAAGTATTTTCAAGTGTACCCATTTCTTCTAATTATATTAGATTTATATGAAATTTCATGGGCATTGGCGAAAAAATGACATGTATGCTTTAATTTTTGTTTGTAAAACATTCCGTCAATTTGTCAAAATCTAATTATGTAGTGATGGTTATGCAAGACCCCTCACGGATTTCTCGCACGTACGTTAGGCTCTTCACCTCGAATCTCGGGGGTTTTTAATTTTTTCATTTCGTCTTACTTTCCTGTCTTTTGTTTTAAACATTCACCGATCTGGAATTTTTTTTTTTACAAAATAGAAAATTTAAAGTGCTATTTAAGGAAACATTTTCATGATTGTTAGTTGATTCTCATTTATTATTAAACAAGGGAAGTTCTTTTGTAGTTTAACATTCGGAGTTTTGAGAACTAGGTCTAATACAAACTCCATGTCTGTGATAATATCTTTAGAAGACTGACTCTGCATGATCTTACATATTTCCTAATTAATTATGGCCTCGCTCCGGCCATAATTAGTAAACATAATATTTGCAATGAAATGTTTTAATAAGATATGGAGGCAAAATATCTTCAGAAGTAATAATGATTAAGAGCCAGATAAAATTTCTGCAGACATACAGATTGTGCCTAAGATGTGGACAACTTACAATTCATTAAGATTAAGGCAGTTGCTCTGGGTAACATTTGCCCAACGTATTCTGCTACACTATTGTTTCATTAAACTAAACCTTTAGCTAAATATTCAGTATTTACTACTTACAAGAATTACCATGGGGGAAACTTATCTGCACGATTCTGTTGACAACATTGATTAACTCGTCTTTATTGCTTGCCTTAAATTTAGTAATTGAGCTGAAATCCTCAAAAAATAAGTTTTAGATATGATTGACCCAAAAACAGTAAAAAAAAAAAAGTAAAAAAACTATAAACTATCGACGCAAATTATATTGTGTACACACCTCGACATCTACAGCAACGCATTAAACAACATAATCAAAGATTGACTGCCTGATTTTTGAAATTCTCCTCATTAGGAAATTGAGACCGAAGTTAACACTTAAATGGACTCCGTTCGTGGTGAAGTTTTTACGTAACGTTACGTGCAAATACTTCATCGCTCTATTTTTATATTTTTTCTTCTTCTTGATATGATTATTTAATGATTGTTTTACTTTTTCTATTGTGTTCATACAATGTATATTAAGCTTTTTGTACTGACTTTATAACGACAGTTTTTACTGTGACACTAGTTCGAATTTGAAATAAATACTCTCATCGCAATGGAATTACGCCTGGAAATTTTAGGAAATAATCAGCAAGAAAATTTTATCAGGGATATTCCCAAACTCTAGGTGGCGAATATTCGGTCAAGGAATGCGTGTTGACCCATAATTCAAACTAATAAGTTTATTACGATTCGATGAAATTTAAGGTTCCGCAACAGTGTATGTAACAGGCTGGGAACAACCGATAAATTTGTTTCAAAGCCTAATTTGCACAAGTCTATCCAGTGATGGCCAAATTCTCAAAATACTGAAACACAAGAGAGCCTTATTTACCCAGCCTTCTCCTTCTTTAATTGTGCCACGATGGTTGAACGTCGAAATGCAAAACTTACACATTTGCTCTTGGATAGATGGTGTTTGTTAACCGGTTGCGTTCAGGAAGGGAGAGGAGAGCGCCCCTGATAACTCAGTACTTAAAGGAAAGATGATAGGGAATTTCCCCTGGCTAGATTATGTGCTATAATTATATCACTACCGATTAAGACAGTCATTTGAGAAGTATAATCATGTGCTCTCCGCCATTTTGGACTCTAACAACCTGGATTGCTGTTTAGTAAAGCTAACTCTACCCTTTAGACGATGATCTACAATGGCAAGTTTAAAGTGGGGCCGCCCTTCCATCTTTCTTAGGAATTTTTCTTTTCAATCTATTTATCTTTGATTAGATCCTTCTGAGTTGACGTTATTAAGTCTTTATCAATGACTGAGATCAAATTACGATACCACCTCATTCCTTCCTACTCCCTCTTCACTTAGTCTCTGTTTTTTTTGGATCTGTCTGTGGTTGATCCTAGCATAATTATCAGTCAGTGCCACAATAGCGTTGGTTGCAGGATGTTCGTGGCGTTAGTTGGTAAACATAGAAAGATCCACAGTTTCTCACTTTAATATAAACTGGATGTTTACAACAGTCTGTACGACCCCGAAAGCAAACCGTCCTGCTGACCTTTCCATCAGCTACTGTTGGATGATAACCGTCTAGCCAACCCGTAGAGTCAGTGCCACATTTTTTGTAAGGTACACATTTGGTTGGCATCTTCGTTCCTGCATCTCCTTTGAAACGAAACCAGTCCGCACTGAGGTCGTTGTCGCAAGATTCTCTTCCCTGGGGTGTGTCGTAGGTGGTTTTTCTTGTTCCACTGGTCAGAAGTGAGTAGCTTACACATTCTAAATAGTTATGGAAAAGAAAAAAACTATTAAGCAAAACTAAAGCTCTTCATCGTCACAATTTATAACTTTTATGCTGTCAAACTACTTACCCTCTGGCGTGCAAATGGTTTTTCCGTCGCCTTCGTAACCATCTTTACAAACACAGTTTTACGATCCAACCGTATTTAAACAGTTTGCCGATTCGTTGAGACACTCATGAATTCCATGAGTGCACTCGTCAATATCTATGGCACAAATGTAATAGCAGTTGTAACGTAAACAATTAATTCAAAATTCTATTTCTTTCTGGAGGAGCCGGGATGGCGCAGTGCTGAGAGTGCTCGACTCCCAACATTGTGGCCCAGGTTTGTTCTCCAGACCTGGTGTCACGTGTGGGTTGAGTTTGTTGTTGGTTTTCGTCCTTGCTACGCAAATTTGTTCTCCGGGTCCTCTGGTTTTCCTCCCTCCACAAAAACCAACTTTTCAAAGAAGGGCTACTTCCACTACTAAATCCCATAACCATCTTATTATTATTATTATTATTATTATTATTATTGTTATTGTTATTATTTTAAAGAAAGGAACAAAACTGAACATTCCCTGCATTCATTCAGGGAGAAATTGAACGAGTGAGTGAGGAAAATAAATGGTTGCATTTAGCAGTGAATTAAAGAATGAATGATGATTGATTTAGATTTTACTTTGCAAGTTTATGCTTTACCTTCCGTTTTCATATCGCAGTGAACCAAAACAGCATAATTAAGTAGATTAAATTTAAACCAGTAGTTGCCGCTGACCGCTTGTTCTCCCTCACTGGCTTTAATTTCTTTACACGATTCAGCGGGAAGCTCCGGAATGAATCCCAGTGGAACTGAAAAATGATAAAAAGATGATTACAGTAACGTTTCTGAAAGGAGAAACTGACAGTTTTGGATGATTCACAGAACTTAAACGAAGAAAAAAGTAGAGGATTTTGATCAGAAAATACAAACAAATAGAGAAACAGATAAATATATAAATGCATAAGAAATTTTTAAATATCTAGATAATGATAACGAATAAAACATTCCAGTTGAACGAAACATACTTAAAAGATAACTTTTAGGGTCGAGATCAACTTTCTGTTCGAGGATACAAATAACAGTAAAAAATATTGTCCAAAGCTTGCTTTCAGCGATAGCAGAAAGGTCAGCATCTCTCTCTCGAAATGTTTTACTTTCTCTCTTTTTCTTACTAAAAACAAACCTCTGTTTCTAACTCTTCCATAATAATACCGATCAGAGTCAGGGACGAAGTCTTCAGGTCTGGCTTCCTTAGTGCGGTTATTCATCTCACAGATGTTCTTGGAAACGATGTAGTTGAAGCTTTGACATCTTTCCTCGTCGTTACAGGCCGTAAGACACTCAAATGTGGTAGAGGTCTCAACTTCCTTGAAGATGTGTCATCATGTGAAGCATCATTCCATATACGGAAACTTGACGACTGCACTGCTTTGCAATTAGTCCGGAGAACATTTGGCACAGCATTAGCAGAACTGGAAAGCGACGAGTCAGAACCATCCTTAAGTGAGCGATCAATATGTATTGAAAATTCTGCGATTGAATTTTTCCCTGATATTTCTCCTTTACTTTCCCTTTATCTTCCTGTTATGAAGACCACTGATTTTGGACCTGAAGTAAAATGAATTAACATTTTTAGCGGAAAAGCTGTTTAAAAATATATTCAGAAGACATCTGGCCGGCAGCTATGAGTCTCTCTCTCACTGTTCGTTTCCTGCTAATTGACTTGTTATTTTCCTTTTCTTGATTAAAGGAATCAATTATTCATTTCATTTTGCTTTAAACTGGGGAAAAAATTGCTTGAATTAAAACATCGTTCTCATTATATTGTATTAGCATCCATCATCTACTTATTCACATGTTTTGTGAAAGTGAAATTTCGAGTCTTCGCAGGGAGGCTGAGGTAGTTAATTAGTCCTGGGCTCATTAGACATGTCGATTTGTTGACACTTTTCTTGCAGACGCAGCTTAAGATTTTTAAACCTTTCTTAGTCTATCTCTACTGTAGTTGATAAAGGAAATTGATTATAAAGTTCTCCAGATTACTTTGTCATGTGCTTTTTTTTTTCAAGACTTAATTGCACAATGTTTAATAGTATTTCTGTTATATTGCTTAAACTGATAAATAGCAGTCTTATCCGAAATGAATCAGTCACAGTATGTGAACACGAAAACAAAAGATTGTAGATGGTTAGGATGCTCACAATATAAACTTCAGCATCCTTGTTTTCTCCTTATTTTTTTGATATTCTCTTACTGGCATTAATTATGACTCCGACATGACGGGAAGAGCTTGCGATGCTTTTCAGAGAGTTTTTCTCGGCTGAAAATCAATAACATTGTTCTGTTAATTGCGCCTTCAGCCAATGTTGGATTACTGCCATCCAGTCAACCTGTAGCACGTCTCATTATGGGTTGAAATTTGGTCGGCATCCCTTGTTCGCACATTTCCTAACAAACTAATCCAGCCAGGTTCAAAGTAAATTTCGCAATATTTGGTTCCTGTGACGTGCGTGGTTTTCCACGGTTTTGCTCGTCACATCTGAGTAGATGTAGAGTACCTTTACTTTTAAGAGAATCCATCAATTGAGTGTCAAAAGCAATCCGGGATTCCATTTGTTTTACTTTACTTTTCTCTGAGGAGGGTCCAGAAAGGTGTCTCAACAGATCAGATGCAAAAGTAAAACCAATCACATCTGGGTCGGCCGCGTTTTCTCTCGCTTTCTCTCGCTTTCTTTCGAAGTTTAATTGTTTTTACTTTGGGTTCTTATTGGTATTTTCTTATCTTTTGATTGGCTGTTGTAATTATTTGGTTGGGGTTTTATGGCATTCAATAGAAAAGCACTCTAATGCTCTATTTTAGTAGTTTTTCTTCATTAGCATCTGAAAAAAATGAATGAAGATGACCGAATTGGAGGAGAACAGTGGAGACGCAGGAGCTGGAAGAGATCTTGATTTTTTATAATACCTCTCCCATGAATATTTTCCATACATTTGTGTCTTAAGTGATAGAAGATCAACTCACATGTAGGAAAAATAGGTATGTAACTGGTCTTTCCGTCTCCCATGTAACTCTGGTTAGAAACACAATAGGAGGATCCATCTTTATTTAAACACGTTGCCAAATCCCTGATGCACTTATGGATATCACTTAGGCTTTTGTCATCAGATGCGATACCGCATTAATGTTATTTGCAATGCCACTAAAAAAAGATCTCTTAAGGATACTTTTCAGCCATCATAAAACTCGGCAAAAAGACAATTTAGCGCTCCTCGAAACATTTAACCGTGTTTATACCTACATACCTGTCTTTCCAAATCTTCTGTAATAATTCCTAGAAATCTTATTCGTAGAAGATCAGCCAAACGAAAAATTGATGGAACTTTTCGATATTACGATGGGAGCCTTTGCTCTTGCAAAAATGTTCCAACTGTACCGTCATTATTATTATTTTATGTGCCCTTTCTTTTTTTTCCCGAATACTTTCTGAAAAAAAAAAAATAGAAATAGTCTTAAATTGGCGACACATCAGAGCTACATCAAACATTCGCGATACGAGACTTTTGATCTTTTTCTATGGCCTCATATAAACACTTTGAGGCGGGAGGGTGGGGATGGATATATTTTAAACCCCTTCCCTCTCATATCAGTTTCTGAAACCCCTAAGCCGTCAAGCTGTTTTGATTTATAAAGACAGGGCGTTTACAGCGTTCCTCTTCATAAGGATAAACTCAGCCGAGCGATTCCTCCTGAGGGACATTTTAAACCAAAGAGCATGATCGAAACGGTATTGTAATTTGAGAGCGTACTAAGTGTCTCGTTACGCGAAGAAGATACGTTTCAACAAAAGCAACTGATCCGTTGAATATCTTATTCATTCATTCATTTGTTTTTAGTAATTTAATTATTTATTCACTTATTTATTTTTCCATTTATTTATTATAACCTTTAAAAGCCAGTGGAAAACACTACTATTGCACGAGCATGATAGAGATTGCTATTTCAATGCTTTCTTATATCTGCTCAAAAAGTAGTAAAATATGACGTCATCAATAAATGTCAGCAAGAAATTGTGCACGAGAAATCAAAGAAAAGACAATGAAATGCTATCAGTGTTAAGCGTGTAACTTTTTTCAGACAAATTTAATTTTATAAAATTATGAAATACCGTAGCATCTTGACAAGATCGTTGCAACCTTCAAAGCGCAATCATTAACAGAACAAAAAAAACCAACCATATGTCAGGGACAGACTGCTTACAATGAATAAAGTACAAGCTTACAATGAATAAAGTACAAAAAAGGTACTTACAATGAATGAACCCTATTCTTCAAAACAATTTATCTTACAGCTCATAAATACGTTCCCTAATACGTACGAAAGTCTCAGCATTACATAATTTTAAAGAAAAAAAACTCTAATACAGCGCATAGATCTACCTTAAATCTTTAAAAAACGTAAATGCGTAAATGCTACTGACTGTACATACTTTAGACTCATCCATTAAGCCAACGATGCGATTGGAACTACTTAACTTAAGCGAAAAATCGAAACTGAAGAACCAGTACAGACCAACTATCACAAGCTAAATTATCACACTAAACAACTATTTTACATTCTCGTTCTGTTAAATCTAGTTATTTAACTTGATTAATTCTACTAAATTCATTGCAAGACTGCAATTCAACTGTCCAAATATTATTAATATCATTTGAATTAACCTGTGAGCTCTTCTTTGTGGAGTTTCCAATGTTTTCGGATGGAAATATGATACTCATCTTTCTATTGAATCGCTCTTTAATCTGCAGATAAACAAGTAATTTGAAAGCTTTCTTTTTCTTACTCTAATCTAAGGAAAAGAAGCAATACCAATGTATCCTTTTACACTTGTATAGTAAATTTTTAAAACCTCATTATCTATACCATATTTATTCTTTTAAAATTAAACTTACCTGACCATTTCGCACACAGTGAAGAATGAAAATCAGGAAACCCTTAAAAGACAAAGGAACTCGTTTTCAGTGTCATTTTTTTAAACACTATGCAATTCAGGTTAGACAAAAGAGAGGTTTAGTTTTCTTTGTTTGTTTTCTTTTTAGTTTTTGTTTTAAAAGCTTAGAGTACAGTGACGTAATTTCAGTCACTCACACCATATAACCCCTTAAGTTACGAGAATGACAAAAAAGCAGTAGAAAGTATTTTTCTCTTTTTTTTTTCTTTTTTCTTAACTTTATCATTGTATGTCTTATTTTGTAATTATCATAGCAGATGTCACCTGACCATAGCAAAAATTTTTGACTGTATCGTAATCTAAACTCTTTAAATGGATAAAAAACTAGTCGGACTAAAACTCACCTGATTGGAGTTGAGTATGGTGAAAATGTAGGCGAAAGTTTTGTGTGCTGGCGAAAGGAGTCCAAATAACCACGTGACACCCAGTAAGGGAGTCATCACGACGCATGTTCTAATGCCAAGTCTGAAGGAGGATGATAATTTGAGATATGGGGATTTATTAATTTGTATCTTTTCTTCAAAGATATTTCTGGTAATCAGAATTCTCCATAAGGTTAAGCGAATATCATAAAAAATTGAAAAATGTATCAGTATTACCAAGTCTCAAATGTAGGAATTTGATAATATTTTGATCTAATATTCGGCACAAACTCTTCGTCTTTTAATCGTAATTTTGAAATCGTTCATACCGTATTTGCTGAATTTGCTTTCCTCCTCTTGGCTGCATTTTCGTCATCTCCCTTATGACTTGAGTGAGAATCAAAATGTTGATCTGAAAGAGGAGAGAGGGCTGTTACATACATTATGTCTCAAACCAGAATCGCAAATGACAACGTCAAAAGAAAAAAATTGGTTCAAATCTGAAACTTACAACTTCAACGATAACCACAAATGTGACGAATATCCAGATCAGATTGATAGTTGAGGAAATCCAACAACTAAGAAGGAAAAGGAAAAAAAACATTAAAAAAGAGCGGAAAAAATTTTAAATACTGGTGGATTTCAGTTTCCCAATCTTCCTGACAGGGAAGACAAAGAGTGACATCCATACTATGAAAATAACCATACGTAAATAAACAATTAATAGTTTTTCTCACAATGTAAGAGTCAAGTTGATGAATCGTCTATTGATCTCGATGTCGCGATCGATACACGATTGAGTAGCTTGACTCTTACATCGTGCGACAAACTATTAAACGTTCACTTATAAAACGTTTATTGTAAAACAACGATGAACAGCAACAGTTCTATAACCAAAAATACAAATGTCAGAAGCTGGCCTAAAAGGATAAAAGGTTATGAGAATCAAAGGAAATAGAGGGCAGACTCACTATGATAATGAAGAGGGGAAAGAAAAGATGAAATCAGGTCAAAATCTCAACAAAAAAGTATAAAAAAGGGTCGAGAGGAGAAAAAGAAACTTTAAAATTCCATCTCACTAGTCATCACTGATGTAGCTCTGTATTCCATCTGCTGCTCCAGCTGCTATGCTTAATGAAATGGCCACCACGATGACGGGCAAACCTATCACAAATTAGAATCATATAGCGATCCAAATGATACAGTTCGTTAACAAAATAATTCACAACAACATAATAAATACAATTGTACAACTAACATACCCCATGACATGACGTGATAAATATACATCTTGTCGCTGATGTTATAAACTTTCACAACAAGAAGGTAAAGATAAATTCCCTCTACCAGCATCCAACAGAAAGCGGCCATCAGGAAATACTGCATAAGAACTGCTGATGTAATACACGCTGTCTGCAAAAGAAAGGAGAGGAAAGACCAGAAAATTCATTTTTTCTTGGTTTCACGTTTCGTTCAAGAATGACGTCTTTGAAGGAATTCCACCAATAATATATAGCCACTCACCATTTTTTCTGTGACGTTTATTCCAGAGAGAAAGATGATTTGTCCAGCTCCGAGGGACACACAAAGACTAAGTCGTATTTGAGGTAGTGGTTGTCGAACATCTCTAGTAAAAGTGAATATCATGTTTATGTACAGTGCATAAACAGAAGCAAAACAAAGCCAGGGAGCAAGCTCGAGGAACCAATAGAAACACAAGTGAAGAGCAATAATAAGAATTGAAAGCATGAGTCAAGCAGAGGAAGAAAATCAATAGAAACTTAATACCAAAGCTATTTCGAAAACGTTCCCTGGTTGTTTCGAGAGACTGAAGGAAGATGAATCTGAACACTCTGTGATAGTGCTGTGCTCAACATCTGTTGCGCGCATTTGATTCTAAAAATTAGCGCGGTTGCGTTTTACTTCAGTCGCTTAGAGTGATCTAATCTATTTTTGCACGTACTGGCCTGATTTTTACATCGTGAAAGTCATGCAAGAAAGCGCAACACTGATTGTTTGGAAGCAGTATGCTTACATGAGAAAAGAATACAGCGTTATGGTCAAAAGTATTCCGACGATGGAAAGGCTTAATCCGACGTATGTGATTATCTCCAGAATAGTAACGTCCTTCTTGGAGAGCTGTGGCAAAAGTGAAAATGGACAATAGAGTTTTTCGCGGAGCATGACACTTATTTAAAAAAAAGAAAAAAGAAAAAAAATACCTCCGCGTCGCCTCTGAAGTCAACTAAGACAGCAAAATGCGTCAAATGATTGCATCTGCAGACTGTGTCCTTTGAGTTGCTCCTCAATGGATCTACGTAACAACCATCCCCTGAGAATCCGTCGAAACTAAAAAAATGAATATTGCAAATAAGAATAATGATTTTGAATTTAAAAAAAAATCAAATCCTGCTCTTAAAAGTAAAACCTTCCGCATATAGCTCTTTTCTATTCTGGCGTATCATACCGCTGCACTTCTATGGAGAACGACCAAAATTGCATGATATTCCTAAACGAATGTACACATACAGGGGAAAAATTGTACAAGGTAAAACAAAACCTTTATCTGTACAGCAGCTGTTGTACTTTCCTTTTAAAAAAGCTGTCCCCATAATTTTCTCTGTTAACACCTTTTAGGTCCCGAGAGGTTATTGTCAGACTCCCCTTTTTGTTATCGAAAATATCAGTAATCATTGCTATAAATATTTCCTGAGACACCGGACTACCACACCCCGAATAACCGTTTAGCTGATACTTTTCAAATTGTCTAAAGTTTGGACGCAAACAGCAAATCATTACAAATAAAACTTAAGGTTCATAATTTCTCAGGTTTTACCTCTTGCCTAAGCCATTCCAAACATGCACTGCTTCTCTCCTTCATCGACCTAAAAAGGGATTGCATTTGTGTTGATTTAACTCAACCCAACAAAAACGGACTGAAATGCGCATTTGGTGTTCTTGCTGTTACCTTCAGGCTTCTGAAATTTTAGATGACGTCCTGTCGTAATTTTTTAGGTTTGGGATCTACAACCACGGTCATTATCCTTTTGTTCACAAACCGGTAAAGACCATTTTGTGCTAGTAACCACCTAGATTTTAACAAAGAAAATATCGAATTTTGGATGCACTTGGTAGGTCTAGGGAAAATAGCTATCAAAGTCACCTTGAATTCTCAGTTTTATCCCCGCCACCCTGATTGGTTTGTAATAATTCATGAAGATCCTTGTATACGCACCCTATTACCACTGATCCTGATAAATAAACACCAAAACACAAAAACACTATAAAGCAAAAGAAAATAATCCATATTCTAGAACGTTAAATCTTATTAAGGGCCTCCACCACTATTTGGTTGCCGCGTTGTTAGGGTGCATGCAAAAAGAAATTTCATCGAGAGTTTTCGTATTTCACACGTTTAGAGAGGCAGATCAAAATAACAGAAGGATTCCTGACTGTTTAAAGTTAGAACAAACCACTCTTCGCAAAATTTTCAGAAGGAACATCGATGCTTACGTGCCATTCATTTTCTTCGAGATAGAAGTCGGTCTCATTCTGGCGGTAACCTTTACACATACCCAAAACTGTGGCAAGAAGGAGAAAAGTAGATGGCAAATAGTTGCATATTTTACATTACAATAATATGTTGCATATATGCTAGCGTTTATTGTGGAATCTTGAATATACCCACCAACAAAGCAAGTCGTTCTATTTTAATTGACCCGTTAAAAAAATCGCTATTTTTCAGAGATCATCAAAGTATACGAAAGATCAAGATCGAAATATTTCAAACTATTGAACAGCACAAAATGATACACGCTAGCACGCGCCACTTTTCAAAAATTAGATTTGTAGCACGTCTCGTCGGCCAGCATGATAATATCAAAACAAAAGGCAAGAAACCGATGAGTAATTTGCAATGGCCCCTATTCTACCCAAAGACGCCTCTTCACAACTGTGTGAGAAGGAAAGAAAGTTCCAGATGACTGGAAAGAGGAGGTTATTGTGAAGATGCCAAGGAAATGTATCCTGATGGATTGAAGCAACTGGTAGGGAATTACCTTCGTATCATTTTCAAGCAAAAATCATCGAGGGTAAGATCATCATCAAGCGAATATCAGATGCAGTGGATCCAGAGCTCAGGAAGGAACAACCAGGGTTCAGGAAGAAAAGGGGATGAAGCGACCAGATATTCGCACTAAGAAACATCATGGAGCAATGCATAGATTGACAGAGACAGCTACGCATGAAATTTGTGGACTTTAAAGAAGTCGTGGAGACAGCTTTTGGTACATATTATACATGTTCGAGATCCCGTAGCAAAATTAATGAGTCCGTCTCATTAAGAGCTTTTACGACAATGGAATGAGGCGAGAGTATCAGCATAAGAATACCTTTTTGATGATGACCTGGTGCTGCTATCTCACGCCCATCAGCATGGGTAAGAGAATATAATCAATCTCTTTGGCCTCGTTGAACAGATCGGCCCGAAGATCGACGATCAACAAAAAGAAGATGGAGTTAATGACAGTGAACGGAAATCAGACCAAACGGAAAGGATCTTTTAACAACGGATAAACTTACATACCTGGGCAGCACAGACAGACGTGATGGAATAACCGCTTTGGCATGACCAGAAATGCTTTCAGAATACTAAAGAATACACTGAGGTTCCAGCAGTACAGCATCAAGATCAAGGTAAATTTATATCAGAGCTGTATCTTAACCTCCTTATTATAATGCCCTGATGCTGAAGAATTACAGAAGGTAATCTTTCCAAGCTTTCTGTCCTCCATGCCAATAGCTTGAGAGTAGTGAAGATGACAGTTTTTTGGCCAAACACTATCATTGGCGACAAAATAGTAGGTCAATGCCAACAGGACTATATGAGAACCATCCTCCACTGAAGGTGGTGGAGATAAATCGGAATTGTCGCGAGGAAGGAACCGAACTGCATCACACGTGTGGACACCTGAAGGGAAGAGGATCAGAGGCAGACCCAAGAAGTCCTTCATCGTACAATGGTAGGAGAACTGAAAGCCTAGGACCACACATGCAGCGCCATTCCCAATCTGGCCCAGAATATACTGGAGTGGAGGACCTTCGGTGATGCCTTAGATGTCATCGGGCATAATGGGCAGTAACTAACTAACTAACTAATGCCCTTTTACAATTGATAAAAGTTAGTTGATACTTCAAGCCAGGTAGTATCAGTTGGTCGGTTGGTCTGCAACTTATTAAGAAATTATCTCTAATAATTTGAAGAAACGTCATGTCTTACTCACCCATTTTCTGGCGTGTTTTTTTTTTCAAGGGCTCTGCTCTATTTAGGTTATATTGACTATAATCAAGAACAAATTTTTCGAGGGCAACTGCCACCTTAAAGACGGATTCTTTTCCTCGTTGGAGCTCTTCTATGCCAAGTTGGCTACCATGGGACTTTGTGATGTTTTGATATTGATTGGCGAAGTCTTCAAACAAACGTATAACCTCCTGTAAATGCAAATGTCTCAACACTGTAAGCTTGACTTTACGCATCAATACAATCAGACAAGACGGCCAGGTCTTCTGATTTACTACTATTTTTTTCTGAGATGTATGATTTTATTACTTCTTCAGAAAACAAGCCTGGTATTTAAAGGAAATCGATAAAAGGACAATTCACCGGGCTTACGATCTGTGCACCAGGGCAAATATAGGCTAATCACAGCTAATAGGCCATTTTTTAATTACCTTCGGCCTCTTTTTCAAAACGAGAGCTATTTCTCAATCATTCGCGTAAAAATTAGATGAATTAATTTGCATGTGAAAGAAAACTTAAAAACATTTGAAAGGAAGGGCATCAGGAATCGCTCCAAACAGGCCAAAAGTAATTCGGAAATGGGCAATAGGTTAGTGATTCCGTGACTTGGTTTGATAGGTGGTGTTTGGCGGCCGGCGGTTGGCATGACTACTTTGGAGATTGTTGCTTCGTTGAGATTTTTTTGGTCTAGTTGCCAAAAGGGTACACTGGGAAAGCGTTCCCACTGATATGTACTCTAAAAGCCTGATTTATATACTTTCTATCAATTTAATAAGATAATGAGCGCGTAAAAAGTTCCATAAGCGCTTTGAATGAATGACAATAATATATTACAATTGTTGATACAGTCAAATTACCTCGCAGTTTATCGTTTAAGCAGTAATGGCAATTTCAAATGCAACATACTTTAATTTGCATAATGTAGCGAGGAAGCTCGAACTAATTTCCAAACCGACCAAATTATTACCATATATGGTTATAGTTATGTGCTCTTTTACCGTATCCTAAACGTTGATGAAGTATGAACAGTATCGAGCTCACTCAATAGTTTTATTTTCTTCTTCAAAAAAACTCGCTTATAAACATATGTCCATGCTTTAAGAGTGGTCGTCTGTAAAAATCGAGCAGAGATGTTGAAAATAAAAAAAGAAAATTTGAAATTTTTCAAACTATGCCAGAACATAGGTATGAATGGCCTTAGTTACGGAAAAATATTTAAAAATGCCGAAAAAAATTATTTTGGGAAAACAGTGGCATTTTCTTTTTTTTGTTTGTTCTGTTGCACCCTAATAACTGACAGGATTCGCAACAGCTCACCAGTAAACTCCGATGGGTCTAAACCAGTCTGAAACTTTTTTCGATCGAGGGTAAATCTAAGAATTAGAATACTCTTTTTTCCTATAAGAACGCTCATGGCACTAAAATGTGTCGGAAATCGCTGTTTGAAATAATCAAGGCAGTTGTATGATGCTACTCCAACAAGGGACGGAGAACAGCCAACGAAGATCGAGGAACGAGGAACAAGGAACGGTGAAGTTAGAGCGGGGAACGGAAAACGAGGAACGGAGAACGAAGAACGGAGAACGAAGAACGGAGAACGAGGAACGGAGTACGGGGAATGGAGTACGGGGAACGAAGTACGAGGAACGGAGTACGGGGAACGGGGAATGGTGAACGGGGAACGGAGTATGAGGAACAGGGAACGGGGAAAGGGGAACGAGGAACGGAGAACGAGAAACGGGGAACGAGGAACGGAAAGTGTAGCGGGAGTACGTGGAACGGAAAACGAAGAACAGAGTATGGGGAGCGGAGAACGGGGAACGGAGAGCGAGGAACAGTGAACGAGGAACGGAAAACGAGGAACGGAGAATAGGGAACGGAGAACAGAGAACCGGGAACGAGGAAAGAAGAACGAGGAACGGGAAACGAGGAAACGGGAGTCTGGGACCGAAATTTCAATGGTTTTAGCTTGAACTTTTGCTTCAAATTCATGGCAGTCATAGTATGATCGTGATTGCATAGCAAATTGACTACGAATGGCACGCCACCTTTGACACATGGCTTTAATCTAGGTATATCTTGTTTATAAAGCCGAAACATTTTTTGAACCCCGCAAATACAGAAGGTGCTGTGAATAATACATAGGATATCCCAATAAGATTTTTATTACGTGTCCTTAAGTCGTAATTTTTTCAAGGTAGTCACAGACTTCAATCAATTTCTTTTAAGAAAACGTAAGTACCTAGCGATAACCAAAGCCATTCTGGATTTCCCTATTCAGCTATTATCTCTAAAGCTACTGGACTGAGGCATTCGAAATTAATATTCTACAGACCTGTCTGTCTTCGACCTCTTTATTTTTCCTTGTGTAATATTGGCAAGAAGTCCTCGTAGCTTATGGTATGACACAAGGGCGAGTTACTTAGTCACTTTATTTCAGCTTTTTTAATCTAAGTCTAATCTAATTTTTGCTTTGGCATGACTATCCTTTTCCAGTGTATCCTTCCTTACAGGTACAGCTACGGGAGCCATTAGTGTTGATAAAATTAGCATTTAAGTCACAATATGTTTCCTTTACCGCATTCGTCGATATCTAGCAGGATAAGTGATGTATAAAAGGTAATTTAACATCAATACGATAGCGGTGCGTGAAAACAGGCCTCTAAAATGTGGGCTAATTTTTATGGGCGATAGTCCGTGTGCAAAGCTGCTTGTTTCAATAGTGTACACTACTCTTTTTCACCTTGATATCACTGTCCATATCCAGTGTATCCTTTCTTGCAGGTACATATATGAGAACCATTTGTATTGTTACCTGTCTGTCTTCGATCTCTCTATTTTTTCTTATGTAATATTGGCAAGAAATACTCGTAACCTATGTTATAACACTAAGGCGAGTTATTTAGTCACTTTATTTCGAGGCACAGAAACGCAAATTACACGTGTATGACTTAGCAAGTTTCTAGATATCGAAAGATCCAATTTGTCTTCAGACTAACTGGCTTTTTTTTACGCTTTTTTAGGAAAATGTTCGTGGTTTTTCCTATTATTGCAATAGTATAATTAATCCAATAGTGATAGAGATTTTGATGAAATAATAAAACAACTTGTCAAAAATGTTCAACGCTATTAAATAATGTACAAGGTCATGGTTAGGTGGATTTGACAGTTTTCACTTATCATTTTTTCAGGCAAAAAGTCTTTGTAAATGATGTAAATGATATTTGATACCCACCATCATTAGAACTCTTATAATATATATAACATTTAAGAGTTCGCCACCGACTTAAAAATTTGCTAATATGTACCAGCTTATAATGATGGTATTAAGTATAACGATCAGGAGTGGACTATGATAAGTCGTAAAGTACATTGTTCACAGAGATCTACTTATGATGTATCTCTTTTTGTGAAGTTATTAGATTCAGTTTTAGTCCGTGCCACAGTAGCGCGAATTACAACGAGGGGGCTGAACAAGATTGTAGATGTAGAATGATCCACAATTTTTAACTGAAATTATGATTGAATGTTTGCAACCCGTGTTACGGTCACTAAAGCAAACCATCCTGATAACTTTACCATCTCCCACTGTAGGATGAGCACCATTCAACCACCCTGACCACGCTGTACCACATCTATATGCTGGCACATACGTTGTTGGCATTTGAGATCCAGCAGCTCCCACGAAACGATACCATCCCTCGGTGAGTAGCTTGTCACATAACTCTAGATTGAAGGGTGTTAAGTAACTGATTTTTCTATCGGCCTCACTCAGGTTCTGATACTTGTAGCACGGATCGGCTGCAAATTGAAGTTAAATAATAATAATCATAACGAAAGAAAATTTAACTGCTCTTATCACAATGATGGAAATAATACACAAATGAAGAAATATCACGTAAAAGGACATTAAAAATACTCAAGAAAAAAAGTAGGAAAGTTAAAGACGTTCATTATAAAGGAGATAAGGCCTTGAGTTTCTAAGTGTATCGAAAATATTGTATAATAATACTAATATTAACAAAAATAAAAACGAAAGAATCCCACAGAATTAAAGACTAATGCAAGTTTCCTAAATTCTCTGATGAGTAACATGTATCATTTAGTCCAAATCCTCGCGAGTCATAGACAAATACATTTAACAAGACGTACGTTATCAAGTTACGAAGCCTGAAAATAAGAAATTTACCTTCACAGATAGCACCATTCCCAATATAGGTAGGATTGCAGGAGCAGTTGTATGAGCCCTGGGTATTAACGCATGAGGCATTAGGATGGCAGTCGTTCATTTTGACGTCATAAACCTCACTGCACTCGTCAATGTCTAAAAGAGAACTTCGTCAGTCGAGAGATATGGTAAAGATTTGTAACCAGCAAAGAAAAGTTAAAACCGGGTTATATCTTGCACCCTTCATACTTTTAGAATCAGCAAGAAAGAAAGACCGATATTTTTTTAGCTCGGAATTTTTATAAAGGTATATATATGTCAAACATTTCGCACAGCGTGAAGCAAACATCTTGCAACTTTTATACGAGAACCAAGCTTAACATTAGTTTTTCTTTTCTACATGAATGCATGCCACCAAACTTAGTTTACTTACATAACTACAGTTTTTTAGCGTGGGAACGAAGCCGCTTCTCATGTCTCAGTTCAATTCTGATCGACACAATACACAATATGGAGATTAATACATACATAGCCACTGGATGGATCGCATTCGCAAGACTGGATATGGCCATGAGAATAACGTTTCTTCACGTAAATGTTGTTCATTTGTGGATTTCACTCCACTTGCCATGTCTGAGGTTGCAAATCACATTTCATCTTTCCACGTATGAAAATTTTTTAGCAGGCCCTGGATATTGTTAAAAGTAGCTTTGTATGATGCTAACTAAGTCTAATCTAACGTACCCCGGCATGACTGTCCGTCCCCAGTGTATCCTTCCTTACAGGTGCAGTTATAGGAGCCGTCATTGTTGGTACAATTTGCACTCACATCACAAGCATGGCTTTTGTTGAGGCACTCATTGATATCTAGTAGTATAAATGATATAGATATAGAATACTCGAGGGAAAGTCTGTCTGTATAGTATTTACGCACGAGCCCGTAGTATCGGAAATCGAGCGAGTGAACGCAGGAACCGAGTAAGATTTGTGATATAAACCAACAATTGTTTACATACCATACGGATAGACTTTGCATGGTGTATTACGCTTATTATCTAGTTAACATGTACATAAGGAGAGTAAATTCCTCTTTAATGACAATAATTTGTTAAACAGACTTAAGTCAATGGTTTATAAATCGATCATGAAAGATATAAACCATATAAATTTCCCTTCTCGATATCAATAATGCAACATACTGACAGCTGGCAAAAAATATCAAAATACCTCTAAATACTTAAAGCAAGGCATGTTTGGCCTGAAGGTTCGTAATCTTCTCTGTCTTTTAGTTGAAAAGAGTGAATAAACTCCGCAAGATACATGTTTTGTTCCTCAGGCGATATTGTGTGTACTTCAATATTTGAAATAATAGTAGTTTTCAGTGAGCACTTGAGCGCTTATTGAAAATTTCGGCTAAAACTGGGGGGATAGCTTCATCGATTAGTCGCGAGGGGCGCCTCTTAAGTTACCTCAGCAATAGGACAAAAATAAGAAAAAATTATAATACATAAAGGAACTCTGCAAGCACATGAAGAAAAAAAATCTGGAATAGAAAATAAAATTATTCTGCTCTACTGATTGGACTGTTGTTGGTAAAAAGGTTATCAGAAAAAGTGTGGCGGCAGAAATAGATTTTCCTTGTATCTATATTGTTTTAAAAAGTCAGGAAGGAGAGGAGTTGGGGGGGGTGGTTATCTGAGCGTGGCCGCATATTTGAGAAAAATATTCCAGGTCATTGTGAAATGTTAAATCTCTTATTCGATGGTTTATCATATAATACGAGAAGAAATCTTGCTCATTGCTCTTATTTATCGTCATTCCTTCTGGGCTCGGAAAAATACTAAGCAACTCGTAAAATATCCGCGTGTATTATATTTTAAACCCTCGTAAAATGTGAATGTATGCATATGATGAAACCCGTAACTTAATTTAGATAGGAAGTCGGGGCGTGAAACTCATTACGTTGCAGGCTCTTGATCATGAGCCCAGTTACGAAGACATTACATATTATGGAAAGCTGCTATGCTCAAAATTAAGTATCGCTGTTCTAATCTTCATTGGCAGGACCGTCCATTTATAACGTATCTTTCCTTACAGATGCAATTGTGAGAACCATTAGTGTTAGTACAGTTAGTATTAGCATCACAAATATGACTATCATCGTTGCATTCATCAATATCTGTGAACACAATGGATTTGCAAAGGGCAACTGACTAGAGAACAAAAAGTCTAAGCCAGTTTATTGGATAACAAGGCAATTATTTGTGATGAACAGTTATTCTGCTTTTTTTAAGTCTCATCTAATTTTACCTTGGCATGACTCTCCTTTTCCAGTGTATCCTTTTCTACAGATGCAGCTATAGGAGCCATTAGTGTTGGTACAATTCGCATTTACGTCGCAATCATGGCTTCCATTGCTGCATTCGTCGATATCTAGAAGCATAAGTGATGTACAAGAGGGAACGCAATAGAAATATGAGTGGTGCGTAAAAACAGGTCTCTAAAATGTGGGTTAATTTCCATGGGCGATAGTTTATGTTTAAAGCTGCTTGTTATAAATAGTGTAGGCTACTCTTATTCACCTTGACATGACTGTCCATCTCCAGCGTATCCTTCCGTGCAAGTACAAATGTGAGAACCATTTGTGTTGTTACAGTTCGAATTGACATCGCAAACATGGTTGCCATCGCTACACTCATTGACATCTGAGAACAAAAATGAATTGCCAAAACGTTACTTGACAGAGACAATCATCAAATTTTTGTTTTGAAAGAAAGAGCTTTTTTTTTATTTGTGGGAAACTTCATTCTCCTATTTGCTAAGTCTAATGTGATGATTATACCTTGGCATGAGTGTCCGTCCCCAGTGAATCCTTCCTTACAGGTGCATTTGTGGGAGCCGTCAGTGTTGGTACAATTCGCAGTCACGTCACAAGCATGGCTTCTATTGAGGCACTCATCGATATCTGGTAGTACAAATGATATAGATATAGAATAATTCGTGCAAAGTCTGTCTTTATGGTATTCACGCACGAGATCGCAGTATCGGAAGTCGAGGGAGTGAACGCAGCAAACGAGTAAGATTTTTGATATAAAGCAACGATTGTTTATATACCGTGCGGACCGACTACACGTGATGTATTAGGTTTATTATATAGTATACATGTACATAAGGAGAGTAAATTCCTCTTTTATAGCATTTAATTGTCAAACAGACGATGGGTTATAAATCGATCATGAAAGATAAAAGCCATATCAATTTCCCTTCTCGATAGAAATATTGCATCATACTGACAGCTGGCAAAAAATAACAAAATACCCCTCAATACTTGAAACCAGGCATGTTAAGCCTAAGGGTTCATAATCATCTCTGTCTTTAAGTCGAAAAGAGCAAATAAACTTCGCAAGATACATATTTAGTTCCTCGGGCGATATTGTGTCTACTTTAATAATTGAAATAATAGACATTTTCAAAGAGCACTTGAGCGCTTATTAAAAATTTCGGCTAAAAAGAGGGCGCTTTATCGATTATTCGAGAGGGGCACTTCTTAAGTCACTTTGCCAATAGGACATAAAATCAAAATAATAGATAATACATAAAAAATTCTCTGCAAGCACATGAAAATAGAAAAAGTGAAATGGAAAATAGAATTATTCTGCCGTACTGATTGCGCTGTCGTTGAAGCTTGAAAAGTTACATAAAAAGTGTGGCAGTAGAAATAGATTTTCCTTGTATCTACTCTATTTAAAAAAAGTGAGGGAGAGAAGGGTGGGGTAGGGGGGGGGGTTATCCCAGCGTGGCCGTAAATTCGAGAAAAATATTCCAGGTAATGGTTAAATGATAAATCCCTTATTCGATGGTTTATCATATAATACGGGAAGAAATTTCGTTCGTTGCTCTTAATTATCTTCTTTCCTTCCGCGCTTGGAAATATACCGAACAACTCGTAAAATATCCCCGTGTATTATATTTTGAACCTTCGAAAAAATGTGAATGTACGCATATGATGAAACCCATAACTCAATAGAAGTATGAGGTCGGGGCGTGAAAATCATTACGTTGCTTCTTGATCATAACCTCAGTTACGAAGGCAATACTTATTATGAAAAGCTGCTTTGCTCAACATTAAGTATTGCTTTTCTAGTCTACGTTGGCAAGACTGTCCATTTATAATGTATCCTTTCTTACAGATGCAGTTATGAGAACTATTAGTGTTTGTACAGTTAGCTTTAGAATCACATACATCGCTATCATCGTTCCACTGGGAACGCAATCTTTTTGCAAAGGGTAACTAAATAAAGGAAAACAAATGTTAACCAGTTTGTCGGATGACAAGGCAATTATTTCTGATGAACAGTTATTCTACTTTTTCAAAGTCTAACTAATTTTACCTTGGCATGACTCTCCTTTTCCAGAGTATCCTTCCTTACAGGTGCAGCTATGGGAGCCATTAGTGTTTGTGCAACTTGCATTTACGTCACAATCATGGCTTCCATTGCTGCATCCATCGATATCTAGAAGCATAAGTGATGTAAAAGAGGTAACATAATAGAAATATGAGAGTGGTGCGTGAAAACAGGCCTTTAAAATGTGGGCTAATTCCCATGGGCGATAGTTTATATGCAAAGCGCTTGTTTTAAATAGTGTAGGCAACTCTTATTCACCTTCACATGACTGTCCATCTCCAGTGTATCCTTCTTTGCAAGTACAAATGTGAGAACCATCTGTGTTGTTACAGTTCGAATTGACATGGCAAACATGGTTGCCATCGCTGCACTCATTGACATCTGAGAACAAAAATGAATTGCCAAAACGTTACTTGACAGAGACAAACATCAAATTTCTGAGTTTTTAAAGAAAGAATTATTTTTTTTATTTGTGGGAAACTTCAATCTGCTATTTGCTAAGTCTTATGTAATGATTATACCTTGGCATGAGTGTCCATCCCCAGTGTATCCTACCTTACAGGTGCATATATGGGAGCCGTCAGTGTTGGTACAATTCGCAGTCACGTCACAAGCATGGCTTCTATTGAGGCACTCATCGATATCTAGTAATGCAAATGATATGGATATAGAATACTTCATAGAAAGCATGGTATTTACGCACGAGATCGTAGTATCGGAAGTCAAGGGAGTGAACGCAGCAAACGAGTGAGATGTTTGATATAAAGCAACGATTGTTTATATACCGTACGGACTGACTACACGTGATATATTAGGTTTATTATATAGTATACATGTACATAAGGAGAGTAAATTTCCCTTTTATAACAATTAACTGTCAAACAGACAATGCTTTATGAGTCGATCATGAAAGGTACAAACCAAATAAATTTCCCTTCTCGATAGAAATAATGCAACATACTGACAGCTGGCAAAAAATATCAAAATACCTCTCAATACTTGAAACCAGGCATGTTAAGCCTGAGGGTTCATAATCTTCAATGTCTTAAGATGAAAAGAGTGAATGAACTCCGCAAGATACATGTTTAGTTCCTCAGGCGATATTGTGTGTACTTCAATAATTGAAATAGTAGAAATTTTCAATGTGTGCTTGGGCGCTTATTGAAAATTTCGGCTTAAACCGGGAGGGGGAGGCGAAGGGGCACTTATTTGTAGGGTGGGCGCTTTGTCGATTTTCGAGAGGGGCGCTTCTTAAGTTACCTCAGCAATAGGACATAAAATCAAAATAATAGATGATACATAAAAAATACTCTGCAAGCACGTGAAGATAGAAAAATCTGAAATGGAAAATAAAATTATTCTGCTGTACTGATTGCGCTGTCGTTGAAAGTTGAAAAGTTAAAGAAAAAAAGTGTGGCAGTAGAAATAGATTTTCCATGTATCTATACTATTTGAAAAAGTGAGGGAGGATAAGGGTGGGGGGTTGGGTGGGGTGGGTGTGGTTATCCGAGCGTAGCCGCATATTCGAGAAAAATATTCCAGGTAATGGTGAAATGATAAATCTCATATTCCATGGTTTATCATATATTACGAGAAGAAATATATGTGATGAACAGTTATTCTGCTTTTTTTCAAAGTCTGATCTAATTTTTACCTTGGCATGACTCTCCTTTTCCAATGCACCTTCCTTACAGGTGCAGCTATGATAGACATTAGTGTTGGTACAATTCGCATTTAAGTCACAATCATGACTTCCTTTGTCGCATTCGTCGATATCTAGCAGCGTTAGTGATGTATAAAAAGTAATTTAACAGAAATACGATAGTAGTACGTAAAAACAGGCCTCTAAAATGTGGGCTAATTTCCATGGGCGATAGTTTATGTTTAAAGCTGCTTTTTTTAAATAGTCTAGGCTACTCTTATTCACCTTGACATGACTGTCCATCTCCAGCGTATCCTTCTTTACAGGTACAAATATGAGAACCATTTGTGTTTTTACAGTTCGAATTAACATGGCAAACATGGTTGCCATCGCTACACTCATTGACATCTGTGAACAAAAACAAATTGCCAAAACGTTACTTGACAGAGAGAAAAGCATCAAATTTCTAAGTTTTAATGGAAAGAGTTTTTTTGTTTGAGGGAAACTTTATTCTACTATCTGCTTGGTCAATTGCAATGATCATACCTTGGCATGAATGCCCGTCTCCAGTGTATCCTTCCTTACAGGCGCAGATATAAGTGTCGTCAGTGTTAGTACAGTTCGCATTTATGTCACACACATAGCTTCCAGTGCTGCACTCGTCGATGCCTAGGGACACAAGTAATGAAGAAAAAGGAGGCTTATAGAGGAAAACCACAAGAGCGTGAAAACATTCATTTTAACTTTAATCCTGGGAGGAAGTATGACATCGTTTTGGCCTGATTGTTGTCCGAAGAACTTTAGAGTTAAAGAAAACAAAATATCAAAACAAAATATCAAAACAAAATCTCTTTTCTGGCCTACATAAGGAAAAGCAAATTATTCGAGTGAACTTGCCATTCGATATCGTGACACTCTACAATTGAAGACGCCATTAAAGTGAAATCAAAACAGCATGGACTCAAGAACCGAAATTCGTGTGCAAAACTTACAAGAACTCAGCTCGTAGATTTATTTCTTAATCCGTGATCACCATCATTAAACAAGTACTCATATATGTAACGTTTTAAAAATGTCACGCATGTACAACACTTTTGTCACACTTTTGCTTCACTCTTTGATTAAAAGTCGAAAATTGACATCTTATTAACCGTGCGTATCTGAGTAAGCTTATTTACCTACTTGTATAAACTCCTGCTGCTGTCAGATAAGACGCGTAGGAGCATGAAACAAGTTTTCAGTATTTCATTTCGTGCAGTGCTGTTTATTATTTTAAGAAAAAGTTATAAAACAGTTTTAGTAAAGTCAATGCGAATCGCAAATGAGCCAAAATTGAACTGTACATGATCCCTTTAAAAATACGTGGAATGTTGTAGATTTTTTCCCAGGCTCCATAAAAGGACTAATTTATTACTAATCTAAAGCTAACTGATGAAACTATGTGTTAAGACTGGAACAATGGCTATCTGCTCATTATAGGCCATTTTGTATCTCTTGGTTGTATTCAGGAGCCTACATCACTGTTGTAAGAAACGCATGCTTGGGTACCCACTGAGTAATTCAAACAGGCAGATAACGTTATACAATTGAAATTTTCCGCTGGAATGCTCTTAAGTCTTAAGTCTTAAGTCTGGAATGCTCTTAAGTAGCCTCACAGCTACTTATGTGCTCGTGCATGTTCTGTCAACGGATCGCTTGCCTCTTTGATTTTCAAAGCATATTTAAAACTTATCGCTCTTACCCTAACATGTTTCCTTCTTTAATGCTTACCATTTACATGATCAAACTGAATACTTACTTTATCGTCTTGTCCATATATCTATTGATTAATTTTGTCCGCTAGCTTTTAGCTTTACGTGAAAATGACATGATTACTTTCTACTACTGAGGACATCGACAATGACACATCGATGTGCTGAAATTTCGACCAAATTCTCTCTTTTGTTCAAATATGTTGTTTCTTATCGTTGACTTCTGAATAAATAGCGAACATTGAGTGACATCTGATACTTACCTTTCCTGTTATCATCACTAAGGTATTCCGAAACGTATTTTCCAATGAACACTGCCGCGATGATTGTAGAAATTGCCACTGCAATAGCAACAAGAATGACCATAACTCTTCGGCAGGATCTAGAAGAACGATTGGCAGCTGTCAATAGATCTCTGCTTCCTGTAATGGAGAGTTGTTCTCCAAGATTTGCAGGTTTTGGATGGATATGATCCAAAGAGATAGTCTCGTTTTCTGACGACGTCATCTTAGATGAGATCTCTAGGCGTGGATGCAGGATTTACTTTACTCTTAAGTTGCTGAGAAACAAAGTTGCTTGCGTGAAAAAAATCATCAGGCAGATGATTCCCTACACTCCAAGTTTTAGCTTATGACCAAAAAAGGTAAACCCAGCATCTCTCGTGATTCTAAAAGTCTGTTCGTCGGCGTGGCTTTCAGTTTCGAGTTTCAGTTTCGTAACTGTTAATGATGCAGTCATGCGTGATTTTTATGCATAAACGTGACCTTGAATGTCGATTGTTCGATCCACATTTTACTTTTAGGTATTTTCCGGTACGTTAGGAACTCGGTTTCTTTTCCTAGTCCAAAGAAAATAACTGATGAGCAGTTTTTTTCTTGCCTTTCTCTATTTTTTCTCACTTTCTTTCATTTTCCTCTCCCCTCTCTCTTTCTTCTTTGCTTCCTTTTTTCCTTTTTACTAAAGTTAATTACACACTTCCTAAATCTTCAAAACCTCGAAAACAAAACTCTGCACTCTATTGCGAGCTTATCACCCCCCGTTATGTATGTGTAAGTAGCGACTAACTGCAGGACTCTAAAAGCCGCCGTCATTAAAAGAAAATGAAAAGAAAGAAAACGACAGCAGGAATAATTTTCGCGCCAACCCAGCGCGAGTCATCAACTGGCTGAGGGCATAGGAAATGGAGAGAGTCTCAAGAAGAAGGAGGAGCGCAGAAGAATCTACTGGTAAAAACTGTCAATTTTTAAATTACAATACAATACAATATAAAATTTATCAACACTCCCCAGTAGGGCTTTTTGGTGTTCATCATCTAAAAACCACAATACAGTCGCTGTTAAATTACAACAAGCCTCGAAAAAAATTACATCATGTTAAGAAGTAAAAAATTTACGTAAAACCTCTCAATTTTCTCAATAGACTATTGTTTAGTTTTAACAGCCATTGTTATTCAAGCGTGGGCTGAAAACAATGGTGTCGAACTCGAAACGCGCCATTTTCGAAAGGAACTTCGACTAGAAATTTTTAAACTTTGACGAATAGTGGTTGACGTAAAAAATAAAAATAATAATCAAACGTAAACATTCGTAAAATAACCCTTAAAAAGATAAGTTTTAAGATTACGCTTAAAAGCATTAAGATCTACACTACATTTTATGGTTTCAGGAATGTCATTCCACACTTAGGTGCAGAGACAGAAAAGGCGCGATCAACATAAGATTTCAACTTGGAGCGAGGAATCACTAACAAGTTCCTACTCGATGATCGTAAAGACCTAGTAGGCTTATAAGTTTCTAACAAGTCACTGATATAACTTGGGCATAAATTATTTAAAGCTTTGAATGTAAAAAATAACATTTTAAAAATAATCCTCTGCTCCACGGGAAGCCAGTGCAGTTCCCTCAGTAAAGGAGTAACGTGATCATGCTTACGACCACATAAGATCAGCCGTGCCGCACAATTCTGTGCTAATTGCAATCTATGAACTAAATGTTTCGGAAGACCATATAACAGAGGGTTACAGTCGTCTAATCTGCATGTGACGAAGGCGTGTACTAACGCCTTAGTACTACTAACAGACAAAAACTTTCTAATCCGAGAAATATTCCGGATCCTTACTAGAGGGCTTGGTACTTTTGATAGGGTCATTTCTTTTCACTGAATGGTCAATAGACTCCTCAGTCTTAGCACTAATGTCTACATCAATGTCGTTACCAATATGCTGACTCGATGCATGTTTGAGGAACTTCGCATCGCGTCTCAAAGTGGTACCCGTGTCCACATTGACTAAATTAAAAGTGTCTCTTGCTTTGGTCTCAATAATTACGAGCTCGGCCGTAGAGAAATTCAAATCTAGTTTGTCTGGTTTCTTGTTGGCACAAAGTAAGAGATCGCCAATTTTGAAATAATGCGGTTCAGCATGTTTCCTGCTATCGTGATATGCCTTCGAACGCGTTTGCTACAAATTGGATTTTGACCAATGTTCGCGATAGAGTGCCAATGATGCTTTTTTGTTCGAAGTTCGCGATTGAACAAAAGCATACTAGGTGGTCTTCCACTAGTATGAAGCCGATTTGCTCTGTAGCGCATGAATCTTTAGGCGACTCCATTTGCCAGGATTTACCTTCGCTGACGGCTGCTCGAAAGTTCTCCTTTAATTTTTCGTTGCTTCGCGCATAGTACGGAAAAACACGTACCTTCCGGATAGGATGAATAATAATCGATATAAGTCAAAATGGATTTTCCATCGATTTGACCAACGAGATTTAGTGGACCTTTTACTCAAGGACCACGAGGTAAAGGTTTGGTTGAAGCGGCGTGTACTTATTAAGAAGCTGATTAACAACGCGCGCTTGATAATTCTTCACCATAGTCTCTGTTGCATCATCCATACCAGGCCAAAAAAAGACAAGCTCGAAGAACTTTTTAGTCTTGACGATTTCCTGATGGGCCTCGTTGCTAATTTGAGAATTTTTTTTTCTGCAACGACTGTGGCACAACAATTCGGTTTCCTCGGAAAACATTTCCTTCGAAATTAGACAATTCGTCTCTTATTGCACTATACGGGATGAGATCACCCGTCAGCGACCATTTTCCACATTGAATTTAACTAAGTAATTGGGACAGCGTGATGTCATTGCTGGTTTCGGATCACATTCAAAGAGAGTGACAACCTGAAGCTCTGACAAGTGGACGCTCCCATGCTGATTTTTCCATTCTGAAGTCCGAAGATCTCACCACTAAATCTTGATGTGTTTCTCTAAGCATTTTAATAAGTTAATTGTTATTGGTTCTCGTCAGGAGTTCACACAATATTGTAGTTATGTGCATAGAGAGAAAATAAATTTTGATCAGTTTTACAGAAGTGCTTTTTCCTTTGTTGTGAAACCACTAAGAAAGTTCATAGCAGAGTTCATGTTTCGGTCATTTCACAGAACCTAAAGGAACTAGACGGATCGAATAACAGACTATACGTTCCAGAGATAAATAGTGAAGAATAAATATCCTGTTAGAGTACAAAACAAACTCGTAGTCATCAACAGAATCGACACCTGTACCAGAAATGAAGTTATTTTGCGATACACAGAAAAAATTGCTCAGCGTCTTTAAATCAACTATTTTGCCGCAAGAAGGATAACATAATTAACCACTATGGATAAAGGACAAAGCTACAAAGCTATTAAATTAAGTACCTGAATATTGATTGTCCCTTTACACTTTCAGAGCCTGATCACATTTATCCACATAAGCAGCAGAGAATAAATACACAGAGAAGTAAAGTTTTTTACAGCTGCTGTTAATTGTTGTTTTAAATAAATTCAGAGGTAAGACAATAATTTTAATCGCGTATGTCACGCGTACAACAATTAGCTGAAAAATGTAACCTATGGTGTTCTTTAGGAAATTAATACTGAAAAAGTCTTTATTCTTGGCCAGCTAGAACAATTAAAAAATGAAAAAGGAAACAAATTTCCGCTATCAAACCTTTGCATTTTTCTGCGCGCGTTAATTTATCCTTCACCGACGTGACATGCCTGTCACACGAGGAAAATAAGCTTCATCAGCCAACCGAACAACCATAAGGACCATTTTTAACAAAGGGACGCTATTTGAATTTTTGCCATGCAGTCAGGAACCTCCACAACACGAATTTGAAAGCAACTCATTTTGTTTGTTGGCTTCAAAGGAAACTAAAACCTGCAATTATTTTAAAAAATACTCCGATATGGATTAGACATGAATATTAATTTTGACGGCGACCTGAGAACTGACTCGGAAGAAGAAGAAGAAGAAATAAGCGATGTAGGCACAGTTAACCCATGCTGGCAGAATGCACCTTAGCAATTATGCATATATCTTTACGCACAGGCGTCCCGAGCTCACGTCATGAAAAAAAGCAAGCGATTGATTCATGCGTTGTGTGACTCGGTGTTAAGTTACGAGAGGAAACGTTGATAATTTAATACTCACTTAGGTTTTTGCATTTTTACACGGATCGCCTACAAAGTTAAATTACATTAGTGAAGAGAAATTTTCATCGATCTTTTCATAATGACGAAGCATTAAGGTTGCAGACTTTTAATAATATCGTGAGTTTTACGGATAATAAATTATTTTATTACGCATATAATTTAGTCTAAAACTTTGCCTGGTAAGACAAGAACAAACTCTCCAGCCACCCCCTTCCCCTCACCCCCCAAAATAGGTTAAATGTGATTAAAGTTCGCATAGAATTAAAAGTGACAGTAATTTCTTAGCGTATTGGGCGACAAGGATTTATGCGTCCACTTATCAAACATTTGTATTACAAACTCTGCGTGCTCCTTGATAACATTAAAAAAGACGTACATTATCAAGTCACGAGGCCTGAATATAACAAGCTTACCTTCACATATAGAACCATTCCCAAAATAGGTAGGATTGCAAGAGCAGTTGTGTGAGCCCTGGCTATTTACGCAACAGGCTTTAGGATGGCAGTCGTTCATTCCTCACTGTACTCGTCAATGTCTACTGGAAAACATCCTCGGTTGAGAGATATGGTAAAGATTTGTAACGAGTAAAGAACATACCTCTAGTATCAGCAATGTAGTAAGCGTCCTGTGTGGAGACAGTGCAAGAAAGACGGAAATTTTTGGTGGGGGGTGTTTTCCGAGCATGGCCGCATTTTCGAGAAAAATATCCCAGGTAATGGTGAAATGATAAATCCCTTACTCGACGGTTTATCATATAATACGAGAAGAAAATCTTGCTCATTGCTTCTAGTCAGTTTGTTGGATAACAAGACAATTATTTGTGATAAACAGTTAATCTGCTTTTTTCAAAGTCTAATCTAATTTTACCTTGGCATGACTCTCCTTTTCCAGTGTATCCTTCCTCACAGGTGCAGCTATATGAGCCATTAGTGTTGGTACAATTCGCATTTACGTCACAATCATGGCTTCCATTGCTGCATTCATCGATATCTAGAAACATAAGTAATGTATAAAAGGTAATTTAATAGAAATATGATAGTGGTGCGTGAAAACAGGTCTCTAAAACGTGGGCCAATTTCCATGAGCGATAGCTTATGTTTAAAGCTTGTTTTAAATAGTGTAGGCTACTCTTATTCACCTTGACATGACTGTCCATCTCCAGTGTATCCTTCTTTGCAGGTACAAATATGAGAACCATTTGTGTTGTTACAGTTGGAATTAACATGGCAAACATGGTTGCCATCGCTACACTCAATGACATCTGTGAAAAAAATGAATTGCCAAAAGGTTACTTGACAGAGAAACAAGCATTATATTTGAGGAAAGAGGATTTTCTTTTTATTTGCTCGAGGCTTTATTCTGATATTTGCTCAGTCTAATGCAAAAATTATACCTTAGCATAATTGTCCGTCTACAGGTGCAGTTATGGGAGCCGTCAGTGTTAGTACATACATAGCTTCCGGTGCTGCACTCGTCGATGTCTGGGGACAAAAGTAATGTAGAAAAAGGTAGCTTAACAGAGGAACGACACAAGGGCGTAAAAGACATTAATTTTAACTTTAACCGTGCCAAAACGTTACATGACAGAGAGACAAACATCAAATTTCTGAGTTTTAAAGGAAATAATTTTTTTTATATGTGGGAAACTTTATACTGCCATTTGCTAAGTCTAATGCAATGATTATACCTTGGCATGATTGTCTGTCCCTTGTGTATCCCTCCTTACAGGTGAAGTTGTGGCAGCCGTCAGTGCTAGTACAGTTCGCATTTATGTCGCTTACATGTTTAAAAATGTAGCATAGTAGAGGAACAAGACAAGGGCGTACAAGACATTTATTTTAACTTTAACCTTGGGAGGAAATATGACATCGTTTTGGCCTGATTTTTGTCCGAAGAACTTATAATTCAGTGCAATCTATAGTTAAAGAACACAAAATATTTAAACAAAATCTCCTTTCCGGCCTACACATTACGTCCTACACCCTACATTTGAAAGACGCCATTAAAGTGAAACGTTCCCGACAAGTGAGGAATAGAAAGACTGACGAAATATTAAGATGGATACTAAATGATAAAGAGCTCCCATATTTCTGCCTTCAACATCAAAATAACATGGACGGAAGAACCGAAATTCGTGTGAAAAACTTATTAGAACTCAGCTCGTAGATTTAGTTCTTAATCTGTGACCACCATACACAACACATACTCTTACATATAACGTCTAAAAAATGTCACCCATGTACAAAACTTTTGTCACACCTCGTAGATACCTCGAAAATAGACATTGTATCAACCATGCATATCTAAGCAAGCTTATTTGCCTACTTGTATAAACTCCTGCTGCTGTCATATGAAGCGCGTAGGAGAGTGAAGCAAGTTTTTAAAAAAAGTTTTAAAAACGTTTTAGTAAAAAGTAAGTCTGGATCGCAAATGATCCCAAAATTAAACTGTACACGATTCCTTTCAAAATGCGTGGAATGATGTAGATATTTTCCCAGGCTCCATAAAAGAACTAATTTATTACTACTCTAAAGCTAACTGATGAAACTATGAATTAGGACAATAACTGGAACAATAGTTATCAGCTCATTATTGACCACTTTGTAACTTTTGGTTGTATTTAGGAGCCGTTGTAAGAAACGCACGCTTGGTTACCCACTGGGTAATTCAAACAGGTAGATAACACTACACAATTGAAATTTTGCGCTAGAATGCTTTTAAGTCTCTTAATAAGGCGACGGTCACGGCATCCACTTATGTGCTCGTACATGTTCTCTCAACGCATTGCTTGCCTCTTTGTTTTTCAAAGCATATATTAAACTTAACGCTCTTACTCTAACATCGATGAGAGGACAAAAACGCCAGCTTTAAATTTTTACTTTGTAGAAATTGGTTTCTTTTTTAAATTTACGAAGCTTTGATGTCGAATTTGAAAAATCAATCTGGCAGGGTTTGGACGGCGCGGACGAAAGTGCCCCTACGTGTTTCCTTCTTTAATGGCTTACCATTAACATGATCAAACTGAATATTTACTTTATCGTCTTGTCCATATATCGATTGATTAATATATGCACTAGCTCTAAGCTTTATGTGAAAATGAGATGATTAATTTCTACTACTAGGACATCGACAATGGCACATCGATGTGCTGGAATTTCGACCCACTTCTATCTTTTGTTCAAATATGTTGGTTTTTTTTTATGGTTGACTTCTGAATAAATAACAAAAATTGAGGGACATCAATACTTACCTTTCCTGTTATAAGGTATTCCGAAACGTATTTTCCAATGTACACTGCCGCGATGATTGCGGAATTGCTATTGTAATAACAACCAAAATGACCATAACTCTTCGGTGGGATCTAGGAGACGATTGGCAGCTGTCAATAGATATTTGATTCCCGTAATGGAGAGTTGTTCCCCAAGATTTGCAGGTTTTGGATGGATATGATCCAAAGAGTCTCGTTTTCTCACCACGCCATCTCAGATGAGATCTCTAGGCGTGGATGCAGGATTTACTTCTCTCTTAAGATGCTGAAAAACAAAGTTACTGGCGTGAAAAAATCATCAGACGATACCTTTCATTCGAAGTTTTAGCTTATGATCATAAGTGGTAAACACAGAATCTTTCGTAATTCTACAAGTCTGTTCGTCGGCGTGGCTTTCAGTTTCGTAACTATTAATGATGTAGCTAGCCACATCTTGCTTTTAGGTATTTTCTAGTTGGTTAAGAGCTTGGTTTATTTTCCCTAGTCCAAAGAATATAACTGGGTAGCAGTTTTCCTTGCCTATTCCCTTTTTTCTCGCTTTCTTTCATTTTCCTCTTTCCTCTTTCTTTCTTCCTTTCTCTCTTTTAGTGCCCATATTTTAAATCTTCAAAACCTCGAAACGTTGACAAAACTCTGCACTTTGTTGCTGGCTTATCACTTCCCGTTACGTATATCCAAGTAGCGACTAACTGCAGGACTCTAGAAGCCGCCCTCGTTAAAAGAAAGTGAAAAGAAAGAAAACGATAACAGGAATAACTTTCACGTCAACCCAGCGCGAGTTATCAACTGGCTATAGCTAGGGGCATGGGAAGTGGAGAGAGTTTCAAGAAGGTCAGGAGGTTACAAAACAATGCAATATAAGTCGGCCTGTGGCAAATATTTCAGTTGTCGAAATACCATTACCAAAGCTACTGAATACGTAACTTTCGGGTTTTTCTTTCAGTATTTTGGTTTTCTTTTCCTTTCAGGTAAGTTTGAACGTCACTACCTGTAAGCGATACGGATTTTTCTAATGTTTTAGCAGCCATAATCCGAAAAAATTCCGACAAACGACCTTGGATTGAGATTGGTGAAGGCTTTGCTGTTCATTCATCAACCTGAAACCAAACCAAAAAAAAACCAACATTTTGCAAGTGTTGGTACCAAACTAGCGAGTAAACTACCCACCAAAAGCAATCATATGGATTATCTCAAGAAATTAAAATCACCTGATTCTTCCTTTTTTTCCAAACCGATTTCCCCAGATGACGTTAAACAAGAAATTCTATCACTACCAAACAACAAATCGTATGGTTTATACTCTTGTCCTACGCAATTTCTTAAACGTTCATGCAATATTTTATCTCCTTTCCTTTCGCCTTAAACAAAAGAAAATCCGTTATCTTCCTCAAATAAGTATATTTGATTGTGAAAAAAATAGAAGAGTCAGCTTGGAACATAAGAGTTATATCAAGTATTTAGGTGTTTTGATCGATGAAAATCTTTCTTTGAAAAACCATTTGGACTGTGTTATCACTAAAATAAGTAAGACCATAGGAATGATTGCTAAGCTGAGACACTTTGTTCCATCATCTGTACTCACAAATATTTATAAATCCTTAGTTTTACCTTATTTAACTTATGGACTCGTTGCTTGAGGTAATGCATCAAAAAACTATCTAAATAAAATTGTTGTTCTCCAAAAGCGAGTATTACTTCTAATCTCATTTGTTGATAGAAAAGAATATGCAATCCCCTTATTTGTAAATGCGAAAATTCTGCCTATTACCTTCTTATATTATGAAGCGGTATGTAAATTAATGTTTGATGTTCATAACGACGGTGCACCTTCTAACATCACGAAACTTTTTACGAGAACTTCAAACATCCATACATATAATATTCGCTCATCAACGTCACAATTCTTTAGCGTTAAATACTCTAGGCTTAAAATGCAAAAAAAAGCCTTTTCGCGTGTTGGTGTCAAAGTCTGGAATGAGATACCAAATGAATACAAAAATTTGTCAAAGAAATCCTTTAAAAAAGAAACAAAAAGAGCTCTTCTCAATATTCTAGAAACTGAAGATTCTTATATGGAGCCTGATGAGATAATACTAAAATTCAAACACAGCAAAATTGAATCAAATTAAACCAGTTTTCGTACACTTAGAAACGCGAGGATTTTTTTTCTCCTTTACAATGAACATCTGCCATTTTCCTTTTTTTGTTACGCCTTTTTTCAGTGCTGAAATCCTTGTATAACACCGTAGTTTATATGATAACAAATCCATTAACTCTCCCCAGGAGGGCTTTTCGGTATTCGTCGTCTAAAATTAAAATATATAGGATACAATTACGATGCAATTGCTATAAAAATTACAACAAAATACGATAAAAATTACAACATGTTAAGAAGTTAAAAAAATTCACATAGGAGTTTATTTCTTCATTTTCTTTTACAAACAAAAACAGACTCGCGTAACTTAAAAGTATGGTCTGAATAATTCTATAACGAAAATGTTCGATATAAAAGGTCTTCTGTCCTGCAGCGCTATTAAAACAAGGAATGTTGAGGAGGTGGGAATTTCGGGTGACGCGACCACATACCTCTCCTCGCTTTAAGAAACGTAAGGCAAGATAAGGGGGCGTTAGACCAGACATCCATTTGAATGCAAGTACAGCATCGCGATAGCATAGCTGCAATTTGACTGGAAGCCGCCGGCGTAAATCCTTCAAGATTGGAGTTACGTTATCGAACTTCCCGGTGTCGCGGATTATCCGGGCGGCGAAGTTCTGTTCAGCTTGAAGCTTAAGTAGATGTGTGGTTGCTGTATTCGACCAAACAGATGAACGATAAAACAGGTTACTGAACACGAGGGCATTAATTATTGCCATTAAAGTATTTTTATCAAACATATGCTTAACGCGACTGATTTGAGTAAGGCTGGCCTGGCATACAGGACGAAACAGTTTTAAGGATGTGATCGTAAAAAGTGAGGTTCGGATCAAATGTAACGCTAAGATCTTTAATGGCTTTTGCGGGTATAAAATCATTCCCCAACGAAGAAAGACGGACGTCAGGGAGGTTGGAGTGTATTCGGCAATTTCCCTATAGCATGAGCTCCGTCTTATCTGGGTTGAGAAGAAGACGATTATCGAAGCACCAATTAAGAATTCTGAGATCACCATCAATATCAGATACAGATTTTGCTCAGTCTTGCATTCGAAAGGAGATATAGATGATAGACGTTCACGTAGATACTAAGTAGGATAAGCCCTTGGACACTGCTTTGTGGGACGCCACTTTCCACGGGTAGTGGCTCTAACAGTTCATTGTTTAAATGGACGACTTGATGTCTTTCAGATGCCAAAGGGTAAAATGCCAGTGTCCTGCAATTTATTTACCAGACTTCATGGTTTATGCTGTCAAATGCCTAACCCATATCTAATAAGACAACCGCAGTTACTTTCTTTTTGTCTATGCCGCTCAGGATGGTTTCAGCAGTGTGCATTAGTGAAGTCTCTGTTGAGCGGTGTTTCATGTTACCACTCTGCGGCGTAGCCGGATTATTTTTTATTCAACTGTAGCACCAACCGACTGAGACCAATTCTCTTACATATCTTAAACAGAATGGGCTGGACTGGGACTGTTATTGTTTGGTTCCTCGTGGTCGCCATCTTTTAAGATCGGTGAAACCTCAGCCATCTTCTAGGCACGCGGAAAAATGCCG